ATGAATGTTTTTGTATGGATATAAGTAAGTGCAGATTATGAGGATACGTAGGATAGATAATGACCCTAGACTTGAAGAACTTGAAGATTGTAGTGATTGAGGTAGCATTGCTCTCATAAGCTTCAGAAGCCAGGCAGTACCTTTGAAGCAAATTATTGTGATCTATTCTGACAAAAAAAATAATGCTATACAACCCTACAGACTCAGGATGAAATCCATAGCTGAAGAGTTAGGCACCACACTCTAAAATATACAAGAAACAACTGAAGCCCATATTCCACCATGGACTATCAAACAACCTGAAGTTCTGCTAAAATTATATAATCTCCCCAAACAAAAAATGCACCCACTCACATTCCAGGATAAGTTTCAGTACATATTGACAAACTTCTCTAACCATACACTCATCTATACAGATGGGTCAAAATGTGAGGACAGGATAGGATGTGCAGTAGTGAGCCAAAATATTACCAAAAAAAAGGCGCCACCCAAAGGGAAGCTCTATTTTCACTGCAGAGTTTTATGCGATTGAGCTAGATCTCAACATTATCTGAGAGAGAGAGGGAGAGCACAAACAAAAAAAAATTTCTAATTTTTTTCAGACTCTCTATCTGTCCTATTGGTTTTAAAGGAAAAAAAATCCAACAACTCACTTATGAAAATATTATACAAAATGAGCATTATTATTAAGCATAAAGACATCAAACTATGCTGTATTCCAAGTCGCATCAGAGTTAAAGGTAATAATGAAGCAGATCTAACAGTCAAGTCAGTTTTAGATGTGGATGCAAGGATCATAATCCCATACACAGATTTTAAGGAGGTTATTAATACATTCAAAAGGAATGGTATTGGGATGATAACCCAAACAAAATCTCTTCACAATCCAGCCCAAACTAGGGGAATGGAAGTCAGCTGCCACAAAATCTTGCAAGGAAAAGTGGTATTATCCCGTGTACACAATGGCTGTACGAGAATAACCCACTTGTACTTACTAAACAAAGATCAACCAGTATGACAAGCTTATAAAACAGCATATACTATTAAACATATATTAAATGAGTGCTCAGATCTTGCTCTCTCAAGACAAAAATATTATAATATAAACAATATGTATGAGCTATTTGAGAAAGTAAAATTGGATGATATATAATATTATTTCTCAAAACAGTAGGACTATACCAAAAATCATAAACCAGATGAGAATGTCAAAATCAATTTCTCTACAAACTGTATCTGAAAAGAATACACCAATGAAAGCAGACTCTCGATAAAAACCCTCTTTACAAAAGTATATCAATGAAACTGGATCTACAGTTTCCTTACAAAGAACATGTATTCTATTCATACGAATCTATTGTAAAAATGTTGGCATTAAATAACCCATTGAGGTTGATATGCTGTAAAGCAAACTAATCAGAAGCCTGGCTATTAATGACTTTCACAGACATACCTAATAAGAAAAACTTGATAATTCCAGAGATGTCATAGCTAGAAAATTTGTGTAGCAACACTCTATGCAATACCTTGTCAAAGGCCTTTGAAATATTTAAGGTGATCACTCATGTGATGAATTTATTATTGAGTGCTTTGCTGATTCTGTATGTAATGACAGAACATAAGCATTGAACCTACATGAGTGAAGTCCATACTGTTTGTCACTCAGGAGTTTGTGTTGAGGTGATCAACAGCATTGTTGTTAATAGACTCCAGGAGTTTGCTAATCATTCTAAGGAAGATGGGTTGATATTGTGATGGGGATCACCCACATTTTTGAAAACAAGATATACAGCTGACACCTTCCATAGATCTGGGAAACATTTCTTATTCAGTCGGTGGTTAAACAATGTTGACAAGATTGGAGATAATTCTGGACTATAGTTCTTAAGAACAATTATAGGCAATTTATCTGGACTAGTAGCTTTCATAGTCAAAGATTTTGATGAAACTTTCCTAGTCAGGATAGAGAAATTAGTAAATTTGTACTCTTGGTAAGTCAGGTAGAAGATGGCACTTGTAGTGGCATTAAAGGTAAAGTTAATTGCAAAGAGCTTAGACATATCCAATGAGAATGAGATAACTTCAAGGCCATTTATAATAGTAGGTTCTGATGGTTTGTTAAGAATCCTGTTGGTAATTTTCCAGAACTTGTTGGAACTGAGTCTTGTTTTTAACTTTGGCTTGCATGTAGCTGCTCTTTGCATTTTCCAGAATTTTATTGCACCGATTGCAGGTAGTTCCAAATGTGGTAAGAGTTCTGCTACAGTGTTCCCCCTGATAGTGATAGTAGCAGTGGTTACAGTGAACTATGGCAGCAGCACATTCAGGCGCTGGCTATGAAGTGATATAAAACTCTCCATGCCAGAAATAATATGTTCAGAAATGGTAGAGGTTGTTCTGGGAGCTCTATTTTTGAAAATACTGGGAGTTGAAATTTCATAAGATCTGAAGCTATCCCAGTCAACATTCTATTATTAAAAGATTGTCCTGTGAAATCTGACATTAAAGGATGCCTTTGGCTTGACAACAATCTTGACATTGATCAGTGAGTGATAGTCTGAAGAGCCCAAGAGAAGTAACACTTCAGAAGAATATTTGTCAGAATAGGAGGTGCAAAAGGATGTTTAGAAGGTTTGCATGATGTCCAGTTATACTAGGAATACATACAAGCTTGTCCATGATTTGTGTCTACTCATATGTGATAGAGAAGTCATAACAGTATTTATCTTTTCATCAGTTTTGTTTGAGTGAATTAACCATTTCTCTGTCTATATTTCTGAGATGAGGTATTATGTACACTATTTACATTATTTGGACTATTGTCCTCATCTTTGTTGCCATATTTATCATAACATTTCGGTTGTTGTATGCTCCGGCTTTCTTCAGGTGGTTGGAATGTCGACCTGAACCCTTTATTTCGCTTGCTGGAGTGGACTGTTCTAGTTTCATGTGCCATATCTAATGGATGTCAGTTATCAGTTATCTCCTGTTAATTCCCCTCTCCAAGTTCTCCACTGCCTTAACCAGGTATTGAACTTTTGGGTCCTGTCACTGGATCTAACTAATGCCTTTATCCACTGTGCCATGTGTCCTCAAGGACACATGGCACAGTGGAACTAGAACAGTCTACCCCACTGAGTGAAATAAGGGGTTCAGTTCAACATTCCAATCACCTAAAGAAAGCTGGAGTGTACAACGGCCGAAAAGTTGTAAGAAATATGGCAACAAAAATGAGGACAATAGTCTGAATAATGTAAATAGTGTAACTATTATAACTATTCTTAGGGGCAACTAAGAATTTTAATATTCACCATGAGAAACATGGTGAATATTGAAATTCTTAGTTGCCCCTACCAATGTTGAGCTCAATCCAAAAGGATGTTCTAACTCCTCATCATATCAATTCAGTAATTTACCAATTGAAATATCAGCGTGATACTGATTAAGTAGAACAGATCAAAGATTAGAAGCAAGAATAAATCAATGTATATAAGCCAATATTTGTAAGGGCAAAATATGGCAATTTGCATATGTGCATAAACAGAACTGTTTTGGTGATAGCTGAGAATTTATTATGCAGGCATCAATGTGCTCATCTATAATCAAGGCATGTTCTTAATACTAAGGAAGGCTAATGTGTTGAAGTCTATCTTTATCCTACCAGCCATTCCTCTATAAGCAGGAGTGGTTTTTAGGCTTAAATGTAGGCTGAAAAAACAGCATGATGAAAAAAAAGGCCCAAACTTAATGAAAACAAAGTTTTTTAATCAAAATGTTTATTACTAAGAGGAAAGACCAAAGTATTTTTTTTCTTATTTTATTAAATTTTTTAATCCTTTCCAGTACATTTGAAATTTTGCTTAAATCTTTTTTTTTTTATGTTAGCGATCAGTGTAATATTTATGATTAGTGTTTTTGTACTTTTTTTTCCAGTGAAAAACACATTGTTTTGGAAATTCTTGCAAAACTCAAATATGAAATTTCAAGAAATTAAATTTTCTTTCCAAAATTTTTTTATTAGTTAAAAGTAGGACTCCTTGGAGAATGCAAAGTATCAATTTTTTTTTTTTAAACTACCGCTCCTTTCTGAAAATCTGCTCTGAATTATAAAATAAAAAATGCAATAAAACTATGACATTATAATTATAAATGCCTTTAATTGCTTTTATAAGTAAGATTTGTTAAGGACACTATTGTCCTAAGAAAAAATTTTTTTTCAATGAATTTTTACATGAACTGTTTTCATTTTTAAAAAAAATCATTTATAATAATTTAAATCATTTAAAATTCTGCATTACTTCTTTCCAGTTATATGATATTGTTGTTAAGTAAGTGATGAATCAAAAATTGAAAAGCTTAATAGAAGTCATTTTGCACCAAGATTTTTAAAATAATTTTTAATTTTTTTTTTTTTTCCATTTTTGTATGTATGGTAGTCTATACATGACATTATTATTAAAAGGTCACATATAGACATTTAATAAATCTGCATAGTTTATTTAAAAGCAAATAGTAACAAATTAAATCATTCTTATAATTTTCATTCCAATTGTTTTAAAAAAAAATATGTTTATAACTTTGTTTATTTCACCAAAATTGAGTACATTTTCAGAATTTTAACTAAAATTTATATATTCTGCATCATTATTGGTTAAAATGCTCCCCCCAAAATATCCAATGGTGAATCTAGAATAAATTGTATTCAGCATGGAAGCTTTTCATAAACTTTGGAATTCATTACAAGCTTTACAATGAGTATGCTTGGTAGAATATAATTCTAACAAAATATCTAACTAAAATTTTGTTATGTTAGCATAACAAAACTTTAGTTTGATACAAAAACCTTACAAAATTCAGAATGTCAAACTTTGTTAATGAAATCTCAACAGAACTATTATGGTTCTTCTATTCCAATAATGTTGAAAAAATAATTTATAATTGTTATTTTCATGCAAATGTGAATTATGTGTTAAAAATGTTTTTTTTTTTTTTTTTTCTAGGGGAAAAGCTGGATCAAAAGCATTGTGAAGCACTTGAAGATATTTTCCGACGTGTTCAATTTGAAAACTTGGAATTAGAAGCTTGTCATTTAGATGATGAGGTATGTGTAAATTGTGCATGTGTATTAATATGTTCAAAAGTGACTTCAGAAATGCAATGTCGTATATATTGTTCAAAATCATAATACATTAACTTTTTAAGTTATACACAGAGCAGTGACAGATATTAAACATATATCAGATAGGTAATCTATGGATGTGTGCAGGTAGTGTAATGAATAATGACTTATAATAAGTTTGTATTCCAGTCGAGTGTGTTAATTTCACTTATATGCAAATACCCTTGGGAAAGGTATGAATCTATATCTTTTCCACTCCCCCCCTCCCCAAGTTATTGGGCAAATAGAAGGACAGATTGAGTCCTATAGTCTTTGTTATCAACCAGTCTACTGCAGAAAAATCTGCCTCATCAGTCATGAATTGAAAGAGATATGATCACCTAAGTGTTTATCACAAATGGCACTTAACTGACTGAATCTAGTACTAACTGCTTTAGAAGAGGAGCATTACAACCAGACACAAGCCACCTGTGAAAGTTGCCACAAAGCAACATCATTGGACTTTTAACTGTCCTGTCTGTTCATGACACTGCAGGTCCAGACTTGGCCTGCAGAGACACCCTCATGACCATAGATAGCTATGCAACCATGTTGTCTTTGAACTGGGTTTATGAGTTTACAGTTATATTTTGAAATCAGAATTTAACTAACAATTATATTGTTGAAAATGATTTCTAACATATCCATTTAAAATATTTGTCACCTTGTTAGAAAGAATAATATTGTTATAACTAAATTTTTAGGGGAAATATTATGAAGATTTAGATACCATTACCCCAGATAGTTGTGTCAATTGATATAATTCAACCATAATATTATATATAAGGTGTGTGTGGGAAATATCCATTTATGCAGCCTTGGAAACCTATCAAAAAGGAATCTTACTGCACATTTATGAATAGATTCTCCCATGGGGTTACTCATTTGGCAATGAGAGACTACTAAGTGAGTTTGTGTTATCATCATATTCAACATGAACAAGCAAGTAAGTAATGAATGATTTAAGAAAACTTTTGGAGGTGATTCAATGAGCAAAGTCCAGATAAAATGTTGGTACTCATGCTTTAAATTTGGCTGGGAATCCATTGAAAGTTATTGATGATCTGGAAGGCCTTCATAAACAGAAAATCCAAAAATGGGATGTAAGCAAAGGAAAATCAGAAAGTGGCATCATTAAGATTATTAGATTCTGTTCAGAAAGGATCTGGCTAATTTTGACTATCTCAAATACCTGTTATAACATCTCATGCAGGATTTTTAGGTAAAACAATGCCTTATTGAGAATTGTCACCCCTCCATATTTTGCTCTCTGAGATATGTAGCCATTTCCAAAGCTGAAATCTCTATTGAAAGTGTGGAGATTTAAAATCATGGATGAGATTAAGGTGAACATGATGAGGTGATGGTGATCCAGAAAGAGGAATTTGCAAACTGTTTTGAAAATTGGAAGGGATGCTGGAATAAGTGTCTGAGGTCCCAGGGGAATTATGAAGATTTAGATACCATTACCCCAGATAGTCTACTTTTTCATTAATATTAAATGGTTAGATCATTTGTGGACAGAACTTAGAAAAATCATAAAACCGGAAAAATGACAAAAACTTGTTACATTACCATTATAACTGTTGTAATCTAGAAAAAGTTACTGAATGAGGAATAACCAAAATGGAGGTTGGAAATGAAATGGTAATCTTTATAACATCAACAAAATACAATACTCGCCAGTGGCGTGAAGTAGGTAAACTACTGCCAGTGGTGGACTACTTAGACATCCTATTACCCCTTTGAATTTTATTTTCTGACCTGTAACACTATGAGTGATTTTTCTTGGTAACCATTAATGTTGATTTTCCTATTTTTTTTCATGTATATACATTTATTATGCTTAAGTTGGATCCACTATCCAATTGTAATTTAATATTTTTGTTAAGGATTTTTATCTGCACAAATTTCGTTATATTCTGACTGGTAGATTCATTCACATTAATAACTTTAATGTAATTATTCACTTGTTTTTTTTACTTTTAGTGAGTTTTCTTATGTCCTTTCTTTTTTTGGGGGGTGGGGACGAAAACATTCTTTATTTTTGTATGGACAGTCATTATAAAAATGTAGATCTCCACATGCATAACATGGGTTAGGAGTAATGTTTTTTTCCCCCCTTCACTTTATTTTCTTGACGTACTTTTTAATGTATGACACCGCTTACTTTGATATCTTTGGCATCTTGTTGAACATTTATAAACCTCTGACAATTTTCTGCTAGATTTTGTTGTCAGATTGGGTTCATTTTCAAGTTTATTTATAACCCTTTTCCTGATTTCAGCATCTTTTGTAGACACTAACTCTTGAACAAATATCAGGCATTTTAAATTGTCAGGGCTTAATTCTACCAGTTTGGACCCCCACTCATGCTGATCGTTCACAATGCTAGCGAACATTGTGAAAATCTTCATCTTCCTTTTTTTTACTAAGTTCATGCATTTCCATCTTTTATGGAACAACATTGTCTTTGGGTTGAACACTTCAGAAAGCAAAGTAACTGTTTCTTTAAACGTTAGGTCAATATATTTTTTTTTGGTAATATGTAATTTACAAACTTTGTGTGTTTGACAGCACCTACTTTCCTTAGCACTAGTCTGACCAATTTGCACAGTCTGTTTTGTAAAGGTCTTCCTATCTACAGAAATATGACGAAAATGTGACCTCTTCTGGCATATAATTGAATTCAGCAATCGAATTTATGATAGCATCCTGTGAAAAAAAACACCTGAATCTTCATTCTTATTACTCATTGACATTTTCCGCTGTTGTTCTACAAACAATTCTTCGAATTTTTCAAGTCTTTGTTGATCGTCTTATTTCTTCAATATTTCCAATAAAGATGTTTTAAAATCCTTCATTTTGTACTGTTATGTAAACTAACTTTTCACAAAAATATATATATATATATATTTTTTTTTTTTTTTTTTTTTTTTACACAATTATCTCTCAAAAACCCTTTAAATCTTTCTACTAATTAGCTTCCAATGTAACAACTTTACACCAAGAAAACCCTCTCAACAATACAGGATTTTTGTTAATTGAAAAATACAATTTTTCAATTTCACGTACCTTTCGTTATGTTTCCAGTTCTTTGTTGTTGGAATAATATCCTATATTTTTCTGAATCTTGTATTTTGAACAACTTGGTTAATATCCACGTAATCCTTAGGAAATCCTTGTAGCCAAAAATGCTTTGTAGCTTTGGTAATTTCTTGATCTTCCTTTGCCAATGTAGCCTCGGTTAATTTTTATGTGAGTTTTGCCGATATTTTTGTTCGTAAAATATTGTATTCGTGAACGTTTACATGAGTTCTTTTCTGTTGAAATCTTTGTTCACCAAATGTTGTACTGGTGAACATTTACTTGAGTTCAGCCAAATTCTTGTCGCCAAACTATTGTAACCTAGAAAAAGTTACTGAATGAGGAAGTTTGGAAATGAAATGGTGATCTTTATGACATCAGCAAAATACAATACTCGCTAGTGGTGGACTACCTAGATAGCCTATTACCCCCACTTACAATAGTTTCCAATGTATTTATGAGGATTGGGACATACCCATTAGTGGTCATAGGTACGATATATAACTAACCTATTTCAATTTAAAAGAAAATTACCTTGTCTTCAAACTCCTGGTATCACTGGAAAATAGAAAAATCTTTACAGTTGTATAAATTTTTCATAAATTTGGAATTCATCACAATTTGAATTATTCTAGTCACTGATCAAACCAAATGGAAACTTGCATTTTCTGTACATTTATTGCATATTCTATATAATCAGGGATAAAAATAGTCTTCTTATTCTCAATATATTCAATATAATTTGAATAATATTGAATTGAATATGGCAGTGTATGATTTATTTATAGATCAAAGTTACAACAATTTAAAAGTTACTGAATATTTAAAATTTATAACATAAAATCTGAAAGAAAAGTACATTATCATTGTGTATCCTCAAGTTGGCTACTACATGGAATACTAGAAAATATACAAGGGACTATCCAAATGTAATGTCTCCTATATCCAAACAAATGACAAGAGGAAGACTTTCTATGCTAATGTGTTTTGAGCCTAGAGAAAAATTGTTATAGACAAATGTAGATATTTATTAAGAAACCTGTATTTATACACACAAAAAAGTATCATGGAGAAAAAATAATTTTATGTGTTCAAATTTGAATTAGAGAATATTCAAAAAAAGAGAGGAAAATTATGAAGGATACTAAGTAATGTAAATTTTGATGTAGTGTTAAGCAAAAGTAAATTATCATTATTTTTTATACTATTTTTATACTAGTTAACCATTTTCCTTTAATTAAAAAAATGATGGTTGTATATGAAAATGTTGACTTGAGAAAGGAGCTTTTCTTTTAATAAAGGAGATATTTGAAAAAAAATATATTTATGCCTGGGTCTTTTAATGCACTTTTAAGAACTTTTCATCTTAGAATAATTTTTTCTCTTTTAAAAGGATAGCATTTTTGAGATCAAAATTGTAGTTGAAATTATTTCTGCATTCTTTATCTAATATATTATTTCCTACTATCTTCAGTGTGACTAATCTTCAATTCACTCTGACTGGCCATTCAACTAAAGTTTTCCACTTCACTGACTGACCCTCGTCATCTACAGTAAAGAACACTTCACTGCTCCAGCTATCCCAGATTTGAACCATTGCAACTAATAGCTTCTCACTACTTTATCAACTCCACTCCTTGTTACTTTGAGTCAACAAACCCATTTTTTATCAAGTGTCATGGTAGCACTACTACAGACCAGTATAATAATAATAGAGTTGGTCAAAAAGTTTGTTCTATTTTGTCATTAGATAACAGTTAGGTTTTATTATCTTTATTCAAAAAATTACTTTTCATTGTATTATGACACATGTATTTTTTTACAAATTCTGTTCAAATTGGAAAATTTTTTATTTGTTCTAATATTGAAGATGGAAGGAAATTAGTAAAGTTCTTGGTACATTATGCTTTTTTTATTTTAATAAAGTTAAAAATGCAAAAAAAAAATAAGGTGAATATAGTTTAATGTTGGCAATACCTATCTGAATGATGCTCCACAGTCAAGATGACTTGATGTTGATAATGATCAAATCTAGATATTGCTTGTAAATAACCAACATTATACAACATGTGAAATAGCTAATATACTCAAAATATCCAAATCCATCACTGAATATACTTTGCACCAGCTTGGTTATGTTGTTCATTTTGATGTGTGGCATAATTTAAGCACAAAAAATACAAGACTGTATTTAAGTGTTTTGTTCTTTTAAACAAATTGTGACATGTAATTGGAAAGTGGATAATATTTTGGAAAGATATCATTGGGCAAGTGAAATGAAGCAGTAGCAGAATTAATAACAGAAATATTCTTTGATATTTGCCAGTATTGAGGAAAATTATGACTAAGAATAATAATAATTCTCCTCAAACCTGAATCTATCTCAGTCTTTGAAATTCAAGTAAATTCATTTATTTAAAACTCCAGACTAATATAAGTGATATTCATATGTAATTTTATAAAAATTGAAAAGAAAAAACAATAGGAAGAATTAGATTGACTGATGTTTATTATTTCAATCAAACATTACATTATTTTTTGCTTATTCAGTTAAATCAAACTATATTATTTTATCAGGAATAATCAATGGAAAATGGGTGGAGACTAAAATTGAATATTTGTGCTTTACTCAGTCAAAAATCTTATTGTTCCTAAAAATATTTCAAATGATATATCTGGAATGAAGTGAATTGGCTATTGGCATTTTTTATCACTCTTTATTTTCTAGTTTTCTTATGTGTTATTTTTCTTTTTTGTCAGACTGCAGCAGCTCTTTTTGACATGATTGAATATTATGATTCCACCATGAAACTGAATATGTCATTCAACAAAAACATTAGCATTCGTGGTTGGCAGTCATGTTCACGGATGATTCGTAAGGTGTGTATTATTCTTGAATTATAATCATGTTTTTTATTTTCTATGATTATTCACTGAAATATTAAATGTTTTCAACCATGAAAAATTATTAACTAGTGGGAGTATATTTTAGGGAATAAAGTTAAAAATGTAGCAGATTATCTAAAAACTAAGTTAATGAAAATATGAAATTACCACTAAATTACTAGTTTAAATATTTGTAAAGCTTTGTTATTGTGTTTCATAAATTGTTCAAGTAATAGCATCAACCAGTATTTGACTGAAATTATCTTGAAAACTTCGGGAAGGGATGGAATGTGTATATGTAGAAGATATTGGGGTATTTATTTCTTATGCTAATTTTCAGTTTCCATTTGAAAACATAAAATGACAACTGGATTACACATGCTGCAAATTAGAGTTGAACTCTTATTGTCTTAAAATGGTTGATTAGAAATTAAAATTGGCTCATCTTTCAAAGAAAATTTAAATGCAAAATTTTAGATATTTTAGTAAGTTGATTATATAGAAATTTGTTTAAGAAACACTTGGCACAATCAAACTTACACACTAGCCTACATAAGAATAATTTTTTGGATTTAATCTGATTTTGCAAGAATTTAATATTTAGGTAAATTAGGAAAATAAGAGAGATCAAATGTCATACTCCATAGTTAAGTGTAAGACATGACAATCTTTCTCAAAAAATGACAAGGTATTTCACTGTAAAATTTATTATACACTGAATATATGTACTGTATGATATCTCTCTTGTCATTTGCACAAGACAAGTCATTTAATAATGGCTGGCATTTTAGCAATATGGCATTATGTGGATTGATATAAATGTTTAATTCTGTAAAACTTTTTTTCTTTTCAAATATATATTAAACCTTTTTAGTGATAAATTAAATTTATTAGCAGTAATCTTGTAAAAAAAAAAAAAAATGCATGAAATTTTCATATTCTTAAATATGGTGAACAAGACAAGGGCAAAGTTCTGGTACCAAAAGAATTTTCATGCTACCTTACTGCAGCACTTCTTGTTCAAGAAACTGAATAATAAAGATCTTAAAATTCCAGTTCATAAACCAAAGGATGATATTTTCTTATCTGTTACATGCCAGACTGCTTGTATCATCTGTAATAGAAAACTTTCTATGTGAAGTAAAGCAATAGATTCATGCATATGTTCTTTGAAGGTATAGTTTAGTAGAGAGGATGTAATTTTGAATATAGTGATGATGAAAACAATACTTTCTCTGCAATAAGATTTTTTTTTTTAATGCCAGCAGAGGTAAGATATTAACCCCCAAAACACATTGGTTTTGCAAATTCAACAACCCACACTTGTGAATGTCTTTCATAAAGCTGGACACCCAATTAATACAAGAACATACTTCAAGTTGACACAGCACTAACTGAAGCTACACTCAATTCCTTGAACAATAAAATTTGAGTAGTTCTCTGAGAATTTGATGTCAGAAGATTTGTGTATTTTTCTACAGGTAATATAGACAAATATAGCAATTTAAGAAAATCCTTTCTTTCAGAATCCCCAACATAAGATCCCCTTTTTTTTCCCTAATAGATGGCTCAAAATGTCTCTTGGGACTTGTCTTCAAAATGGAGGTATCGAAATAAGCTAATGTTTATCCAGACATCGTAGACTACTAGTATTGTATCTAAGCTAACTCCATAATACTGTAATATTAATTGTGAATATGCTATCAAAATATGATAAATATAAGTCAATGACTGAATGCATTTTTAACTAAGTCAGGTAAATTGTATATGTAATGTTTGTATGCAAAATAACAAATTTAATGGACAGGGATGTATAAACAGCATTTATATCAATATATTCAGGGTACCTAGTAAAAAAGCAGTAAATTCAGAAATAAATTTATTTAGCTATCATGATTCATGCAAAAACTGAACAATCATCATAAAAGAACCAATCAGTGTTAAGTAATTACATGAGAGTCAAATGATTATTCAAGGCCAATTATTCCTGAAAGATAAAACAATGATAATATAATTGTACAACACCCTTTCCAGTCGTCCAAGACTTCCAACACTGCAGCTGGTCACTGAAGTGACCTTTTCAATCCAGAGCTAATCTTATCACATGTTATGATTTAAGTTTGATCATAAGGCAGCCAAGATTGAATTGTCACAGGTATCATTGTGTTGGGCTGGTCCAAGCAGGGTGATGACGTACATGAAAAAAAATAATGCTGGAATAAATTGAACAAAAGTAAAAGTTTTTATATCAGTCCTCCATACATTCTGTTTAAATCAGAGTTTGCAGGCAATTTATTATCAACCCAACCTGCATCTAAATTGAAAGTGATATTATTATTGTTGACTTGGTAAACTTTGGCTTGCGGTTTTGATAAAGTTTGGTACAAAGCTGTAGTTGGAGGCTTTTATTGGCAGATAATCATGTGGGCCTCTCTCCTGTCTCTGGTCTCATCTCTGTCTCTCCTGCCTAATTTGCTTTACACATTTGTATTTAGGGCAAAAATAAAAATATAAACTGGCAAAGTAAGAGAATTCGATAATTCTGGGGAATTCCCTTCTTCCACTCTCTCATATTATTACCTCTCACTTAATCTCCTCAGTGAGTGTGGGTCGCTTATTCATCCCCTCCTGGTATTTCAATTCAACAATCGAACAGGGAAATCAACTCTAAATTCGTAGTTTATGAAAAATGAAATTTTTGCTTTACAGATTGCATTTGAAGCTGTGTGTCAATCAACATTGCCCCCTAAGTTTGGGTCACTTTTCCATTGTTCAAACTGCTTGACATACAATTCAAGTCATTTATGTATAAATTAAATCCTCAATTCTTCCCACAGGGTTTTGATATTAACCCTTCTCGTTTCAATGTCTTTCAGCACATAACACTTTCTATTGATAAGAAAACTTTCTTAGGTTTTATTTTACTGTGGTAACAACAAATAGTATCACAATAATAAATTTTCCGCTTTTTTACTAGACACCCTGTAGATGGGAAATGTGAATGTCTTTTTTACTAGTAGTTTGATTTAATTAACAAAGTTAATTTCTTTTGCATTTTTTGTTTTTTTTTTTTTTTTTTAATTAACTCTGTCTGTTTCTCTATTTCTTTCTAGGTCTTATGAGGTGAAGCAATGCTAGTGATATTAGAATATTTTAACTTGAAAGTTTTTCTTCTCTTCATTACAATTCACCAGATATTTTTTCTTCCATCTCTTCGTCATCATATAATTCAAAGATATACAATAGAACCGTGTGGACATGTGTGGTTTCTGAGCTGCCTGAATGATTTTCAGTTCAATTATGGAACTGTATTAATATTATTTATATTTAGAAGATTACAACAAAATTTTTACATTTCTAATTTAAAAATGGAGGTTTAGGTCTAGAAACCCTGGTCTGTATTTGGACTTCTCTTGGGGGATTTTCAGTGCCTAAAATGGGGGTTCAGTACAGCAAGAAACATAAGAATAGAGGTGTAGATCATGATTTTTTGATAGACACTATGAAACTGATATTTGGTGCCTGGCATATGGTGACAGAAGTGGGTAATGATCAATTTAATCTGAAAGAATACTGAGTACATTTTAAATATCTTCCTGAAAACAATTTTCTTATTTTCTTTATTTAATTTAATTTTATTTTTTTTCAGATTTTGTCATGGACATTTCTTGTACACCTAATTAAAAAATGGGGGTTCAGAAATAAAAACAGCAGGCAAAATATGGCAAAGAATTGTGTTAATTTGACTGAATTTTGTTTTTTAGGGCTCTCAAATCTACTTGAAATTGTTTATTTTTGAAAAATAGTGCTAAGTTAAACTTGTTTGTGGACTTTATTAAACTCAACATGATTCCAATGACTTTTCTAAAAAAAAAAGCAGAGAAAGCAGAACTTATAATTTAAAAGCAAATGCTTAAACATGTGTAAGTTTTGATGAAGTTTAAACAATCATAACTTGACAAATACTTGGAATTAGGAAAAGTTCTAAAATTCTGCAATCTATTTTCTGATTAGATATAGAACTTAGAAAATGTTCCAAAAACATAGCAAATGCCTCCTTTCAAGCCTTCTGTGTGAACTTTTCCTTGTATACTAATGGAACATCAGAGCATTTAATATATTAGTTTTTGAAAATTTCTGATTTTTTTTTTTAAGATTTTAGTAAGAGGTTTAATTTATAATGTGATTTTAATGCTAAACTAAACTCTAGATTTTATTGAAATTCTTAGGATGACAGAATGACACACTCTCTCTCTCTCTCCACCCACTTGAAAATGGATTGATAGGATATTTTAGACATTTTATGATCTTTAACATTCACTTAATACTTATAATTATTTTTAATTAGTATGTTTTACCAGCCTATGTATTTCCTATCATTTTCTAAAGTATTTATAGTGTTTATCTTTTGTAGACTCCTAGTCTGAGCTACCTGGATGCACGGGGATGTGAATTGAATGACCATATTATTCCAGTTCTGGGTCGTTCACTGAAGATGGGTTCCAATTTAACTGTCCTTCATCTTGAGTATACTTGCCTGTCTGGTCGACCATTAGTTATATTGGGTAAGACAAAATTTTCACTTATTTTTCTATGTTATTTCATCTGACCACTTATCTATTTATTGATAATATATTATTCAATGTTATTTATTGATTATTCAAGGTTATGCAACAAAGAACATTGGACTCTGTCTAACATTTTATACTTCTACCAATCAGTGATATTAACACACAGCTGTCATGTTAGTAAGTTGGATGGGGGAAAAGAAAGTTCTCATTTCAAGTTCAGGGCAGTTGGAGGTAACAGCAAAGCATTTTACAGTAAACAATGCAATGTCCCATTAGTTATAAAAAGCTTTCATCTGAAGAATAAATATATTTGGCAAATTATTATTGTTATTCTGTATGTGAACTTTACAATCAAGCAGGTAGAGAAGAAGTTCAACTATTTGGATAGCATAATAATAAACAATGGAAAATATGACAGAAATCTGAAGTTAATCTGTTAATACTATATTTGTATCTCTTTATCTAAAATGAATTATAGATTTAGGATGGCTCTTCTTGAGTTTTGCATCACATATATTGCTGGTAAGTTTTGTACAATTTGGGGCCATTTTAATCAATAATTTGTCCCTGAAAAGTACTTGGCAGTTGATTTTAGTCATGGTTTCATAATAAATGCAGATATTACCTTGCTTATAACCTTGTAATATAAACCATTATACATCAATAAGTTCATAGCCTAATGATGAAAAAGTATTTTATAAAATAATTATTTTTCAACATATCCTTCATTGTCAGTACGCTTAATGCTTCTTTTTAAATCAAATATTATACAGTGAAAATTATAGATTAAAATTGATCTTTTCTTGTATGAAGAGGTGTCGAAAAGTTCTTGGCTCAACTAAGAAGTCCTGTTGGCCCCCAAAAATTTAATGTTTGGTCAAATATTAGGAAGTGAATCATGTTGAGAAACTTTCAGAACCCCCATCATACTTATGCTTGCAATACCAGCTAACTTGAAGATCATAATAGTCAGTTAAGTGCCATGCATGATACATGCTTGGGTGATTATGTCTCTTTCGGTTCATGACTGACTAGGCAGAAGATTTTCCTGCAGTAGGTTGCCATTTCGCAAAAATTTTCTTACTTGCTTAATTTCTTTCTGTCATTAAATTTTTTTTTTCTCTAAGCCAGGAATGTTTTTAATAAGGTTTGATTGCTTTATCATATGAAAAAAGCCCTATGTAGGTAAGGAAGATTATTAATTTTTAATATAATTTTTGCAGTTTTTGTACCCTTTTATTAGGCTGAGTCAAAAGATATTTTGTATTTCAAGCTTTAATTAATAGTTCTAGCAAATTACATACAAAAAGTGTTTATTCAAATATATCCTATCATATTATCTTTTGCCATCATTGTGATAGAAGCTCAATTCCATGCATATACCATATGGCTGGTTTAGGAGTAAAAGCTCCTTGCACTTGTTTTCAATCTCATTCACACAGGAAATGAGCCTTAGCTCAGAAAGGTGGTAATCTGATGGTGCAAGTTCTGAACTGTAGGCAGGTTGAGGTAGCACTTTCAGACCCTCAAGTTTATGCTTGGTCACATTGGCAGTGTGTTCTGGGGCATTATCATAACATAGGAGTGCAATTTTCAATTGACCAATGCTAGATACAGGCTTTCAAAGCATATACTTGCTGCAACTGTTAAGTATAAAAGTCAGCATGACCATCTGGAACAAGCTGAAAGTGCCCCCCGAAATTCCACCAAACATATTATCTTCTGTTCAAACCACCCTTTTTCGACAACAGGTTTGTAAAGCCTTGCTGGAATTAAACCACTGATTTCTTTTATTAGGATTATGAAAACAAATTTATTTTTCATCACTAATTACAATTTGATGCCAAAAAAAAGACGTTTTGAGGAATTGCCAGCAGTTTTTTGTAAATGCTTGCATGTCATTGTGCAATTCATGAAGAACTCCTTGACAGCATCTCTTCACAAAGCCAAGCTTAGGGAAATGTTGATTGTTGATGCTTTGGGAAGGGCAAAGTTCTGCTGACAATATACACAAGTGCTTTGTGCTTGGCTGCTGTTCATATATTTCAAGTAAAGTGTCATCTTCTATTACAATTGACCTGTGGGGTTTGTGTGCCAGTAAAATAACCTATCTAAATCTATTACAAACAGTTTCCTTGACCTTTGTTTTGTTTTTGAGGCTGGTGTCACCTTCCTTGAAATGTCTGAACTAGTTTTATGCTACACATTTGTTGACAGTTCCTGGGCCTTCCATATCATTATTTTTTTTTTGCCACTGCTATTGCACTCAGTCTTTTTTTTCCACAGTTAGATTAAATTGGATTTAATTGCAATTTTGTTCACCATTCATTATGAAAGCTGTAAAATAAATAATAAACAATTTATGTCTATATGTTGTTATTTCTGAAAATAAACAATTCAGTAACATTTGGATAACAAGTTGATATTACATGGAGTTACAAATTGTCAAAAATCATCAGCGAAAATCTGAAATAAGTTTTAATATGGGGAATATCATGTTTATGGTAAATATATATGTTTAAAAAAAATAAAATAAAATTTTAATTGTTTGTAAAATCACAATTCTGTAGTCAGTCTGTGTATTTATTCAGGATAGTAAAAGGTATGTTATCAATTCAGAATAGTAAAAGGTACATTATTAATAATATTAATAATTTGAAAGTATTTTCTCAGCATGAATATTATATTTAATTCAATGACCCAGTTTATCAACCACTTTGAATTCATAAGCATTCAAAAGGGAGAGAGAAAGAAAAGCCAAAACATAAAATTATCTTTATAATATTATGGCTGCTATACTTTCCAGATTTGGTAATTTCTATTCAGTAATCTTCAATACATTTCATTTCATATCTATTTATTCCTCTTTGAAAGATTTATTGTTCTTATCCTTTGTTTTGTCATGTTCATTAAATCTCAAGGGATTGAACATAAAAATATTAGCTATTTTTTTATTCTTATTTATTTGCTCTAGTAAATAAGGAAATTGTTAAATTGAAGGTTGGTTTACAGTTTCATTAAGTACTATGATGATGAAATGTTTTTAATTAAATGAACCTTTTGGGAAAATAAATTTTATATAATATATATAATCACTTGTTAAATTTTGAAAATTAAAAAAAAACAAGGAAAAATAATTTTGTTATGAGGTGCAAGGTCAGTAACAACAATAATCAGTAGGAATAAAAAAGACTTGATAAACAGTTTGACTTTCAGCTGAAGATACTTGCATTTACTTAGCATTATGCTTTGGGGAAAGACTTGATTCCACATTACTGTACTCTGTCCAACCAACAAATATTTTGACAAAAAATTTTATTGACATGTCACATTGGTTGCTGAAGAAAAGAGTGGGTAAGTAAATACTTTGTTAGAACATTGTTCTATAACTGTTACAGTACTAACAATAATAAGTTGTTATGTATGTGGAGTCATTTTTGTTTATCAATTCTTCAAAAAATAAAGTACAGTCACATTTTATTCAATTATATATTCACCATTATTTGCAATGATTTGCTGCTACTTATCAGAGAGCTCCTTGATAAAACTTTTGAATAAAATTCTGCAGGGTTTTGATGCAAAAATATTTCAATAAACTCTTGAATCTGGTTTTAATTAGAGAAAATTTTCCCCATCAAAGTATTTTGCAATGATCAATAATAGTGATAATTGCTTGGTGTAAGGTCAGTTGCATATGGTAGCTGGAGTGGAACAGACCAATCAAGTTGCAAAATTTGTTTCCTGTGTTATTCTTGCCATATATGGCCTTGTATTTCATGGAAAACAGGAATATTTTCTCTATTGATGAGCACAGGGTGTTTTCAACCAAATTTTTATGGACACATTGCAACTACTTGACATATAAATGTGCATTTAGTGTTTCATTGTGGTTTTAAGAACTGTAAATGAAAAATACCCCAATAATCCCACTATGTGGACAACATTACCTTTCTTTTTGTGGTCTGTTGTGAAAATTTATCTTTGTCAATCCACTGCCTTTTGTTGAACATTGTCATATATTATACACCAAATTTTATTCTTAGCTGCCATATAGAATTAGTGTGACACAATACTGTCGGCTTGGGGTCAACTCCTAGTCGCAGTGTGAAGCTGTGATATTTCTCCTACCAGTGTTTTGGGGTTGACTCTTAGTCGCTGCCACCAATATATGACCCGGTTGATTGTCGGTCGTTGCTATCCAGCGGGATTCTTTGGTCAGGGTACCAAATGGGATGGTCGGTCGATTCTAATGGCTTCACACCAGATGCAACCAGTCCGACACCAGCTCTGTCGTTCTCAGCTCGCTTCCAATGACTGGGTACTGAAGTAACTACTTCGATCTCCAACCTAACCTACTCATGTTGTGATTTGATTTTAGGTAGATGAGATCAATCAGACATCGGGCCATAGTGTAAGATGAGTCTAAACTGGAGGTGATGTTGCACAAGTGTAAAAAAAAAAAAAAAGAAAAAGAAAAAAACCAAAAAGATTCAGTTATGTTGAAAGAAAGCAAATCAACTTTTATCAGTCTGTTCTATACAGGAGTATGTGTTTTTCCCAACCTGTTTCTTGGAGAGTGACACTTTTATACTCTAGGCAAGTTCTGGTTTTCTAAGTCAACTGGTTTTTTAGATGCTGGCTTAGCTTCGTTCGTTAATATAACTTAATGTTTTGTAGAAGGTGAAGTTGAAGATAGGAAGTTGTGGAATCTCTTGGTCAGCTTTTGTGAGGCAACTCTCCTGTTCCTGCTAGTGAACTGACTGCCCATGCTACTGCTTATATGGACATCGACCAAAAGCCAATGTGGGATTAGAGGCACCCTGGGGTTTTTGGTAATTCCCTGATTTCTGACAAGAAACCTCTTTGTTGCCCAGCTAGGAAAATTGATTACTTCCCATTTTGGAAAATTAATTACTTTTCATTTTTGGGGGGATCCCTTCGTCCATGAGGTAGTGGTTACAGGATAGCTATCCTTCTAAACCCTCCTTCTCACATTGGTACCTCATGCCAAATCCTTTTGATGGACATTAGTAATTTCCCCATCTTTCTTACCAAGGTACCTCTGCCTATCACCATTGTTACCACCCGACCAATGGCGTCTCAATCATATGGGCTTGGTCTAAGTTTGCTTCATTAATTAATTCTTTGACATCCCCGTTTATTTAGGATTTCTGAGTTTAGAATTATCAACTTGTTTTTGAAATTTCCTTTTCCGTCTTACAAACAACACCTGGCTCGTGGCTTGGTCAGCTTCTAAAATCTGGTGATTTCGAATGACACTTTTTGGCTATTTTGTATTTTCTTTACAAGTATCATAAATCAATTGTCAAAAGCTCACCACACTGCCCCTCTGCGAACCCATCATTGATGCAAGTTCTCGGGTTCTTGAGAAAAGTGATTTTTTTTTTTTAGAGTAAAAAATAAAATACTGGGGTATCAGTATTTTCTTGTTTAATTTTTATGATTAATTAGTTAATCAATTACCATAGTTAAATAGTGTCACATTAGTTAGAATGATACATTTATCATTACAATTGGTTTTCCAAAACAAAATTTACTTATGACTCAATCACTATATGTGTGTGTGTGTGCCTGTTGGATTTTAGTCATTTCAAAATTAAATTGTAATTGTTGAGGTAAATCATTCACTTTAAAGATCAATATCATTTAATTATCTTACTAAATGGTTATGTTTCAGACTATACCTTGAAATACCCTTTTAGATGTTATGTAAAATTATATTAGATCTATGAAATATTGATATAGTTGGTATTCCTTTTCAATTTTTATTTTTTTTTACATTCTTGTATAAATAAACTCTGACCTAACTCTATTAGCAAGGTCCAAAGTGTCCAGGATTGAAGCATAATAATTATTCTTTGTGAGAGATGGGTCATTTTGGGGAAGACAAAACTCTTCAGTCTGAATTGGTTATTTTCATAGGTGATGAGGGGGACCCAATACACCCAATCCTTTCTGAATTTCTACATTAATGGGTGCAGGACAAAAACAGCAGGTGGAAGATGATAGCAAAAGTTGAAACCCCTTTCCTGTATGCATGTAGGTCAGGGATAAGTGGTCACTTGATACAGCATCATTCTGAGGGAACAAATAGCTAATCTCCCTTGATCTATTACATTCAGTGGGCTTCTTCAAATTGGTCAAGCACCAAAAAATTAATAGAAAAAAAACTTAAATTTCCTTGCTGGAATAGAACCATATCGAACATAGCAGTCATCAAAAGACTATAGTGTTACTCTACTTGTATTGCATTTAAACTTGTAACGCATGAAATTGACAAGATTACAATCAGCAAAATCCACTTCTTAGTTCAAGACAATTTGAAAAACATTATGCAGACTATAGTCTGTACTAGTCAGGCAGTAACAGAGGAGTGCCTCTGATGGAGACTTCATGTTGAGGAACTTGAAACTTACCAACTTATTCCATCATTTCCATGAACCTTACACTCCACAAATATTCCAGCAACTGATGATTATCATCCTTGATAAACTTAATCTCAGTTAACCAGGATTTTGATGTTTAGGAAATATAATGTATAAAAATACAATGACATTTGATGCCTTCTCGTTGGGTTCTGAGCAGAACATGACATATGCATCATCAAAACTTAATTTCAGCAGAAAGACAGGCTAAAATCCATATAGATGTATCCCCTTTCACTGGCACATCATAGACTACATTCTAATGATGAAAAGATAGAAAGGATGACAAACACCAGTGCAAAGTGCTATCAGAACCACTAATTTGTTTTCTATAAGCTCAACATCAATTTCAAACCAAAACTAAATAGAAAAGGGGTTCAAGGAAGACATTCAAAGTTAGCCGTCTCTGAAATGAGGAAATTAATGGATTTCAAAATACAATTTACAATAAATTTTCTGAATGATATGTCTCAAGTAGCTTTCTCAGAGCAAATTAAATTTGATTTGAAACCCCTAAAATGTCGTTGAATTTTCTACAGTAAAGGTTAATTTGATGAAAAAGAAAAACAATCAGAAACTTCTGTCAGAGATGTTAATCGAAGAATTGAATTTTTATTCTTTAGCTAACAAATACTGTTGAATTACCCTATTCCACCTGCTAATTAAAAATGAGCCTTCCCTTTTCTATAAGAACTTTTAACAATTTGTTTAATAAAAAGATTCATTTGCTTTTGGAATTTCACAGGTTTAACATTTCTGGTAGCAGAGCATATTTCCACAAATAGCACATTTAGTGGGTTCACCATCAAGTCCAAGAGGATTTTGTTTCTTGGTTTTATTCTTCTTGTAGCTGGTATGATCTCTTCTTCCTCAAATTGATCTGTCACCTCTACAGGTATTATATGTGCACTTTCCATTCCTATTGGTCTGACTTAAAAACTGTCCAGGATTTTTCTGACATGGGATGTGCCTCTAACATAACCGTAGACAAAGAATAAAGCAAATAGTCACACAGGTTGATGAAGCTTTTGCTCAACTGAACAAATGTCTTTCTTGAGATTCTCGTTAATCTCAAAAAAGACACTAAAAGTCATCTTGTTGATTTCTACATTTCATTGTGCTGAATCCTGGATCTAGTGCCATCTATACCTCCTTAAATGCTTCCATCAGTGCTGCCTTCAACTCATTTTTAGTATGCACTAACTACCAGTGACACAAGCCTTGAATTTATACTGCAAAATGTACATTTATTATATTCAGACTATGTCTTAAGGATGGAATATTATTGTCTAACAAAGATCTGTCTATTGTTATAACACTAAGAGATACAAAGTAAAGACTTAAAAAAAATCTTCATCTTTTCTGATATCCAAAGAGCAACAGAAGTTGTTGACAGACATGGCAATATAAAATCTTGTAGGTAATTTCCCTTTCTGAAGAAAATCATATCAAGTCATCCCATAAGTTCTGTCCGAATTTTGAATAAAGGAAACAAGTGACCAAATGTTACATTTAATTACAAATTCAATCAACAATGTATTTTCCCTGATTATCTATGACTTCCTTCCATCTATTAACAAGCTTACTAATTCCATTACTGTAAAATTCTTTTGGCTTTGATTCGAAGAACTCACAAATGTCAGTTTTAACCTCTTCCTACGTTACAAAAGCTGTTTCTTCCAAATGATTCTGTAAGCTACGAAACAAATGGTAGTCTGAAGGAGCAAGAGCGGGAGAATAAGGTGGATGAGGAATTTTCTCCCAACCAAGTTCTTTGATCTTTTGTAACATGATTCTTGCTGTGTGGGGTCGCGCATTGTCCTGATGAAACATCACCCCTTTTCGATTCAATAGAGCAGGTCTTTTTTTCCTCAAAGCTTGGTTCAAACGCTCTAATTGCTGACAGTATATTTGAGCATTAATTGTTGCATTAAGTGGTAAGAATTCAAAGTGGATTATTCCTTGGCGATCCCACCAGATTGAAAGAAGAACCTTTTGCCCATGAAGTTCCTTTCTTGGCTGTGGCTGGGTCCTTCCTCTTTACCAAGCCACTGTCTATGATGCTTAACATTTCGATAAAAGATCCATTTTTCGTCACAAGTCTATCCAAAAAAGGTGAAATAAGTTGGTGAGAATGGAGAGAAGAGCAGATGTCAACTCAGGATTTGAGGTTGTTTTCAGACAATTCAAGAGGCACCCATTTTCCAAGTTTAGGAACTTTTCCAAGTTGTTGAAGATGACGATGAACAGTTGTATGGTTTGAACTGAGAACCACTGCCAATTCCTCAACTGATAAAGCAGGATTTTCTTCAAGAAGCTTTTCATCAAACTCAACTGGATGTTCGGTTCGATCTTCATCTTCAAGGGTGAAATCTCCACCTCTGAATTTTGCAAACCATCTTCTGCAAGTTCTTTCATTCACACATTCCTCTCCATAAACTGAGTGAATGTTTCTAGCCACTTTGGCTGCCGAGTTTCCTTTCTTGAACTCATAAAGCATTATGTGCCTCAAATGATTCTTGGGTACTTCCATGTTAGCAGGGTTTTAATCAAACAAAATTTAATTTATTGTTCTCGGAAATAAAATTTGATCAGTTTAAATGCATCTAAACATAAAAATAATGTTCAGCTCCATAGACATTATAAAATGCTCTTTAAATTTTGTTCATTTTAACAAAAAGTTAAAATTCAGACCGAACTTATGGGATGACCTGATAGAAGCAAAGCTGAGGAGGAGAGGCAGTACCATAAAACTGGTAATTTTTCTTGTCAGACTTTGCCATGCAGTAGAATATGTGTGTCCTGTATAGACCTCATCAGAAAGCCTTTAATGAATAGGAAACAATCTTCATTTGTCAAGCCAATCCACAATGACAATGTCTTCTATATTGATGTGTATTTTTTTAAGTTGCTCATTTTTAATATTTTTTACAAAATATAATGTGTTTTTGTTCACATTATCATAAATATTTTTAGTCTTTTTTCAGTCTGTAAATATATAAATATTTATTAAATTTATAATAATTGCACACCTACTAGTAGACTAATAGAATGTTGATCATTTAAACAAGCAGATTATTATTCATAACTTTGGAAGGTATGCAGATGATACTTTTTCACTGAGGATATTTCTGATATCAACAGGAAATGACATGCTGATGTACTTTTTTTACAACTGATCACTGTCAAAATACTTTCAGAACCTGCATATCTTATAGAGGCACATGTCAAATACATCACCATAATGATGGCTTAATAGGTTGAGATCATCTGAAACTGAAGCTGCTTTTTTTTTTACTTCAATCAACTCTTAATAATCAAAAGGTATTTGTTTAAACTAAATATATAATGATTTTTAGAAATACTAACTAGTACATTTTTCTGTTCCTTATGTCATAGTGACAAAGACAATTTGAAGATCAGAGACTAAGATCACTGATTTTTTTTTCTGTATTAAGGAGTGTAAAAATCTAAACTATACATTTCATTTTTGGCTATAAATATCAAATATTGGTTTTTATTTTATCATTTGACAGTTGCTGCTCTGAAAGTAAATGAAATTCTTCAGGAATTATTTCTGGGTGACAATAAACTTATGGCTAGTGATGGCATTCAGATTGGAAACCTTTTGAAATTCAATCATAAGCTTCAACTTCTTGATCTCAGAAACAACCACCTCCAGGTAAAGTCCAAAAATATTTCTAATTTCTAATGTGACATTATCAATCATTTACTGTTATATAACACAGCAAGGAGCAGCCTATAATTTATTTTCAGCTGTAATCTCCATTTGTTTTAAAGATTCTTTCTCTTCAGTTATTTATGTAATGCATTACAACATATATCCATAAGATAGGAACTTTACAAATTCAGATAATAATAAAATCGTACAATAAAAATTACTGCTTGAGTCAACATAATTAAGATTTCATTTCAGTGTTATAAAAAGATATAAAAGTGAAATTTAATTTAATTTTTATATATTTTAGATGCCATTCATATTCCAAAAGATAAGACAGTCCTGAGTATGACGATAAACTGCATCCAGTAGCAAGGCCTCTGATTGGGAGGTTTTGAGAAGTGTGGAACCACCTCTTAATTGCTGTTGTTCCCAGGTCCACCATGACCTGGGGTGGTAGCAACTATTAGGGCCCTAGCTATGGGTAAATAGTTTCCCCTCCCAAAAACTGGGGAAGAGAGGAAACTATACTAAGAAAATGTAAAGATGGGTTTTTATAATAAAAATACCAGCAATACAAATTGCAATATATAAAATGCACATTCACAAAAACTGATTCCCAAAAACTACAAATTCTCCTCAATGGGACCACCCATTTGCCTGTGATGCCTGGGGACAGAGTCCTGGTGGCTGAGTGACTCCTGATCCAGTATAAAATGACCAGGAGTGTTCACAACACATCACTTCATTCCCTACCTGGGGTAGACAGGTGGATGGAATAGTCCAATCCATTCCAATTGGCTAGTCACATACTGGCAAGAACTAGTTGGGATGATAGATAATGGTTCTAACATGACTGCAAATTTTTAAACCATACTATACTAGGGAGATATAGTGACAGAATGTGGGTGCTTGTATCCAGTTTCATCACAACTATACCATCTGCATAACCCTGGTGGATCAGGGCGAATGGGATTAGTCCCCCTTCATAGCATCTCTTAAGAAGGAACTGTGAGGTGGGTAGGGAACACTGAATATAATCAAAATTATATGGTTATCTCTTATAAATGAACCCAGAGACAATATGAGACTTTTGAAACAGAAAATGAAATATCAGAAAAAAAACAATTTCCAATTTTCATAGTTATAAAAGAAAAGAAAAATAATACACTTTTAATTCAAGTAAAAAAAGACGCAGAAAAATTACTAAAAATCAAGCAAATAGACAACAATAAAGTAAAGTCTTATCCCGACCAATTTCTTAATTCACCTAAGGGAGTAATAACATGACTAGAGCTGTCATTCTGAACACCAGAAGAAATTAAAAATAATGATACCCTAAAAAAGCAAGTAGTAACAGACGTTAAAAGAATTCAAATAAAAAGAAATGACACATCAATAAACACAAACATATACATTTTGACATACAGCACACCTACTCTACCTAAAGAAATAAAGATAGGATACTCAATAGTAAAGGTAGAGCCATACATTCCCTATTCCCGTAGATGTCACAAATGTCAGAAATTTGGTCATCTACAAAATCTTTGTACAAGAGCATCAGTCTGTCAAAGATGTGGGGAACTTGAGTTGGATAATGAAGTGTCACCCTGTGAAAGGCCTCCTTTTATGTCTAAACTGTAAAAAAAAAAAAAAAATACTCAGCAGACTTTAGAACCCCCTAAACATTCCCAAGAGAATGAAAAGGTTAAAAAAAAAAAACACATAATTGCGAAATGGACATAGATGAACAAAACGTTATCTCATCTCAAATAAGGGAACGGTTGTCATCTAAACAAAGATCATCAAAAGAACCTAATAGAAAATCTAAGGAAACAAGATCAAACAAACAACTTAAACAAAAGACCTTCAAAGAACAAAACATGACAAGAAACAAAGTGCTAATAGATAGGAGAGCATAGAAATTATGGACACTTCACCCACTAAACATAAATTGGACAAGCAAAAAATTCTTAACACCCAGGGTCAAAACACTATGAAGGTGTAAAAGTGGGGTTTAATATCAGAAATACTTTGTAAAAATAATTATTACCAGCAATTAATTTTTGAAAGAAAAATTATCACCAGCAATACATTTGTACCAGCAAAAAAAAATATTTCCAGCAATATATTTTTGGAAAAATATTACATTGTTGAAGGAAAAAAGTATTACCAGCAATACATTGTTGAAGGAAAAAAGTATTACCAGCAATACATTGTTGAAGGAAAAAAGTATTACCAGCAATACATTGTTGAAGGAAAAAAGTATTACCAGCAATACGTTGATGGGGGAAAAGTATTACTAGCAATACATTGTTGATGGAAAAAAAGTATTACTAACAATACAGTGTTGAAGAAAAAAATATCACCAGCAATACATTTTTGGCAAAAAAAATATTACCAACAATAACAATTTTGTTGGCATTAAATAACCGATTGAGTTTGATATGCTGTAAAATCTAACCAAACCAAATCCACAAGACAAGACTATTGAGATCATTTTTTTGCTTTAATTGTTGGTTTTTTCTATCTACACAAGTGCTAAGACACAGGTTACTAGTACATGCAAAATAGTTTGTTAATGTTTCTCTCATCATGAATTGTATAGATGGTCTGAGCTCATATGATTCAACAGAACTTTTACATCTTTCTTATGAGTATAAATCTGTTATTATTTTCTGTTGAAGCAAGATGAAAGATTTAAAAGAAGTTTATCAAACAATTACTCAAACAATCCCATGTCATTGGAAATGTAGAGCATTGCAATATACAAACATATCAACAATAGCCTGTGTTACACAGGCTGCTGAGAATAGACTGCATTACATGTTGTTGGAATAAAATGATCTGATTAGAATATCTGCCATTATAATTTTTTGTTTCATTGCTACTATTTTCAGGTTTGTCCACTGTAAAATCTGATATTAATTATAAGATTAATAATGTCATTAATTATAATTAAAATTACCCTCCCTCTTTACATACAGATTTTATAATGAAATAGCTTGTAGAATACGTTATCCAAAATGTTTGGGTAACAACTAGATTATACCTCTTGAATTTTATCTCAACCTATCTCTTCTGTTTAAAACAGGAACAATTTGTTGTCGAGTTCAATGACCAGAGGTCATAAACAGTAGACTTAAAATCTAAAGGAAGAGTTAAAGCCTAGCAGCAATAACTTTCAAAGGTATAACTATCCATTTAATATACATTTTGGAATGATATATAGAACAACAAACTCCAGAGAACCCAGCTATTGTTAAGAAGCATAGTGGAACAAATCTAAAGGATTGTTTCACAGTGGTTTTCTTTCAGTAACATTGTAGCACAACTATAATCTCCTCATTGGAGAAAGTCAAATTTGATGAACAAAAGAAAACTATATGAAAAGTTGAAGTGAAAAAGTCTGCAATGGGATATCAAATCTGGAGTGAGAAGGGATCATATACTAGATGAGATTCAAATAATAAGAAACATACTGGAAGTGGAAAAAAAAAAACAATGAAAACAACATATATTCGCCAAGAAGATAAATGTATAAATCAGGCCAGTATGGATTTCAATGCATTTCTTTGCTAAGCAAAAAAAAAAAAAAAAAAAAAAAGGTTGAAATGCATCTCAATGATACATGGGGTACTGAAAATGATTTCCTGAATATCTTTTTATTTTCCATGCAAACAAAATGTCAGATATACCATATACAACATTAATAGAGAGTAGGTTGCAGCCTGATTTCCTCTCCAAACTTATAGCCAAACTTATTGCAGTCATTGCTGATTGTAGTGAAAGAGAGAATCACTTACCTTGAAAAAGAGTTTGTGTTTTGTATGCAATCTGCTGAAGAAAGATTAAAGAAAATATACTTATTACTGTACAAAATACAATAATTTTGGCACATGGGTGAAGGAGAAGTGGAAAAACACTGGTCTTTGCTAACTATTCTAGTCTTAGTTAATCACGACCCATTCATCAGATACATTTTATCCATTTACCAAAAGAACTCATCCGTCAAAAACACCCCCATGATATAAAAATCTCAAAATGTTTAAATACAAAAATATATAAAAATTTCATGAAACATGAAATGAGGGGAGGGAATGAATCCCGTAAACTAACAAAAATTAAAGACAAAAACAAAACGGATGTTAGTAAGACTCGTCCACCCCTAAAAATAACCAGAGTGGCTACTGTATTCTGCCAATAGAGATTGGAAATCTCAACCTGCATCATAGCAAAAGAAATTCCAGACACAGGCCGGGAACAACAGTTATTCACATTAACTAGGGAAATATAATACAGTCTAACTTAACCAGGGGAGGGTTCACAGGAAGCCACCCCATTGTGACCAAGAGTACTCAAAAAAGGAACTCAAGACTAGCCTCTTTTACACAAACCAAGCTTGCTACTTTCACCCACCTTTTAGCTGAAATTTGTCGATATCAAATGCTTTCTATCAGTTCTGATCTTCAGCTGATGATGAAAGAATCCAATCAGAGCCTGATAGTGTTCGTATTGGAAGATTCCCCCCATCTGTAACATCCAAATCACCATTTGAGTCACGGCTACCAGCATCAGAAACACCATTTGTTTCTTCCCAGAAAACGGGAGTGACACATTATCGCACATGTACGCAAGATTGATGAGCATGAGAACTTCAGGAGCAATACGAGCCGTCAACTTGCCGACATAGTCCCAGAAAGATTGCACAATGGTAGAAGGCATGTGAAACCATTTCTTCTAACCCAATGACAGTCAAGCAAATCCATCCAGCCACATTTAAAGATCCCGTTATTGAGAGATAGCATGTTCTGAATCAATCTCCAGGTAAGCGAAAACTCAGGGTTACTGAGGTAATTCTTCGCTGGTGCCCAAGACCAGAAAGATTGCAGCTTGGCTAACGTCAAGCTGAACCATCCACAGAGTGGATCCTTCACGACCCCTCCACTAATTCATGATACAAGACCCTCCGAGGCTGTGAAAGGTCAGTGGACCTAGGAACAACCCTCAAGGCCACTTGACACTCATTGAGGAAACTCGACAGTCTCCCAGACCTACGATGGCCAGGAGTGATAGTAAGGCTAGGGAATGTGTCCCTAACACTCTCCACCAAAATTGAATCCTCAGTCAAGAAACAGCGTAGGAAAGCCAACCTTGAGGTATATTGATGACTCACCAAGTGTGGCATTCCCAGGCCTCCATACACGGATGCTGGACACAGCATTCTTTGTGAACCTTCTACTTGTGACCACCCCACAAGAGGGTGGACAACAAGCACTTGACTGCCTTCCTATGGTCCTTGCAAACATGAAGTACAGCCAAGCCATAAAGGATAAAAGAGGAAAGACATAAGTGGCACACGCCTCAGCTCTACTCTTCAAGGACAACCTCCTTCAGTGCCAAGTCTCGACTGACGCTCCAACCTTTCCCTGTACTTTGGACCAATTTTTCTCCAGGTGGAGGTTGGGTCCAAACCACACTCCAAGAATGCAGATAGGACTGTCCGTCCAGCCAAAGGGCCCCAGAAGAGCAACCCCTTCCAGGAACCTAACTGCAAGCTGGAAGGCTTGCTGTGGTTAATCTTGGCCCCTGTGACCATTTTGTACCATTCAAGCACCTTCTGTACCACCTCAATGTCACTGCAGGATGACATGAAAATGGATATGTCATTGGCATATGTTTAAACGTTGGTCCGAGCTCCACCAGGAACAGTGATTCCATGTAGGGTCGAACTGCTCACCCCAACCCTCAACCAGCAAAGGAGAGGCTCCAACGCTAAAGCGTAAAGTAGGGGCAAGAGTGGGAAACCATGACAAACTGACCAAGACAGTACTGGGGGAGCGATACAGGAGGCTAATCCACTTAGAGAAGTCGGGTTGGAATCCGGCGGCCTGCAGAACAGCAGCCAGGTACTGATGATCAACCCTATCAAATGCCTTGGACTGATCCAAATTGATCAGCACAGCTTGCTTGTCAAATTTTACACCCTCTAGGATTGGGGGATCAAATGCAGGTTGCTCCAAATTGTTCAGCCCCTCACAGCACAAGTCTGATCGGGTCCCAACAGACTCTTGGTAACTGACTGCAAACGTTCTGTCAGGATCTTGGCCAAAATATTTAACTGTGTGTTTAGCAGTGTAATGGGCCTGTAATCCTGCTCTCCATCTTTGCCCTTTTTCAACAGCATAACCAAACCCCTGGTGATCTGACTGGGGATGGACCCCTGCTGAAACTAGTTGTTGAACATGACAGTCAAAATCGGCACAAAGAGGTGCGACAACCTTGAGTACAATTCAGAGGGTAAACCATCAACTCCTGGAGACTTATCTAGTGTGAGCTGCTGGCTATATTTGGTGGGGTGAAGGACCTATTCCTATCCTTAAGCCTCTCCCATCACCTATTCCCAATAACCACTTTCACTAGTTCCCACTGCACTAGTTTAATTAGCAGTTGCTGGAAGTCCTACCTGTCCAGTAAAGAAAGATTGAACTTTCAGTGTCCAGATATTCTATGCCTAGAACCTAACGCTATCTGGGCACAGACGATTCTATGGTCTGAATAGCCTAACCAGTGGAACGTGGGACAATCTAATATCAGCTCACTAACATTCTATCCTGGTAGCTGGCTACTTATGGGAAGTCAGGAAAGTGGAGCCCTAATAGGGGAGCAAGAAAGGCTCCTTGATGTGCTGTTGTCTGACTTTTTTTGACTGGAGAAGCTGGGATGAAATGGGACTTCCACGGCCTTCTCCACCCTACTTTAACCAGCCCGTATTTCTTTTTTGCTCATTTTTTCCTCTTCCTCCTCTCTCCCTATTTTTAAAGAGATTGACCCAGATGGGGGCATCCCCTCCAATTCCACCTCTTGTTGTTACTCTGGTTGAGGATCCTTCTGCTGCTTTTCCAGTACCTTTTCCTGCTGCTGCCCATGCTGTCACTCCTGCTCCAGTTGTTGCCGCTGATGTTGGTCACATTTCTACTCCTGCGGTGGCTCTTTGGGTTTCTGGGACTCCTTCTTTGGGATATCCTGCTGGCGGGAGGGAGATGTAACTTTTGTTCCCCTCTTCACTACTTCTGTCCATTTCCCAGGGCTTTTTTTAGTCACTTTTGTGCTTGTGTCAGTGCTTTCTTTGCCAGTTGTCTGTTCAGGTTGCGGTTCTGGCTTCTTTCCAGGGCACATTTTGGATAGATGACTGGTAGCCACACAGGCACAACAGAGGGGTCGGTGACCTTCAACAACCACATAGATGGGATGTCCTTCACACATCAGTACTTTCAGTATTGCCACAAAATTTTTCCAGGAAACCATCACCATCACTTCCACATCCTCAGTGGCTATCCCCGGCCTTACATTTGATGTATGAGACACTGGCAACCTTGCCAAATTTTGTAAAGAAAAAACCTAAGTGGTTGAGCAAAATATACAGAGGCACTCCATGCAGGATTACTTTCGTCTTCCTGGTCCTGAGGTATTCCATTTGGAGTCTCACCGATGTTGTCAAGATGCTTCCCGCCAGTGAGATGTGTCACATACCTCTACTCCTTCTGGTTAAGACTTTGGCCCTAATGTTCAGGCTCTTAATAGCTTCCTCCATGATTTCCCTTTTGACGCTGATCAATTTGTGAGTCTTCATGTCCGTAGTCAACAGGGAGATAGTTATGGTGTTTACCGACTCAGCAGAGATGGCACTCATTTTCCTTCACAAACTTTTCAAATTGAGACTTTTATAATATTTGGGTCTTTTTGGGGCTGGTTTATCTCCTGCCCACACTGAAGGGCTTGCTTGCATGGGTGTTGACTCTTGGAGTTGGGATTGAGCCATAATGTTGTCGTTCCCATGACACCATTTAACAAACAACACAAAGATACAACAAGCAGAAACTTACGTAATACACCAAAACAAAATACAACAATAAAAGCAAACATGGACCAAATTTAACACTTACTTCGAACTGACATATATTACTTCAAAGAAAAGCAAAAAAAAAAATAAAACACAATCATCATAACATCTTTGAACAATAGAGAATACCAATCCTTGCATTGAGTTACAAGAATAGCCTCTGCCAAAGAAAGATTAAAGCAAAAGTAGCAAAAATCTGCTACTTCAAGTAACAGAATCTATGCTAATGTTCTTTCCTCACCTGAATGGCATGGTCAATCAGAAAAATCGCTCACTGAATAAAAACCGTTGTTTTTTTTTGTTTTTTTTTGCTTACCAGCAATATGATATTTTCTGAGCTTGGTGGGCAAATGTGCATTTCTGCCGGTGAGAAGGTTGGATTTGTGACCCCATTTTGTTGTTACTATGTTGCTTGTTGGACTGTTACGACGAACTCTTATTTAAAGTGTGTTGCAGACGAGAGGCAGAAGAAACCTTTTGCAGGCGTTTATTGCTACAATAAGTTTACAATTTTTGTTTTTTTTTCTCTATAACAACGCTAATACTTTTGCTCAACAAGGGCATCCACAATACAAAACAGTAGGAAGATCAAATTGCTAACAAGCTGCCAGTAATCACTGCAGTTTCTATCCTGTTATAAGAAAAATAAGAAGCAGTTAAAAAGAAAATAATCCACAGGACAAAAATCAAAGTACTGCTATATTGTCTAAATATACTAGAGAGATGACCAAGTATGTTCTATCCAAAGATAAAACTAAAATATCTCCTGAAAAGCTTAAAGGAAAGTTAGGTTTGTTTGAGAAAAAGATAAAAAACAAAAAGTATATTAAGCATTTGTTCCTCTTCAAATAAGGATGGTATTAATACAACAAGCATTGCCAAATAAATCTGCCAAAAGTAGCAAATTTAATTATATTGCTGATACCAACATCAAGTTGATAGCACTATGATACCAAAATAGGTGAAGTGAAAAAATGACAGAAATGACAGATTATATCTCAGAAAACAAACTGGTAATACTGTCCAAGATGTTTTTTATGACACAAAAATGATTTTAATCATAAAGACCATAAAATTGGGTAATGCTACCTTCATGAAGATACCTTGACAAATAAATGGCCATGAAGGAATCATCCCAGCAGGTTTTTCGAAGTTCCTTGCAAATTCCTTTATACACAGTTCAAATTCCCTAAACATTTGAGTAGCATCTCTGTAGAAAAATTTAACAAGTTTTAAAGCCTTTGATGTAAAGAAAAGAAAGATTTTATCATATCTACTATATGTATTTAAATTAAATTTATATACTTTTATTATCTACTTAAGGATAGGAAGAACAAATGAATGCAATACAAATTATGCAAATAGTAACAAATGTAGAAAATATTCCAGTCTGAAGTTAGTGGTAATCATGGATGTCTCCACAATTTTCTTTTCTCTTAGCTTTTCTAACAAAACTTGGTATTTTTTTTAATTATGATGCTCAAACTGAAAGTACATTTTTCATTTTTGCTTTATTTCATGAAATTATTTTTTAAAGCAAATATTATTTTGATAGGATGTTGGCCTAAGTCATATATGTGCTGGACTTTGTGAAAAAGTTGATAGCTCAGGATTAAGCACTTTAGTGCTTTGGAACAACCAAATGTCTTACCAAGGCATGCTATCTTTATCCCATGCGCTTGTGAGTACCATTTTCAAAAGTAACTTTTTTGATATTTTAATTTAAAAAAATGGAACTATTCTTTTTATCAGATAAAATGCTTCACTTACTTTAATGTATTCATTTATAAATATTATTTATGTTTGTTTATTTTTTAGCTGTTTTTCTAATAAATTTAGACAAATGAACTGTTAAATTTTCAAATTAACCAGTGTTTTCAAGCACAAGGCCTACTCATGGCACAACCAAGAGCCAGAACTGGAGGCCTATTGAAAAATGTTTGATTTTCAGAAATTTTGGACAAAACTTAAGTTAACTATTTTTTAAAGTACTTGGAATAACATTTTGACCCATACCTGAGGATAATAGGGTGTGTTGAAAGTTAAATAAATGAAAATATGTATTTTTGTTGTGGACACTGATAAGTATTAAACAAAAAATAATTAAGATTTCTGGTAAAAGATATGGTCCACATAATGTTGAAATAGAAACAGTCACACTATTTACAGGTCTCAGTGAACCTTTTATTCAATTTACCCCCAGGGATTGAATAAAGTCTGGTTTAAATTTCCATTAAAGCTACCAGGTTCAACAAACAGTACCTGAAGAAATAAGGTCATCAGCCAAAATGTGTATATGACAATCAATCATCTCAGAAGTATAGACAGATAAAACAAAATCATTCTAGGAAAGTTTCAAAACCTTTAAGGCTGATTCTTTGTCTGATCTGGTGGGTAATGTTTGCAAAAGTTTTTCAAAATTATATTTGCAAAAATATGATCATGCTTTCTCTCCATGTTAAAAAAATGAAACTCAGAAATAAGTGTAACATGAGACATGAAATAACCAGTCTAATTTGTATGACGTGTAAAACTTAACTCACTGAAAACAATTTCTAACTCTAACATTCCCACGTTTAGATCAGCCAATCAAAATCAACATTCCTATTTTGTTTACCAGCTGACCCCAAGGTCAGCTTCAGAAGGTCTGAGCCAAATACACTGCCACTAAAAAATAATACTCTGAAACTATTATTTAACACGTTTTTTCTGAAAACGCTCTGAGAAAAGTAGAAACCCATTGTCTTTCTATAGGCTTTAGAAATTTCATTTAAATCTGAAAGTTTAACTTGTCTTTCAGATTCAAAATAACTGTTTAAGATGTCCCCATTTTGTAACTTGTTTTACTCCATTATCATCAAAGATTAGTTCTGTCTTTTTTGTGAGCCACAAATTGCAAATCAGATGAACATAATCAAAAAGCAAATATTTATTACCATCAGTTAGCCAAAGTTTTTCAGGGAGTGTGGGATATAATTTTAAAAAAAAGCTTGATTTATTTACTCAGTTGTCATCAGCTGGTATAGAGGTGATGGCCTGAACTGTTAACTCAATTTGTTCAAATAAAAAGGCTGATAATTTTGAAATTGGAATCAATCTTATAAGAAATTTTGGACTCACATTAAGACATTATACCAAGTACTGTTTGAGCAAGTAGAGATGGATTGTCAATAGACTTACCAAATAGTTGTTTGCCATGATATAGTAACATTTTCTTGATATATACTTCACATGGAGAATTATGCACCCCTTTTTGACTGGCATTAAGAGTATTAAATACAGATAGCAAAAAAGAGTTTTCATTAAGTTTTGAAACTTTTGATGTCATCCTTCTTTATGCTGTTAATTATGAAAATCCTGTCTTAATCTATTATACGATGACTGTGATGTACTCAAAAACACGTATTACTCTATCTGAATTGTATTTAATTCCAACCATTTTGGGGGACATTGCTGAAAAGTGCTGACTCAAGATATCCTTCTTGTGATCAAAAGCTATAGAATTTAAATATTGGATAATTTCTTCCAATGTTGACCATGTATCAACTGCATTTATATGGTTTGTAGACAGGCAGCTAATATAATACTTAACTCCATAATGAAGGGTTTCAAACTGCAAATTTTTATAAATGCTACAACTGGACATACAAAAACTTTTTTGTTTGTTGATTAGACTTTCTTTCAAATTTGTATAATTAATTTTATCTAATTCTAAAAAAAGCATTCATTTCATCATCAATTTGATTTCAAGCAATACTGAAGGATTTTTGATAGTTTTTTTGAACAGCAAAGGGTGTTGGTATTTGACTCTTTGGCAGACCTGGCCATACAGATGGTGGATTTGGGGGCGCATTTTTTCATGAATTTCTATGGATTCAAAATTTGAAGGCCAATGTAGTTGACAAATAACTGTATTGTTTGTAACATTCAGATTGGCATTTGGAACTGATTTTCACCATCACTCTCTCTCTCTCTCATCTTTGTCTTCTGGAAAACGATAAACTGATATTTTATTCATCTCACACAGTTTTGCTTTGCTGACTTCTCTAATTTGTTTTGCTTTGCTGACTTCTCTAATTTTGTTTCGCATTGCTGGAAACTAGATAATATCTGAAATGATAGATTAAGGTTCTTGAGCGCAATTATTTCTTTTATTGCTTCAATTTAGGGATAACTTTTCAAGCCAAATTAATTATACTCTTAATCCCAACTTTCATCTCCTCTCATACCAATGTTAAAAATAGAAATTTTAGAAGGTGCCTTAAACCTGAGAATACACTTTTAAAAGTGATTTTTTTTGTATATTGATTGGTTTTGGGGTATAGTGTTAGGGGTCTGCAAAATATGACATAATCTTTTAATTTTTGGCACTTGTCAACATAAGATCAGCTATTGCCAGTGTGCTGTTTTTCCAGGCAACACCCCCCCCCCCTTGATTTAAAGGCAGGGGATTGGGTTTTTGTATGGTGCTTGAGGTGCAGGGCACTTTAGTCTCAGCCTTCCTGTGTTAAAAATTAATTTTGTACTCAACTTGAGTAAATAAATAAATTAAATACTTTTTAGAAGAACCTGGAAAAAATGATTGAGCAGCATAGTTATTTGTTCAGTGCATTTTTAGAATATCAAATTAAATAAATATATTTAAATTTTATTATATGACATTAAATATTCTTAAAAGGCTTTTTCATTAATTTTTTGTCATAAGAATGACATTTGGTTGTATTTTACGCATTAATGGAAAATTTAAAAAATTAAACTAAACAAACATTACTTTTGTTTACCAGACCTTAAAGAAAAACAAAACTAATAAAAAAAATAATTCTATGAATGAATTTGTTCTTTATGAATAACAACAATATTAGAGAAAAATATTAAAGTATCTGTAACTTTGAAATAATAATGGTAATTTATTTTTAATAAATTTCAAAGTAAAAACAAATGTAGGAAAAAACGTCTTTGAAAAGACATGTCTGTTAAAAAGTAGACATTTATTAATGTCAATTTTTCTTTAATTTTAATAAGTAAATCATTACAGTTCAATCAATAACAAAATAAAATGTGGTAAAAAAGAATCATACTTTAAACACAGGGCATAAAAAAGAATTTGTTTTTGAAGCATAAGAAGTGTTTGCTTTATTTTTTAATCATTGAATGAAATTTTAATGGAAAAATATTGAATACTTAAAGTTTTAATAAAGAGAAATTTTGAGTTAGTGCTTTAAACTAAATTTTGAGTTAAGGCTTTAAACTAAATTTTTGACTATACTTTTTAAAAACTTAGAAGAAGCAGGATTAATTTTGTTCGCACATGCAGCATTTTTATAAAAAATAAATACTGAATTAAATATTTAGAATTTAATTATATTAAATTTATGTATTCTTAAATGTTTTCTTCATTCATTTTCTAATACAAAAATATTACATTTGCTTCTGTTTTACATTTAATGGTTGAAACTAAACTAAAATTAATGCTTAAAATAAAAACACAAACAAATTAATTACTCAAAAAAGAATTAAATTTTATCAATGAATAATAATACTTAACAATATCAAAGAAAAATATTAAAATAACTTGTGTCCATTGAAAAATAATGGTGTTTTATTGAACTTTAAGTGAAAAATAAACAAAAAAATATTTAATAAACTTTAATTTAAAAATGTTAAATAAGAAAAGTAACAAGCAGACCAAGGTTCCTAAATACCATTTCTGCGTTGTAGTCAATTACAAACCCAAAAGTTTGGTTTTTACAATCTACATGAAAAAATAATATAGCAACTTAAAATAAGATAAAAATTTTATACTTTATCAATTAAATAAGGTAAATGATATTCCAAATGTAAGGAAAAATTTCTTTGAATTTCTTGAGCCACCACTGGAGTAATTAGCTCAAACTGAAAGTAAAATCCTGCGTGCTTCTCATTGGACCAAAGAATGTTTAAGACAAGCCTCCAGTTCTGACCCATTTCTACATTATGTATTGGCCGTGTAATATATAACGCCATAGTAAAAATTTTTCTTAATTTTTTCAGTTGTTCTGATAATATTTTTATTGAACAAAACATTAGCAACAATAAAAAATTTAAATGTCCAACTTGTTCTCTTTTCACATATTCCATTTTACATACTTACTCTCAGTTTTTTTATCATATATAATTTCAGTGCAAAACTATCATAAAAACTAGATTTAAGATTTATTATTGAGTATGTGAACTTGATTAATTCATAATTAAAATACATCTCAAAGGGTAATTTCTTGTTTTATTAATAGCTTGATTTTTCTTGCATTTTATGGTGGTATCTTATGTATTGACTGTTTGCATTATGCTTTTAGTCTGTGGTGGAATGCCTTGAAACCTTGAACCTTGGTCATAATAGCATTACCAATGAAGGCATTCATTATTTAAAAGAAGGTCTGTTAAAGAACAAATCTCTCATCAGACTTGGCTTACAAGGGACAAAGGTTTTGTGTGAAGGTAAGATCTCTTTTTTTCTCACTGACTTAATTATTATTTTAAAAAATCAGAATCAGTTCTTAATTTTCCCCCTTTTATAATTTTCATTTCTCATTATTTGTATGATAATTATTAATATAACACAATTTTTTTGTATATTTGTAATTGTAAAGTAAATATATATAATTCATAATTTGAAAAACGTCTTAATTGGAATTATTAATTATTGAATAAATTTGAATTAAATTTTTTATTCATAGAAAAATTTATATTTCACATAGTTTCTAAACACATTATATTACATTATATTTTAAGGTGAATACGGTTTATTTTTAAATTTAGATATTTCAATCATTGCTTTGTATCAAAAGTAAAATTAAATCTCTTTGAATATAATTCTATACTTAGGATGACATTTAAATATTTATATTTTTAAATAGCATTAACCATTTTTTGACATTTTTGTAAATAAATTCTCACTGTCATGGTCTTGTCTGAGATTACTAATCTTTAAATTGTTAAAATAATAAAACTATCAGGTGAATCAAGTTTATTTTAAATTTTGTCTTTCCTCATGTGAATGTAATGGATAGTCACTTAGAACTAGAAACTGGAAAACTAAGTTTGAATTACAGTTGAATTCATTACATTCACTTTTGTGCAAATACCTTTGGAAAATGTATGAATCCATCTCTTCCCCATCAACTATGAGTAAAATAGCAGGATAGACTGGGTCCTATAGCCTTGGTTGTCAATCAGGCTAGGAGAACTCAAAACATGAGAAGGGTCATTTGGAGATCTTGTGACACTCTCTTTGCACTAGTTCTTCCCAAAAGTGTGGTTTGTTCTATACAAGCCTTCATGACTATAATCAAATCATATGTGCAGATAGTTTGGTTGTTTAGTTCTAAGAACTGATCTGCTGGTCTCTCATATGTTGAAAGTGACAATAAAAAGTATAGTATATATATATATATATATATATATATATATATATATATATATATATATATATATATATAATAATATCTTATATCTTTTACAAACAAATAACCTACTATTAAGTTGGAAAGAAAGTCCTGTCACATTTATAGATGGAAAAGTAACAAATGCTTCTTTGGTGCTAATTGATAAATTCTCCCTTTTTCACAGGGTTGTCATGTTTATTATTTTCATTGAATATAATTACAGTGTAGAGAATCCATTTTTTATCACTGGTGATGATTCTATCCATGAAAGTTTCAGTAGCAAGTCTTCAATGATGAACAGCAGGCATCTCTTTGATTAAGCAGAGAAGCAGTGAAATGATGAGAAACCTATTAATCAAGTTTAGACACTTTTCTGAGTTCATGAATATATTTTATGATTGAAACATGACTTGTACTGACCTGTTTTACTCATGCAGTATTCATAGGATTTTCCTCAGTTATGATTTATAGAAGCTGAACATTGACAGAACTTTGTTGTCGAGATCAAGGGGAAACTTTGGGAAATTTTTTCTCTCAGTCAGAACTGATCAAAACTTTGTTAACATGTCTAAACACTTGAAGAAATATTTCTCACCGTTCTATTGCTGAATAAATCTTTTTTGAATTCATATGGCATGTCTAATGTGAGTTTGATTAAAATTTGTTTCAAAATTTACCTCCTCTGACCCCCACCCCAAGAAAAACAGAACATAAAATTAAATGTTATTTTTACCATAAGTAATGACAAAGTACACTCAAAGTGGATATGTTAAAAATATGACAAAACTTTTTCAAATTAATATTTAGGTTAATTCTAATTAGGTATTGCTAAAATTGACTTTTTTTTCTGAAATGAACGTAAAAATTATATCCACGGTTATTTAAATTTACCAAAAATCCGAATTATCTGATTTAAAGGAAATGTTCAGAACTTATTAATTAATGAATGAATTGTATACTGAATAGGTTATTTTATTAGAAAGTTCAGTTACATTGGGAATATGTTTAAAATTGGAGGAGTGATGAAAAATATTAAGTTTTATAAAGAAAAATCCTTGAAGATAAAAAAAAGTATTTTTACAGTATCAAATCAAAAATTATTGTAAATTTGTACTTTACCAAAATATTCAATAAAACTCAAAAAAATAATTTTGGTTGAGAATTGGTACTTGCATGATTTAATAAAACATTATTTTCTTTCAGATTTGATGGGAGGGTGGGTTGAATACAATGACTATTTATTTTTGAAAAATTAACTTGTATTATTTTAGTGCAATTTTGAAATTCTTCTAACTGCTAATGACAAAAGAGATCTTTTTTTATTAAATAAAGATGTTTGAAGAAATGATCCTATTTTGTATCAGATATATTTTTAAAAGAATTTTGTTTTATTTATTTTCACAACTGTTAGATTAATTTTTTCAATTTTGAATTAACTCCTTATTGGTTATATACATTAAAATTATTATATATGTCTTATTTTATAACATTTGAGCTGAAAGAAAGCAAAGTGAACAGTATCAATTCATAAAGTCTATCAATTTTCCTCAGTTTATTTTTTTCTTTTATAGCAGCACTTTCTTTTGTATAATAAATTTTTTTAAAAGACCTGATTTGGTGGTGTTTAATATTTCATGACATCAAATAGTTAAAAAAAATAAATACAGAATAAATGCCAAATAGTTAAAATAAAAGCAATATTACATTTTATTTTTTAAATATTTTCATATACCTATGAAAAATATTCCAAGTTTCATAAAGAAATAATTTTATTTATAGAATAAAAAAATAGATTCCTACAATACTTTACTAAAAAAAAAAGGACATTTAAATGAATTAAATGCATTTATAATGTCTTTTAGCTCAAATTTTGGCAGTACCTAATTTTAATGAATCTGATCCATACTATATTGGTTGATCAGAATTAAATTTATTTTCACTTTTATGCATTAAATCACTTGGCGCTATATATCAATAAATGATTTATAATATATAAATACCTAGATTTTTATATTTTCAAATATTTTTGAAAAATTTGATTTTTCTTTTAATTTTATACAATGAATATTCATCATATTTAAATATTTGAGCTTTTTGTAAACTGAAAAATGCATAAAAAAATCATCTTTTATGTTGTCATCTATTTAGTTTAAAGATTTATAAACAATGAATTTTTGTTTTGTTTTATTTTAGGCTATTACTTAGTCACATAGTAAGAACTATTTGGTATGTTGGTATCTTTTATCAAAAAGAAAATCGATGAATTTAATTGATTCATAAAGATTACTTTAACAATATCCAGAAGATTATTAACATATTCTGATAATTAATATTAAGAACTTTTTAACTCCTACCAGTTTTCATCTTTTGCTTTTTTTTTTTGTGCAGCAATAAGTTAACATTTGTTCATTTTTTTAATTTGTTTTGTCTACCAGTCTTAATTCAGAGCTGACCATGCTAAATTAAATTCCTATTTTTTAAGGTTTATGTTTTATGACTATATTTTTTTGATAATAAACACAGCATAAAGTTGTTCAATATTTTATGATACATTCAATATATAATCAATGTATTGATTGTTATGATACTTAAATATAAAATCATAAACTTTGACTATTTTCATGAATATATTAATTTTAAATTAAAGGGTGATATATTGAAAGCAGCTGTTTAATTCCAAATATTCTTCAGAATGACTTTGTGAAAATGCTTACAAATATGTTTCCTCTTAGATACTTCAATCACTAGAATAGTTCTTTTTAATTATTTTATGTTACTACTTGATTGCAAATTGGCACTTTGTGAGTGAGGTTGACAAATCTTGTTTTATATGAAAAAGGGCAATTTTAATAACTTTATTTCAGGTGCAGTTGCATTGGCTGAGTATATAGCAGATAGTTCACGTTTACTTCAAATTGATCTTCGTGAAAATGACATCCGTACAGCAGGCCTGATGGCTCTCTCACTTGCTCTGAAGGTCAATGAATCTTTGGTTCGATTGGAATTAGACAGAAACACTAAAAAAGAAGTGGTTAGTTGCTTTCACTTAATTCTTTACATTTGAAAGTGTATGTGTAAGAAATACTGAGACAGTCTCTAGACATTGCTAAGTATTTGTGTTTATTATTGGATTGCCCACCCCTAACAAATATTTTTTTTGCTATTGTTGTTAGATGGCATTAGGAGTTTTAACTAAGTTCATTCAAAAAGATTGTATTGTGACAGCTGTTATATCAGCATGAATACTTTAAAAAGATTTTGTTAAAACGATTTTATTATTGATTCTAATATTGAAGACAGAAAAAAATAAGCAATATTTTCATGCATACTTTTATTTTAAGAAAGGCTAAAAAGGTTACACAAATGCCTTAAATATTAATAGAATTTATGAAGAAGGTACTGTAAATGATCAAGTATATCAAAAATGCTTTACAAAGTTTTGTTGCTTGGGATTTCTTTTTGAAAAATGCTAAATATTAAATTACTAATGAAAAATGGTTTATAATGTACATAACTGGGCTCTTCAGGTTTGGTTGGCTTCTAGGAGAGGGAACATTCTGAGTTCCTCAACCTGGATAGATGGAACTTATTATGTGAACAGCTGCTGAGGTTGTCTAAGGGAAGGAAAGCCCTAATAGAAAGCCAACTCTTCCTCAGATTACAGAGGTTGGGCATGAAGCTAATCACCCGACTCTGTGAAACAATCACCCCCACCTCGATTACAGTAACCTCCACCAAAAGGCCTTATGTGCCATGAGGCATATATCTATGCTATGTAGATTCCTATGTACCATAGCATACCTACAGAAGATGAGTAAAACTGAAGGAATCTAACAATGTTGCTTATCTATTGCTTTTACCTTATCCCAGAGGAGGCAGTGTGTTCCTCGCTTCTCTTTTGAGATATAGTCTACCATACTAAACTTTTCCACTTCTAGATATGGTTTTCTTATGTTTCTGGAATCTGACTTTGAAAGAATGGTTGATTCTTCCTTTACATTCTTGGCCACATTTGTATAAAGGATATTATATTTTTTGCTGTTCACACAAAAAGAAAATCAACTATAAGTACAGAAGAGAAAATTATTTTGTTATTCTGTTTTTTTGATTAAAATGTATTTTTTCTGTGATTATATCTGAATATAATCTTCTCCAATAATAAGTTGATATTTTCTGTAATTCACAGCTTTATTTATGAGTTTAGATTTATCATGAAGTTTTTTGTTTAAAATGCAAAAGGATGTCAATTACTCCACCTAATGCCAAATGAAATTGAAATAAATAGGTAGAAAATTTTTAAATTATCATGCAGTCATGTGAACAGCTGCTGAGGTTAGTTTTATCTTTTCTAAGATAAAATAAGTTTTAAAAATTGACTTCAGCATAATTTTTAACTTTATAGATGAAATTTTCTAATAAAATATATTTATTTTAACTCACCAAATATGTGCTAATTATTTTTTCCATCTTTGTTAAAGGCGGTTAAAGATTATGCTGACCAACAACGTCGCCTTCTGCAGGATATCAACAATTACTTGGAGCGTAATCAGAGTTTGGCCATCAAACGAGAAAATGAAGAGAAAGAAAAAGAGAAGCGTAAGGCTCAAGAAGCAATTAAGAAGAGGGAAATTGAAAAACTTGCTAAAGAGCAGGAAGAAGAAGAAGAAGAAGACTTAGAATCTGTATACATTCCGACATGCATGAAAATCCGTCGGCCGACATTGCTCTTCCCTGGGGACCCTTCCCCACAGCACACACTTGACTCCCCTGCTTTCATTCCAGACAGTGAATTCATTAATCAACTAAATTCACAATTAATTTCCCCCATTTCGCCAATGTCTCTGAATAATTCTGTAACCACATCCCCACCAGGAGAGTTCTTGCTCAGTCCCCAATATTGTGAAAAGACAAAAGCTAAAAAGATATTCACTGTCACAAAAGTTGGGGAAACGGCTTTTCAGCGTTCACCCACTTCTGGCAGCTTGCCAACATCATCTCCAGGACTGATGTCACCTGCATCTTCTATGGACCAAATCATTTTGAGCTTTGGAAATGACCAAACATCTTCTGGAAAAGTATATTCAAGTCCTCTAAGTGGACCTTCTGAAATTCGAAAAGAAATTGCTGCTGAAACTGTATGTGGTCTGTTTGGACTTCTGAATGAAACGGAAACTATCCAGACTGCCCATATGCCTGATTATAATTTCCAAAATAATAAGTCTGTGAACGAATATGAGAAACAACCTGATCAGCAGATGGATGATGCAAATACAGAAAATCAGGAAATGGAATTAGGAAGTAATAAAGACTCTTCTCTTCAGCAGGAGAGCGTTTTGTCAGAACTTAAAAGTGACAATGAGGATAATAATAGACAACAATTGCCATGTCCTTCTAATGACTGTTCTCAAATTAATAATTGCAATGAGATCCAGAGTCTTGTTGAATCTACAAATGAATCAGACATACAAAATGTTACCAGAGATAAAAATCAGGCCATAAACCTTGACAGAAAAAATATCTTTGATGTTGAATTTGTAAATAACAGAATTATTGACAACTGTACAAATGAATTTAATGTTACAGGCAAATTAAGCAGTGAAATGGGTGCAGAAATGTGTGCAAATGTTGCTGCAGAGTCTCTTTTTATGAAATGTAATAAAGAAGTTGATTATTCTGACCAAACTGCATCAGTTACAGACACTCAGGATGAATCACTTGACATAAGTAAGTTATATTATTATGTTTTAATATTTATAAGATTAGCCATCTTTTTAATTGATCTAGAATCATGAATGTTGCAGAGATAAGTAACTAAAATTTGTATCATTTTTGTATTCTCCAGTTTAGCATAGAGACTTTAGGATTGCTCCTAAAGTATTAATTTATTTTGCTGATGATGTAAGTTATGAAATAGTATACTTTTATGAATTTTTAATCCATGTGAAAGAAAGTCTCTTATTACTGAAACAAAAATAAAAAAATAATAATTTAAACATGATTATAAATTTGGATATAGCTAACATTAAATTGCCATGGAAATTTTTCTTATGAAAAGCTACAGTTGAAAAAAAGAAAATCTATTTATAGTTCATTATTACATTTTGGTCCAGGTGAACTTTTTATTATTTAATATTTCAATCCAAGTGAACTTGACTTTATTATTTAAACAGAAACTTGAGAAATTGTATAAAAAATATTCATAACTTTAATTGATGTGAATCTCCACCACCATTTAAAAAATATTGTTGATTATTTATTTTATGTTTTTATTTTACTTATTCATTTTTATTTCTTATAATATCTTCTCTATTTAGAAATATAAATATTGAATATAAGTAGGTATATCAGTGACAGTATTCTAATGACAAAAACATTTATTTTTCAATGCAATCTCCTTCCTTGTCACTGCACTTAACAGTTCATCATAGATCAAATAAATTGGATATTATACAGTAAAAATTTCAGATCAAAACTGTGTGACACTGAGCTGTCAACCCGTGGTCAACTCCCAGTTGCGGCACGAAGCTGCAATGTTTCTTCCACTGGTATTTTGGGGTTGACTCTTAGTCGCTGCCACCAGCCTGTATCCCGGTCGATCGGTGGTAATCATTACTCGGCAGAATCCCTTTGTCAAGATACCAATATGTGACACTGGCCTGTCCAGGGTTGAGTTCTGGTCATCAATGTTAATGGCTTTACACCAGCTGTACCGGTTCAATACCAGCTCTGTCATTCCCAACTCACTTCCAACATCTAGTTACCGGAGTAACTGCTTCAATCTAAAGTCTAACCTACCCACGTTATGATTTTGATCTTCGGTAGACAAGATCAATCGGGCGTCAGGCCATAGTCTAAGCGGAGTCCAGACTGAAGGTGATATCACACAAGCGTAAAGAAAAAGGAAGCAAATAAAAGAAAAACCCAAGAGGTTCAAGTATGTTAAGAAATAACAAATTAACTTTATCCGTCTGTTATATACAGGAGTGTGTTTCTCTCCCAGCTCGTTCTCTACGGAATGTGACACTTTTACGGTTTAAGCAATATCTTGAGTCAACTGATTTAGTTCTTAGGTGCTGGCTTGGCTTTGTTCGTCAATATAACTTGCTATTGGTAGGATAGGCGAAGTTGGAAGTCGTGGAATCTCTCGGTCAGCTTCCTGCTACTCGAACTGAACTGTCTGACTGACTGACTCCAACTGCTACTGACTCGACTCGACTGACTGTACTCGACTGTCTGACCAGCAGCCAGAGGACATTCGTTTATATGGGTACTGGGGTGGGGCCGGACGCGGACTGGGGTTCTCAGTAAATCTCAATTCCCAACAAGAAATCTCTTTGTTATCAGACAAGGAAAATTGATTACTTCCCATTTTTGAAAATGAATCACTTTCCATTTTTTTGGCGGGGGTCTCCCTCGTCCGTGAGGGAAGGTCGGAGGAGAGCTATTCTCCTAGACTCTTCCTCTCTCACATTGATATCTCATATCAATCCCTTCAGTAGGCGTTAATAACTTCTCCATCCTTCTCATCAATTCACCTCCGCCTATCACCATTGCTACCACTCGAACAATGGCATCCCGGCCATGCAGGTGTGGCTAAGCTGGCCCCCTTCAAATTATAATCCAGAATTTTTGTTTGCAAAATTCTCCTTTTTCCCATTGGTTAAGATTTTTACGAATCCCATATTGCCACTTAAAATGTATCATATCTTTTAGACACTCAGAATCCACTTAGCCAGCACTCTTTACCAATTCCATCAATCACTATCAAAGTTTGCCATCTGGTCCATTTGTGAAGTTAGCTTATACTGGAACCCTTGGCTTTTGAGAAATTGTTTATCTTACCAAATCACAATTCTTCCATGCTATCTTTTCTCCTGCCCAAAATTTTACAATCGCCATATTGCTACTCAATGTCTATAGCATCTGAAAGCGACACCTTAGTAAATTAAATAATAACGGTCCTCTCAACCCGTATCGAGACAAATACCAAAATTTTATATTCACCACATTGCTTTTCCTTGCCGGCACTCAAAAAAAAAATAATAAATGATATCTTGGAAAGATAATTAATATTTCATTCTCCCTACCCTGTATCGGCAATCGTCTCAGACCGAAATTTTTATGACCGCCATGTTTTGCTTATCTTTCCAAATCTCTTATCTCTCTCAGCAAGGCACTTCTTTACAACAATATTAATCAATTTGATAAAATCTCACATATGGCTTTTTCTACGGGTTTACTGTCTTTTGTGAAAAGTATCTTTTTCATAAATAAAATAAAATCTTTTTAACATTGAACGGTATATCTTTCAGGATAACTTCTTTCCACCTTCAGTACTTCCTGTTTTAATTTCTATGGTTAATTAGTTAGCCAATTACTATAGCTAAATAGTGTCACACTGTGTCAGGCTTTAAATTGGTTCTCATAACACTGAATGCTCGTCAAAAAGTTTGTCATTGAAGCAGTTGTATCAGAAATGCTAATTATTAAAAAGCAACTTTTAAGAATCAAACAATTTGTTAAATCCCTTGTCATCAGTAATTGAATTCAACTTAAATATAAATTTGTCCAAGTGAAAATTAGATTTTTCTTATAAAGAATCTAATGGAAGTAGAATTTAACCTTTCTACTGAAGCTAGAAACTATTGTAAGAATTTTGCTTTTTTTACTTTAGATTTATCTTTACTTCAGTTATTTTTAAGTTTACCACTTGTGGGCATAATTCATATAGATTTTGGGCCATGTGATGTTAAGTTCTATCAGGTATGTTAAACAACACAAAGAGAATACATTATAAAACTAAATCTATAGAATTGTTTAACTTTTCATTAATTCATATCACTGACTCTGACATTTGTTTTATATCAGTTACAATTTGTAATAATCCTGTTTAGTTTCAAGTGCAACACTTAATTTTTATATTTAATAGTATCTTCTATTTGTTAACCAACAAGGCTTAGGCTAAGACATTCCTTAATTCAAAGCATTAAAGTTGGGATTTTTATATATATATATATATATATATATATATATAGCATTTTTGTATAAGAAAATTTTTACTATAAACCCTGGATTTATTTGAATTTTTTTATAGTGCTTATAAGGTGGTAAATCTGGTAAAGAAAACATTCTGAATCCAGTGATCATAAAATTCAATACCTAATGTGAAGTACAAATAAATGTAATAAATGTAATAAAATATTAAGTTATAAAGCCTTTAATTTTGACCCCATTTGGAATGTTTTCCACTGCTTATGATGAAATACACCAAAATGATTTGCTTCTTTTCTTCCCATTTGGTTTGCTTAGGCTTTGTATTTTATATTGTATTATTTTTTTTAAATCAAGTAGTTTGGATTAATTAGAATTTTCATCATTAATTAATGGCTTTGTATTTGTGGAAAGGATAATTTTTTCATCCATGCCAGATTAATATTTTTTCTAAGATTTTTCTCAATAAAACCAAAAAGTTTTTTCATACTTTCTTCAATCACAATATTTCACTTCTGTGCTGCAAATTCTTAAAATAATTCTAATTTTAATTTTATCTTCTCTTTTATAGATTTTAGCAAAACTTGTCAAGAATTTTCTTTGACAGATAATGAAGTATCTTCTGGTTCTGAACTGACCAATAATCACAATGGCTGTCTTCCAGTCTGTCATTTGGACAAACTAGGTGAGAAATGCCGACCGGAATTCCATACCAATCTAAGTTTAAATGGAATGACTCAGGAATTGGCTAATGTACTGGATAGCCTGGAATTGGAAACCAACTGCAAACCAGAAGTCTTACCACACACTTTCAAAACTATTCAAACAGGTGAGTTTAGTTTTTTTTGTCTTTGACTTCTTAGGAAGGTGGAGTGCCCTGATTATGAAACCAAAATTCGTCTTTGCAGGATAAGTTCCAGAAATTCACAAAATTGAAGAATAAAATCTGAACCATTTCATATTTTCTATAATAATATAAAAAAAAATTACCTTCTGTTGGAAAATACATTTTAAAAATTCAAATATGTTTATTTGTTCATTTAAAAATAATGAATATTGAAGCAATGTTTGATTTTATATTTAAAGAGCATATTTACTGGAATTTGATATGGCATTTTGAGAGAATTTTCATTAGAAATACCTAAGATGGTGTAGCAGACATAAATAACCGGAACCTGAATTGAGGGGCGGAATTGGTGAACGAATCTTGCTGGCATCTCTAAGAGAGAGAATTCATCTGGGTATGGTGTATAGGACTTCAATTTGAGAGAAGGCATTAAACATGACCATCTTGGAGAAAAGAGTGAGTTCTGCAGGGTACATCGTACAATACATGCAGTTGTGATAGAACAAGTGAATGAAGTGGATAAAAAGGCAGAGAGCAACGATAAATACTGAGAAACCATTGTAGAAGGGAGAAATGCTGAATCTGAAATTGCATCCCACAACAGAGTTGCTAATTTCTTTTAATGACCCAGATGGGTGCCAGTCATGCTAATTGGGAATGAAATGTTATGAATTATGGACATAATAAAGGATAAGATTAAAATAATTGCCAAAGGTGTGAATTAGTACCTGAAATTATTTGGATTTGTGTGATTGAGTGAAACAAGGTGCATCCACTCCTCACCCAAAACTGCTGTTGGAATATATGACAATTATGATAAAGCAACTAGTTCAGATCTTTGCCAAAAATCAAAATTGGTGTTTGACCCTGTTGGACGGGGTGATGAAGTCATGAAAACCCTTCCTATGAATCTGTTGCTAAGCCTATATGCAAATCAGCTTGTAACCTTTAAACCTATTCCCCACAAAAACAGTTAAAGTGTAGAGAGATGATTGCCTGAAAGTCAGTCAACCATCTACATTCAAACAGAGAGAAGTTCTGATCTCAACCTATTGCCATCAATCAGCTAGACTGTTTATCTTCACAAGGAAAAGGAAGGACTCTCTGGCTAATATGTTACAGTCAGATGATTGTGAACCTACTTTTCTATGTTGAGTACATGTATAGAGAATGGAAGACTAAGTAAGATAAGACAAGTGGCAAGATTCAAGCCATTTATACTCTGTAAGAAAGTTATGAATGAAAAAAAAAGGGAAGGTAAGCAAAGTTTAACAATTAAGATAGTGCAGACACATCAGCTTGCATATCTTCATTAATTTTATATATGTAGACCACTTGGCAGGCAAGAGGCTTCACTCAACTAAACAACCTTGATGTGTCAGTAAAAGAATAACATCATTAGGTCTTTTAGTAGCATATACTGACCAGGTTGGAAAATGATTTGACTAGAATCAAGATCTGCTCAGGTCAATAATCACATGGGTGAGCAGGTATCTGGTTGAATCTAACACATACACTCCAAAGCAACCCACCAGAGTTGGGATAGGAATGATACTTGTTTTCTGATTCTATTTATAAAGTTGAAATAGAAATTCTATAAAACAAAAATATTTACTGAAGTTTTAAAAAAAAATTCATATTGAAACATAAATTTTTTTCCAGTTGTTTAAAATTTAACTTAATCAAATTGATTTTCAAATGTAGACTAAAATTAAAATGTGCATAATTTTTAATACAGTGTGTGACAAATATCTCCAACATAATGGTAAGACATTAGTGGCAATGGTGTCTTCATCTAGCTAATTTCTTACCATTATGTGGGAGGTATTTTTACCACACCCTGTATAATTAACATTGTTAATGACTTTCTGGATCTATTTTTCTATTAAAAAATGTTAAATTTTAATGAGGTTAGTTTTTATAAGTGCAATATGCAATCATTTTATTAATAATATTTTGTTAAAAAATAATTTTTTCAAAATCAATATAGGCAAAATTGGAATGCTGAAGATGTACATCATCAGAATTTCTAATAACATTTAATATTAAATTGTTCTAAAATTTTTTTTTTTTTTTTTTTTTTTCAGACACTGTTACTTCACCTGCAGAGTATGAAAAGGAACTTGATGATATGTTAGCCCATGTACAACAAGGCTACAATGTTAAGTCCTAACCTCAATGGTAAATAGAACTATGTATTTTTTATTGTTTTCAATCATAAACTTGTATTTGATTTCAGTGAATCTATTTTGTATTTAAAACATAACTCTCATGTCTGGAAAAAAAAAAAGTGATCAATGAAATATTTTTTTGGGGAAAATAGTTTCTATTACAACTTGGTTAATCTGAATTAAGCAGTTAACAATTCAGTTTATGTAAAGAAATGTAAGATCTGGTCAGGTTACAGTTACAATTGCCACTTCAGGGCCTTCTCCTTACCATGTCATTGGTCCACTATGATAACAAGTAGAAGGAAGACAAGAGTTAATATGCATTCTTAAAAATTCCTGCTTAGTCTGATGCATTCACTCACATAAATGCCTTTGCAAAAGGCATGAATGCATCTCTTCTCTCTGTTGCTTTGGGTGGCAGCCAGTCTAGGAGAAAGCACTATCATAGCAATTCACAGATAATAATAATAAAAAAAAGAAATGTTTTGAAGGGATATGGTATTAAAAAGACATATTGGTTTTTAGAAGTACATTTGTTTGCAATGAGAATAGTGAATGCAGAAATATATAGTTCCAGTTCCAAAGAAAATATCTTTAGTAAATAGTATACAATGCTGTGCAAAAATAAGTGATTCCCTAAGATAATATTTATAATAATTCGCATTTAACCAGATAATCAACAAATCTTAACTAAATTATATATTCGTTAAAAACTTTTATTAAATGAATTACAACTTTCAAAGATTTTTTATGAAATTGGAATAAAAATATTAACTAAAAATTAAAATGTGCAAAAGTTTTACATGGTTGCCAGAGCAAATAATTTTTTGTGCACATCTAAAAATCAAAATGACATGCATTCATTCTTTTTTTATTTTTTATTGGTAAGCTGTGTATACTGCAGTCTATAACTCATTGGGTTATGCAGTTAGACTAAATTTAAAAAAAATATATATGCAAAAATCAAAAGAACTTCCTGAAGCCTTAAAAAGTTGCATAGTTAAAGCCTATAATGATGGAGAAGGCTATCAAAATGATTTGATTTGTGCACTTCCCCACCATGCAACAAATTATTTATAAATGGAAGGCATCGCAATCAAGAAGTGGCTGTCCAAAAAAAATAATAGCAAGAGCAAGTAGGCATCTAGTTCAGCAAGCCCAGGCAAATCCTGCTGTGACCTTTTTGGTTCTCCAATGCTCACTGGCCAACATCAGAATCAATGTGCATACATCTAGTGTGTCATAAAATTGGAACAATGCCGATCTTCATGGCAGAATGTCTAGAAAAAGCCACTACTCATGGAATAGCACAAACATTCTTGCCTCAACTATGACAAAGCTCATAATAAGCTAGAAATATTCTGGCAAAAGGTTTTATAGTCAGATGAGAGCAAACTAGAGATTTTTGGGAGCTCCTAATACAGCTTTTGAAGAGAAGAATTTGATACCAATTAAACATGGTGGTGACAGCATAATGATTTAGGGTGCTTTGCTGCAGCTAGAACAGGAAAAATAGTATGCATTGACTGCACAATGGAATTTGCAAGATACCAAATAATTTTGAACAAAAGTTTCTTCAGTTCAAAAGTTGGGTTTAGGTTGGGGCTGGAATTTCCAAAAGGACAATAATCTAAAGCATCAAAGCAAATACACAAAAGAATGGGTTTATAAAAAGAAATTTCAAATCTTGGAATGGCCTAGTCAAAGTCCTGATCAAAACCCAATTGAAAATTTGTGATTCAAGTGTAAGAAGGCAGTGCATGCAAGAAACCCAGGTAATATTGAGCAATTGTGGTAGTTTTGCTAAGAACAATGGTCAAAATTGGCATTCACTACTGCCAGAAGCTTCTTAAAAATTATAGAAAAAGACTGGTTGACATTATGGCCAAGTATTAAATGTAAGAATTCACTTACTTTTGCACAATTTTCAATTTTGTATTAATATTTTTATTCCAGCTTGATAAATATTTTTGAAAGTGGTTGTAATTGATTTAATAAAAGTTTTTATTAATGAAAATATAGTTTAAGATTTATTGATTATCTGGAAAAAAAAGATATTATTTTAAATATTATCTTAGGGGGTACAGCAGTCTATATATCAAACTCAATCTTAGTAATTGACAGTGGAACTATTGTTTTTGTTCTAATCTAGTTTTTTTTTTTAAATATCATCATTGAAATTTTAATTTTAAATTTAATTGCAAAAACGAAGTTTACCATAACCAAAAAAAAAAAAAAAAAACTTTAATAAGTTAAGGCTAGTAGTAATTTTCAATCAAAGACAATTACTTTCAAATGCATTGATTGATCAACCAGTCTGTTCCTGAAAGATTTCATTCATTGGTCCAGAAAGTCTGACATAACACTTATCATGTGCTGTATTGAAATGATTAAGTTGTGGAAATTCCATACAAGTGTTTCTTTCTTGTTTCTACTCTTTTAAAAAGGTTCTTGCATCTTATTTTTCCAACTTTAGTATCATGTGAAGAGAAAATACTATTAATTTTCAAAGACAGATCATTTATTTGGCTTCCGGCTTTTGCTATTCCACAAAGCTGTTAGCTTAGTCTACTATAGAGCCAACGTTTTATTCATTTTGATTGAAAAGAGTGGATGTGGAGAAGCAAGATTCAGCTTTATAATCTTAATAAGTATTATTTTGTATCAAATTATGAGGTGCAAACTTTCACATTTAAAATTCGATTGCCAAATTTAATCATCTAAAAAGATATTTATTTTCTTAATTAAATAGCCAATAAATATTGAATAGAAATGCACTTTTTTTAAGAATCTCCTACCTCCATTAATTGTAAATATTTTTCATTTGTTTTTTCAGATTATTGGACATTCTCACTAGCATGGAATAAGACTAAATCTCTCACTTTTTATTCTTTCTTCCTCTCTTACAACTAATCCCTTTCCTTGTTGGGTGGCAATACCAAACAAAAGACATGGAGGAAAATTATCATGAGAAACCTGTGTAGGACATATGAATAAATACATGTGCGTTTATCATCAATATAAAACCAATGCAGCTTCAACTAATGACAGTGGCTGGAATAATCGTTCTTTTTCCTCATTGATACATGGCAGGAGGGGACATTTTATTTTTCTTCTCTTTCTAACATTCCCTGCTTCAAACATTCTTATTTCTCCACTATGTTATAATGCCAACCAACGTTACAGTTTTGTTTGTCTTTCAAGGCAAAGAAAAAAAAAAAAAATGTTCAAAATTAACAAAAATTAAAACCACCTGAGAAGAGAAAAATATTTGCATTATAAATCTGAAAGTGAAAAAATGTTGGAAACAGATGTATCACATATGGAAGGACAAAAAAAAAAACTTCAGGATTGAGAAAATTCATTTCTTGCTAAAATGGGGCAAGAATTAAATCCCAACAGTTAATATTCTTCAACTCCACATTGGTCTTTCACAAAATGGAAGGAAGGCAGAAAAACTTTTCAAATCAAATCTTTTCTATGGATTGCAAGAAAAATTTGGAGCTTAGTAAATCTAAAAAAAATGTATTTTGGTAGATTTTCTCTGTTTATACAATTTTTTTTTCCTCTTATTCTGACAGTTTTTTTATTTCCTACTTCCTTCCATTGAATTTTTTTTTTAATTCTTCATACACAATGATTTTATTTTAAGTATTTATTTCAGCATTTTTTGTTTTTACTTATATTACTGTATTTTTTTTAATGAAATATTATTACCATTAACTAGCAACTCTTAAACACAAAGCCTTGGTTAATAATAAAATTCTACCCTTTAGATTTTTACTCAATTTTTTCTTTTCCTTTTATATTATTGATTTTTTTTCACTTTCAATTTTTTTAAAAGGTTATCTATTGTACAGAGTTGAATTCAAACTCAATAAAAAAAACAAAAAAAAACAAATGACTCCAAATTTAATTCATCCTTTTGTTTAAAGTGATACACGTGTGAAAATACCCAATCAAATTTTGAACTTGCATTCCACTTAATTCCATGCAATGAAAAAAAATATTAGAACAAAAAATGTTTGTTGTATAGCTGCAAAAGCAGACTCTTAAAAGAAATTTTAATTTCAAACATTCAATAAATTTTCTTTTGAAAAAAATAACAATTTTTCACTTTTTTTCACCTCTGGAAATGTTAGCTACAGATCTGAAACTTATGTAACTTTCCAAATAATTAAGTATTCTAAAAAAAAAAAAAAAAAAAACAGAAAAATTTAACATTTATTGGAAATGGGTTCATTCTTTTGGCCAATGTAAATTTTAAAACAAAGACTCAAATTTTCATACTGTACATTAACCTTTGCAAAAATAATTTTCTTCTAAATTTTAGAATAATTTCTTTATTCTTTCACTGCTGTCTAAAAATTATACTTGATTTTTTTTGTTGTTATTGTTGTTGTTCCAATTTTAATAAACACAACCATTCTAGTAATAAAACTTGTCTCCAGCTTATTTGCAAACTGAACCAAAAATTCTCATAAAATATTACAGACTAAATGTATATTTTTCCACATACAAAAATGTGCAATAAAAATACAAAAAAAAAAATCACTTTAAAATGACATTTATAAAATGTTCAATTCTAAACTGAGATTATTTTCAGTGAGTTTTTTGTGAAAAATATTCCGTCTCTGAGAATGAAACAGAAACCTTAATACATTATTTTTTTTTTTTTTTGCCTCATTTTAAATTTTGCAATTAGCTTTCTTCATTTATGTTTAGCATCTCGACTCTATTTTGTCATAAAATTCTAATAGCAGTTTTGCAGATATTTACTAAGCTTAGCTTAATCTGGGATACAACTATAAGGAGGGAGATTATTTTTTCAAGTGAAGGTTAACCTTGAAAATCAGCATTCAAAATCCTTAGCTTGTACTAACCAGATATATATATATATATATATATATATATATATATATATATTTTAGCCTATTAAAGAGTGAACTCTATGCAAAGTAAATCATAGCATTTTAAATTATAATTTTTGAACATTAATTAAAAAAGATCCTCATATTTAAAGTAAACACTAGACATTTTACACTAGTAAAATGTTTTCATTTGATATGAATTTCTTGTAAAATGTTATCTAATGTTTATCAAAATTCTAAATCACAGGTATTATGAGCCATTGGAAAAAATTCTCTTATGTTTTATCATTCAAACTCTATAATAGTTGTGACTTTCTTTTTATTGTACATCTAATCTTTATCCTAAAAGCAAAATTAGTGCTTTTGTGATGTTACAATGTGTTTTTGAGATGAAGAATCATTTACATTCAATCAGTATCATTAACTAGTCAAAATACTTGAAAAATATTACAGAAGTTTCACTATTCTTGCACATTTCTTGATTATCAATTTTATGATCTCTAGATCACTAAAATTTCTTATTAACAAAAACAAAATGCATGAGCTGTGTTTGAAAAAAGAGCAAAATTCTTACAAAAATATCAAGTTTGTCTTAAAAAAAAAAAAAAATGGTGAGGATTATTTCTATAAGTTGGAAATATTAATTCCACACATGAACTACAAAATTGAATAATTTGATATATCAAATCTTAATTCAAGAAAATTAAATAGAAGTAATCCTAAAGTTGTTCATTCTCAAAAAACAAAATCTATCAGTGGATTAAATTTGATACATTCCTCTATTATTTGAAAAAAAAAAAAAAAACTTTAAAAAAATTGACAAGTTCAATAAGGAAACTTGAAGCAGGGTAATATTGAACATGATTTATTGGCAAGCTCAAGGGACTTTTCTTCTTTCTCTTTAAAATATGAATTTTCTATTTGTTCTTATAGCCAGAATGACTATTACTGATCAGGGTGCAGGTATTGGATGGTATGAACTCTTTACACACAGTATATTGAAATTTGAAAACATTTTTGAAATTCTCAAAATTGAGAATGCAAAGCCAAATTTTCATTTTTAGATTTTTTGATAAATAAATCATCTCAAGAATAGAGAATAAAAAAAATCTAAGATTGTGAAAGAATTTTAAATTTTTATCAAAATAAGTACAATTTCATGAGTTTAGGAAAGATGTAAAACTAATATTTCACAAAATGTATTTTAGTCACTTTGATAAGTTGTTCAGATTTTTCATTTCCTATTTTGTTCTAGAAATTAGTAAATAAAAATTTATGGCTGTTATTCTGAGATGAAAATCGATTTTACACTGAAAATGCAGTCATTGTTTTTGTTGATTCTGTTAAAGCTGGTTAAAAAAAAAAAAAAAAAAAATGTAAAACTAAAATTTAAAATCTTTTCTGCATTGTCAGATTTCAGAAGTGTTCTTTAAATCTATTAATTTTCATTAGGAAAAAAATGATTTTCACTGGCAAACAGGCTTCTTTTTTCTATTTATAAAGTATTGAGATTAAATTTGCTTTAAAAAATCTAAAAACACACTTGCACATGAAAAATTAAATTTGTATTACAATTTCCTAATCTTTTACTTTTAAATCTGGCAAATCTCAACTCTGCATTTGTCAATCCCATTTTACTATAAATGATCTTTTAAGCTTACAAAAATATTTCTCTAAAAGAATGAATTTTATAGGGGAAAATTCTAAAAAGAAAAAAAATATAATTCAATCTTTTGTAAACCTGTGAAACAGCAGCTGTAAATTTCTTGCATAACTCGAAAAATATTAAGATATTTAAGTTTTTTTGTTTTTAGGAAAGTTATCTCAATTTATAAACTATTCAAATAAGCAGAAACAACAAAATCAAGTAAAGGGAATTTTCATTTGTATTGAAATATAGGAGAGAAAAAAGCTTTTAAATATCTGTGAGGAATAATTGGTGGCAAGTCATCTCTGTAATTAAAATTGTTTTTATAACTCAACAGTAAATATTAACATTTTTTCTCTCAAGTACTTGAACTCTTATTCCTAAAAAGTTTTCATGACTCACCATTCATTGTTTTTATTAATTTTGTAAATGTTCTTCCAAAACCAAATGATAAAAAGCCAACGTTAAACTTGATTCAGTTCAGCCAAAACAATGTTGAATATATTCTAACAAATTACAAAATGTGTTTGAGTAGACCATTGAAACAGTATACAATTGGCATTCACTTCTTTTGTAAGGATATTTCAAATCTGTTAATGGCTATTGGACATTTTTTGTGAACATGTCATTCAATTAAAACAGGAAAGGTTTTGAAGGACTACAATTTTTTTTTTTTTAATAAAAATTAAACAGCCCCAAATTTTTAATTTCAAGATCACAACTGCAGCATACTTGAGGATAAGACAATTAAAAACTTCAAGCATACATGCTTAAAAAGCAAAAAATACCTAAAGTGATAATGTAAGCTATTACTATAAAACAATTTGGCTTTTAAATTACTTATAACTTAGAAGGAAAAATAATTTTATTTTCTACCCTCCAAGATAGTGTTATTGGTTTTCAACCTGGATTTTTTTTTATCCTAAGGACATGACGGGTGTTGAGAAGATGTCAATTTTTGGAAAAAAAGAAGTTCAGACTCCTAACAAAAATTTGAATTTCAAGAATACCAGTGTGGTTAAAGGTGATGCTTGATTCTTTATATAAACCAGTGCTTGCAGGCAGCAGAGCAAAAAAGAAAAAAGGGTCTTCATCTTCCATTTTGATGAAAGAGAGTATCAAGAAAAAGGGTCCTAGTCATTTGGTTGTAGTGATCACTGAGAAAGTTAAAATCCAGACCCTCATGGGTAGCCAAGAGTTGCAGTTAAAGTTGGTAATATGAGAGAATGAAAGGCATCCATCAGTAGCAGCAGGCATCTTTTGAAATTGAAAGTCATGGAACGTCTGAAGCAATATTAACATTTAATGAGTGTATGAAGTCATTTAAAATGATTATGTGAATATAGCTGTGGAACACATACATGCCAGTTGTGAATGGTGCCATCCTTTTGGATGTCTTAAATCACTTAGTTTTAAAACTTCCATGTTATTTTTATTAATTCTTCTGTTTGCCAAGAAGTAAAATTCCTTTAATCATACTCTGGTGTTGGTCATTATTTTTGACTAGTGAATTTGCAGTTTTCCAGTCAAGCAGCAAACAGAACCATGACTAAAAGAAATTCTTTGAGTTTTGTTAGGTATCACAACGAACCCACTAGATGCTACGATCTTAAATGGATGTAGCAGTGAAAGACTGACTGAGAATATCAAAGGCACAGAAATAACTCCTACACCAATATCAAAAATCATCCCACAGCCATTCATATACAGTGCAATGATACCAGGATTGAGACCCTGAGTAACTATACCTGCTTATACTCCTCTTTGAGGGTATTATCACAATGTTTCAGCCATTGTTCCCTCTGGCCATCAGGTGTCTATCGACCATGGTAAGCTTCAGGAAAATTAAATTAATCTACAGGTATAGACTGTTCTCATTCTGCTATCCATGTCTCAGGATATTTCAGCCTTAGAACACTAGGCTATTGTCCTATGGTTATCGGGATTGACAAACAAAGGTGAAAGGGCACAATAGTCAAACTGCAATTTAAAATAAAAGATAAGGACATTAGTCCAAACAAATAAATCAATACTGTTTCATTTTGTTGTTATTATGATTTGCTTATTTCTTTTTAGAATCTTAACATGAAATGTCAAAATCAGGTCCCACTGAAAGAGGGAACCTTGACCCTGTCCTAAATTCTCAAGTGGCTGTATCTATTAAAGATTTGATAAAGAATTTCATGTGAGGTCATACGACTTTAAAAGTAAGATTTTCTTTGAAAATGATTCAAGCTCAAGAAGGGAAAAATACTGAAATGATGTGGATTTGAATAAAAACTTGAATTTAATAATAAACTGCATTATTTCATTAAGAGAAGTATTGTTTTTTGTTGATTTTAGTTAATCATCAAATATGTTTACTTTTATTTACATTGTTTCTTGGATTAAAAAAAAAAAAATCAGTTCAATTTAGGGAGATCAATAATATCTGAAATTATTTTTTTTAAGTAATAAATATCCCTACACTATAGAAAGTTTAGACTGTTGAATTTACAAAAATAAAGTGCATATTCCAAAACAAAGCTGCTGCTGCAAAAAGAAAAAAATAGTCATGCTGCTCATAAAATATACAAAAAACATGCACAATACAAAATGTGAAATTGTTTGTTTATTTTAAAAAAAAAAAAAAAAATCAATTTGTTTTAATCTTATGTGAATGTATGTAATGTTTCCAATAATGTAATGTGATAAAATCTGGTGGGATAGAATGACATTTATCTCCACATACTCCAAATTCTCTTGAATCTAAAAAGGAAATCAGAATCCATAAATTGATGCAATGTGCAACAGTTTATTGTTCTTCAAGATAAAATTTGGCAGATCTATGAGAAATTGAAAGCCAGTATTTGATAGCAGATGAGCAATTGTTAAAATGAAAGGATTATTCTAATCCTAAAACAACACTTACTGATAGTATATTCAAAGAGAAAATTCTTTAGTAGAAATCTTAGATGTTAATTAGCCTTTAAAATTTAAAAACAAAAACAAATTCTGAAAAGATCAATGCTAAAAAAGTGCTTTCTCTTAAATAATTCTAAGTTTTATTCTGTGAAAGAAACAAATGTTTAGATTGATAGTAACAATACCAGCCAGATATTGGTAGTAAGAATTTAGTTTTAAAGTCTTCAGACAGAAATACAACTGCTATTTTCTTTTTTTAAAGCAAGACTATTACTGCCTGGTTGATGGACATTAATATTATCTTTTAAATGAAAATCTGAAACATTTAGTTTACCTTAGAAAATATAAATTTGTAAATTTGAAATTAACTTTTATAATTAACATGTGAAATTATTTTTTTGAAAAACTAAAATAAGATTATTATGCAGGATTCTTTCTAGAATGCTAAACAAAATGAAATCCAGAATTTATTACAAATTTTTGAAGTGGAAATTTTGATGGAGTGAAAATAAATTCAGGTGAGAGATGAGAATGGATCAGATTTATGACAACTAGAAGAGATAAAATGCAACATATGTGTAATTTGAAAGACTTGCTCAAAATCTATATGCTTCTAGGTTAGTTAAAAAGCTAACATGATAGCTAGACAAAGCCACCACAGATTTTTGTTTGTTGGCATTTATGCTTAGAACAGATTCATTAAAAGTGATGAAAATTGGAAGGAACAAAGACATTCTTATTGAACAATTGTTGTAAACAGAAAAAAATGTCTAACAATTTTTAGGAACATAACTGCAAGTAAAAAAAAAAAAATTACAAATATATGTATGATTTTCTTCTGAATTTTAAATTGAAAACTGTGGTAGGTATGGATATAGAAGTCAGACTTGAAAATAATTTAGGCTACATTAGAAACTTATTTGTTCTCTCTTAAATATTATAAATAATAAAATTAACACACCTAACAAAAATATAATATTAAAATGTTGGTGATGCCTTTTAAGGGTAAGTAATTGATGTGAATTTATTAAAAACGTATGCAGTTAAAATGCTTAAAAAAAGCCAACATTTTTTATTTAAATACAAAGCCCTATTAATTTATTTTATTTAATTAAACATTGGCTTAATTGTGCAAGTTCTTAATTCAGCATAATCTATCTTCATATACTAGGTACCACCATGGACTTTCTACAAGAACCCGGAAAACACATTTTAAATAATTTAAATGCCTTCTTTGAACTTAAATTTCGTTTCTATTTCTAAAGCTAATTTGAATTAAAATAAAAATTAATTTCCGTATATAAAAGTTTTTAGGTATTTTTCAAACATTGGTACATTCTTTAAAATAGAGATGTATTTCAAAGTCAGTTAGTAAATTTAAGACTTAACTAATTGGATTATAATAATTATACATCCACATATCTTATCTCAAAAAAACATTTGTATATATTCTTGACAATTCCTTTTTCTAGGACTTTCAACTCTTAAGATACAGGTTGCATGCTAAAGTTTGTTTAAACAGCATTTTGCAAAATTTAAATATTTAGTTCATTAATGTAGAAAATGATTAATTTCAGATTTTTCTGTGTCACTCACACACACAGATTATATAAGTTTTTAAAACGTAATGGAAAATCTTACATAGTTGACAGTTTATTTTTTAGTGTCATGACACCAGAAACCATAAGAATGCATGTGATAAAAAATGTCAAACAAGAGAATTAAAATCGCAGGCTACAAGAATTAGAGAGAAAAGATCAATTATGTACATGAATAAAAAGTGGCTGCATTGAAAATGTGTGTGTGTGTGAGAAAAGATTATTTAAATGAATGAAAGTTTTGATGCATTTAATAAATACTAATCCTGGTTACATAGAGATTTTTGTACATTTTGTGTTGGCTGCAATAAATGCCAATGAAATCTTTGCATGTAAAAAATAAAAATTTAAATCAAGAAATTTGATAAAGGAATTTTAATCATTCTTTTTTTTTTGCAAAGTAGAACTGGCTTCATCAAAGCTGATTAGAAAACTAATCTGATACTTAAATTCAGGGTGTTTAAAAAATAAAAATTAAAGTTGCTTATAGCTGAAAACAAGGTTGACTTTATAACTGGAAAATAACTTTATGGCTATTTCCATTAAAAGAAATGGGAGAAAAAGAAAAAGCAAACAATGTTTGTCTTTAATTTTACTGTTAACAAGACAACCAAAGGCCATAAAACAGGAATTAAATATTCAGAAATGAAGAATAGCCAATGGCTCACAACAATTAACAAGGCATTTTCTTTTTTTATATACTCTAATAATCTAATGAAGTAACCTTTTTATCAAATTTGATTTGTTTTAAAGTACATTTTCATTACAAATTCTTATATTAAATTATAGAAAAAAACATTACTTTGAAGAAAATGGTAGCATTTTTTTTATTATACATTGACAGCATCAGAAAATGTCTGGGTGGAAAAAAAATAAAAAATATTTTAACATGTAAATATCTGAAATCCATCCAAAACAAACATAGGATTTGCTAATGAATACACAAACATTTTGTGAGAAATTTTTCTTGAAATTAGTCATCTGAAAAAAAAAAATCCTCCTAGTTCTATTATTTGCTGCCAAAAGATATTCCTTCCTTCCTTATTTAACTAATTCATTTAATTTTGTTATGCACATTTCAACATTTTACTAATAATACATTTTGAAATTTGATGAGGATATAAAACAACTGACTTATTAATGAGGGCATTTTTTTTAATGGAAACAAACGGGATAAATCTTATGCTTTTAAAAAAGTTTTTTTTTTGGGACACATTTTTTGATTCTTTTTGCTTTCTGATTTTTATCAAGTAAAAATCATTTACTTTCATAATGTTCTGTTGATCATGTGAATAACAAACATTGAAACATCAATTAAATCATCCGCCATTCATATCTAATCAAATGTTCCATACAAATATATTGAGTGAACTTCATTAATTTTCAATTTGCATAACTCCTAGTATAATATTACTTTTTTTTTTTTTTTAACTGCTATATCTTAAGATATTTTGCACACAAGTTGTATTAATCTTGTTTACATTTGTTTTAAAAACAATGATGAACTTCTTAATGTAAGGGAGAACATTCTAATCTCTTATTTATTTTTATTCTGCAATGGACATGTTCACATCACTGAATTTCTAACAGGATGTTAATAGTTAAAATAATGGTGAGGAGATAATTCATATATTATTAAGAGTAGCAATGAATTTTTTAATATTTCTGTCTTGGGTCAACTTTTTTCATATCCATACCTACTTTAATACTTTATGTGAGAAAATAAACATAATAGGAAGAGAAAATTACGTTGTCAAGTGGGACATTAGGACAAAACGAAGAGGTTTTCTTGGTTATTAATTTCATAGAAGAGGACGGTTAGCAGAAAAGCTGCCCATTTTGAAAAAAAAATGAAATCTGATGAATGATTACTAGCTGCCAGAGTTAACTAGAAAGAAAGAAAGCTTTCCTTCAATAATTTCAAAAAAAGAGAGAAAAAAAAGGCACTTAGATTCAAGAGATAAGGAGTGGGGAGAAAAAAAAAGGCACCATTATTGTATTTCTTTTTGTTTTGCATTCCTGAAATAAATAAAAGTCCCCTTCATTTTGGGGGGGGGGTCTTTTTCTTTTCTTTTTTGTTTCCAATAAAGACAGCCAATATGCCTAAAGACATCAACAATAACAAAACTAATTATGTATTCTAAAGTACAATTTTTATATAGATATATATTTCAAGTCAATATATATTTATAAAAAGAGTTCTTTACAAATTTTGATTGCTTTTTTCTTTTGCTTTTTTTTTTTTGCATTTTGATAAACTTCATCTGCTGTTAGTTTTTGGGTTTTGTGGATTTTCTGAGCGTCTCAATCTAATAGTCAGCTTTCTGCCATTTGAGCTGCTTTCTTCTTCTTTACAATACATACGACTGTTATATTTATTACTATTGCTTCTTTGACTTTGTTTCTTTTTCTTACTTAACTTAGATTCTTTGTGTCGTTCTGTCCTTTGTGAACTTTCACTTTTTCCTTTAGAATCTTTGTCACTCTTATGTATATGCACCTTTGGTGGGATCTTTGTGATAACCAGCTTGATACCTGCTTCAGGATTTGTAACTGTCCTGGCCACAGCTAATGTCTCTTTATCAGAGTCTGTATCATCATCTGACTCTTCCTCTTCCTCTTCATCTTCGTCCTCATCTTCCATTTCTTCCTCTTCAGTCTCATCCTCATCAGAATTTGAATTTTCAGAACTGTCTATATTGTCGTTTGCATTGTCACTATCTTCAGCCTCATCTTCTGTTGGCACTGGCTGCCAGAATTTCTCTGGGTGCCGCTGGTGATATTTCTTTTGCTGTTTTTCCATCTTTTCTGCTTTTGCCTTCTTCTGCTGTTCCCTCTCTAAGCGCTCACGCTCACGTTGTTCCTGTTCAAGCCTCTCACGTTCACGACGCCGTTCCTCCTCCAACCTTTCCTGTTCTTCGTGCTCTTTTCGTATTTCAGCCACAAAACGTTCTTGCATTGAATGCCATAAATGTTCACCTGATAAGTTTGTTTCATAGAGCTTAACTAATTTTTCAGGCTTCTTTGCTCTATAAATATGTTGGAGTTCTAATATCGGAAGTTTACTGGACAACATGTCACCAAAATAGTCATAAAGCTCAGAGTAAATATCCTTGGCTGTTCTTGGTCTCAATATAATATCAGGTTTTATGTTGGTCATTTGTGCAAAATTTAAACTGGCCCCAGGTTCAACCTTAACCAACTGGAATGATGATGGGTCTGGTAATAAAATAGTAGATTTGGGGCAGCCATTTGGATATGGTGTCTGCAAATCAAGATGTTGGAGAAGATTTTTCATCACATATTCTGCTGCCAGCTGAGAATGAGAAAAATAATTTAAATTAAGAATTACACAAAAGAAAAATCATCAGCAATATAAAGAACAATTGGAACAATTATGCCAAGTCTTTTTATTCCAAACAGCAAAGTGGCAAAGATTATCATCTCATTTTTAAGTGAAAAATACTAATTTCCTCAATTTACAAGATTATTTGTTTACTTTTATATTAAATTCAATTAAAAAAAAGAAATCTCTGTAAATGCTACAAAAACTAAACAAAACTCTCAGTGCACTTTTTTCTTTAAAAAAAACCTTGTTCAAAAATGAGATTTTATATAAACTTCATCAAATAAGTGAAAGAATCAAAAGGAATGATGAGAGAGAAAGATGGAAGGAGGAGAGAAAGAAGGAATGAGAAAACACTGATAGAGAGAAGATATACAGGAGAGAAATTAAGTGTGTAAAGGAGAGGAATATTAGAGAAGAGAGAGTAAAGTGAGAATTTACATAATTATTCCTAGTTCTAAAAAGTAACAAAAATGTTAACATACCAGTATAGCACCATAAACTTTATTAGCATCTGTTCTCAACAGAGCATTGTTTAATGATGTATCCTCCATGAAATTGTTAAGGTGAGGCATGTAGACTTGAAGCTGTGGCAAAAGAACATCTTCAATGGCCTGTGGGTGTGTGGAAAAGAGAGAAAAAAAAAAAAAAGAAAAAAAAAAGAGATTTACTTTTCTTTTAATATTTTTTGCTGAAAAATATTGTTGAAGCTAACTTTTGAGAAATTTAATTGATCATGTATATATTATATCTCTCTCATAAAAAAATTGCTTTTGCTGTTATTCATGTTTCTATTAGAATTTTCTCTTAATGTCAAAATTATTTTCATAAGAAAATTGGTTATAACGATTTTTACAAAAACATTTGAAGTGAAGGGAATACTTTTGAATTTTGTTGATAGAGAAAATAAATGCTGTTGTTGATTACCTTTGTACCTAAAGCTAATAATCCCATGACAGCACCATAATGGGAACAGAATGGCCTTGAAAGATCACAAATAACTTCCTTTAGACTCTTCAAGGTGTCCTGCATCAAAGCACTGTTGTGTACACTCCACTTTCTGAAAATGGTCAACAGGATTATTCAATTTATGACAGATGAACAAATATGTTTAGATTTTTATATATATTACATCCCATATTTTAATAAGAAAAGCTTTCATATATTTTTTTGTTTTAATTCACTTGTATCACTTCATTTCCAATTTGTATCAATGTTTCTAATAAAACTAAGAATTTTACAATGATTTTTTATGATATATAAAATGTTAAGGTTTCTTTCACATTAACAAGCAGCTACATGAAATGATAATAGTAATAGCCTTTTCTTTACTAAACCTAATTTATTTTCATTATTAATAAGTAAATTCAGTTTCAGGAAAATTATTTGTGTATTATTTTTATTTCTTTGTGCAACATTCATCTGTCAATGTATTTAAAGATTAAAAGAAACAATTTAACCAGTAAATATTAACGAAGTAATGAACAGAGGTGTTTCAATCCATTTTCTACTTACTTGACAATATGTCCCAGAAGTCGAGCAGCATAATCCCTCAGCACCCAGTGATCATTGAGTGGGTTAATGGATGCTGCAAGGGGTTCAAGGCCGCAGTACATTACACTTTGCACTAAAAGACCAAGCTGGAACAAAATTTAAACACAAATAAAAAATATACAAATAGCACTTAAATAAAACACAAGTTTGTGGTCAATTACTTTGGCTCTTTTCCCAAATGCACAAAAAAAAAAAAAAAAAAAAAAAAAAAAAATTTTGATGAGAATAAAAAAAAAAAAAAAAAAAAAAAAAAACAAACAAACATTGAACTTGGAGTCAACATTATGCAATACTGAAAATTTTAGAAAAATCAGAATTTTTCTTTAATACCCTGATATTATGCGACTGTTGATCAGAGCAGCCTCTATAAGTGCTACCAAAGTGTTTGAACTCCTAACAATGTCAGTAGCAGCAGCCAGCAAACTGACAACCTAGTACCTTCCCAATGGAAAGTCACAGCCACTGGTTACTCTGATCACCAAAATGTTAAGACAGTTAAATCATTGTGGCCCTAGTAGGTGAAAGAAAGAATCTGTGAACCATATTCTGAACAAGGAACGAACCTCTACTTCAGTTCATTGGACATGGAAGGAGTGTGGGCTAGATGATAGGTGAGGCTATCTACTCCTATTTAAAAAAAAAAAGAAAAGAAAAAAAAACTGTTGAAATGAGTAATTCCAACAGACAATTTTCACCAGGTAAAACTAATCCATCAAACACCCATTCAATTATGTCAAATCACAAATGTGTTATGAAGAAAAAATGCCAGTTCTGAGAACACACATTAGTGTCATTTTTTGTAGTTTAATAAATTTCATGTTATTTACCAAAATAAAACCTAAGTAGTGTCAACCTACTGGAGGAAAAAATTTGCCTTGTCAAAAGATACATGATCGACTAAGTGTGTATCTCATATAGCACATAACTGACTGAGTGTAAAATAAACATTTTTATGGTAACTCTGGCATCAGTTGAATTTTTGATTTTAAACAATTGCTTCATATATCTTCAATTTGTTTTACATCCCAAACATAATATCAAAACAATTTTACTTAAGGCAAACAACATAGACCAGAAATAAATTAACATGTAATCGTCATATAAGCAGTGTTGAACAAAGAAACATTTTCAATGAAGGAAAATTTGGAAAAAAAATGTGTGTGGGGTAGGGAGGGAGGATTTCCCTATCTTATTCCAAGTAAAAATTAAAAAAAATAAAAAATAAATCAGATATCTTAGTCAATTTTTGACTTGTATTTCTTACATCTTAATTTTGTTGTTTTGAAAAACTTAGTGAAAGTTACAATTGCAGCTAAAAAAGAATATATCCATTTCTTGAATTTCATTAGGAAGAAATAAATGTTAAAGAGAAAATTTTCATGATAGCAATATAAAACCCACATGAAATAAGGTGGGAAAATGTAGTTGCCTACAACTTACATAAGGCTCTGGTTCCAAGTAGAGGTTGGAATTGTTAGTCAAGGCTTTTACAGTGTGCAGCAACCTGGTCAGCTGTGAGATATCATGGCTAACTGTTTTTACCTAAAAATTAAACGAACAAAAAATGTGTTTTTATGAAAAAGGTAACAAAGAACATGAAAAATAGTCTGTAAGGAACAATAACATTATTATCATTTTTTAATAATAATAATAATGCAACAGGTGTGGTTAAGTTTTAGTACAAAAGTGAAGTACATATGATGAATGTAACAGTTTATACACTGATTTTATAACACCAAAAAATTTTTGAAGTCAGCATAGTCTGCTTGAAGTCCCATCATTACAAGATTGAATGTTGTGTATTTACTTGCATAACATAAGAGTAAGCACTAATTTTATTGAATAGATTTACACAATTTCTAAAGATTTAGTAAATTGCTATTGGTGAGGTAATCTAATAATAGGCAATTATAGATTAAAATTTACTAATTTCTGTCTGAATTTCTAGGAAGAGGAGTTATCATTATTTACATGTGGACTATTGTCATCATCTTTGTTGTTATTATGACAATGTTTCATTTGTAACAAAAGAGAAAGTTTCAGTGAGTGCAGTCATCAAGCAGCAGCAGCAGCAGCACTCATCAGCAGGCAAGTTCTCCACACAGAATTATCCTAGGGAATTAAAGCATAAATTTGAAGATAAGTTCAATCCTTGGGCCGGACAATGTGTACTTGGACTCAGTGGAAACAAGGTGAGCAATAATTAAAATAAGAACCAGATGAGATATCCTTAGACATGAACAACAGAACGAAAACAATATATCCCTGTAGATTAAATAGAGTTCAGTTTGAAATTTCCTGTAGGTTACCCAGATCAACATACACCTGATGAAGCCTCGAGCCTGCTTGAAACGTGATAACAAAATAAAAATGAGGATGATAGTTTGTATGTGAATAATGTCAATAAAATTCACTAATATATTTTGTTCCTATCAGCTGAAGCATGCACTCAGTCACTTAAACTTCAATTTTGTCTTACTTGTCGACATTTACTCCAAAGCTTTAAAATTGGATTCTTCAGCACTCAGATTTTTAAAACTGAACATATTTTGAAGCTAAGTAAATCTACTGAGATGATGATTAGGTCTTAGATTTTATTATAAGAGTCAAAAACCACCACACACTAAAAATTCAGAATTAAACTTGTTCATTATTTTCAAAAACAAATATTAATTACTATATATTTACTAGCAGAAATACCAAAGTTATCACAAAATCACTTGAAATTATTTAAGATTTGAAACTAATTGCACACTAAAAAAAAAAGAAAAAAAAAGAAGTAATATTCCAAATGCATGAAACCATTCCTTTATGTTTAAGATTAGTATCATATATTCCCTATATCTGTTTTTATGCCTAAAATTAGTAGTAACTCTCCAGCCAAAATGATGCATATCAAAATAAGTGATTTTTCTAAATTTATAAATTTCTGTGTCATTCAAACATTGTTTTGTCTTTTTCATATTCTTTTATTTATCAGTTTGATTTTTTTTCATATGTTATTTAGGTAGTACATTTATTACATTGTTTTTTTTCTTTTTTTTTCAGTTTTATGTTTTTATTTTGTAATAAACCAGTTTATATTTACTACGTTTAGATTAATAAAAGACCATAAGCATGGGGTGCTCAATGAGGATTGAATTTAGTAGTAATGATCAACTTGACCAGTTTATTAACTATTAACCTCATGTTGAGATACTCTTAAAATATAAATACATCTTAATTTCAAAATGGCTGTCAAAAAAATTGCAATATTTCAATTACAAGAGCATAAAATATTGATAATGAAGTGATACTGATGTTTAATTCAGATATATGGGAAGCAAATAATGATGATGATGGTAGTCACAATGTATTTCCAAGTTGTCTACTGAGAAGATGTATAGCACAGAAGACATTAATTGTGCTATCACATCATCATGACACAGGATTTTACCTCATTCCTCTGATCATATACAAACTAAAACTTCCAGAGAGAGCCAAATCACATAAGGAATATGTCATTATACAGACAAGCCATTCTTATTCATTCTTTTAGTTTGTATTGTTTTATGTGCATAAAAGTTGTCTGTGTATTGTGAATAATATATCAAACATCTATATTATTTGGTTAAGTGGGACACAGCACTATCATCAATTATATTTAATTCTTTGCACATGAAAACATTAGATATAAGTGAGTGGATTTAGTTAATTTGTGTTTCCGCAGTTAGTTGAAATGTTGTCAAATATTTTTATCAGAACCCATTTTGAAATAAAGAAAACAGCAGCAGTTTGTGCCATTCATAGCCTGTTTTTTTTTTTTTCTATATGAAAAAGCATTAAAAAATATAGCAGCATGCAAATTTTCACTTTTTTATATTTTGAATGATTCTGGTTAAAATTTCAACATACTCAGCTAATAAACTTGTCACAATGTCATTAAATTTTAAAGTACAAACTAGGCACTTTATTAAAAAGTGATCATTAAGAAAAAAATTAAGTGATTTATGTTGAATAAAAAAAAAAATTTTTTAAATCCATTTATGTTTAGATTGGGTTGTCCAGAAAGTTCATGCTGATTTTTAAGGGAAATTAAAACAAAAAATTATGCCATTAAATATTTATTCAACTAAATATGAACCATTTTATTGCAGAAACTTTCTCTATTTTTCCTTCAACTAAAAGATTCCATCTTCTCAGAATTTTGGTGGTTTCTTGGAAAAAGAACTCTGAAGGTGGTTTTTCAAGTTATCCAAAGAATTAAAATTTTATCATTGTGATTATTTTGCAAGAAACTGAATAAGTAAAAATCAGAGTAGCAATGTGGAGTAACACATCCTAGCCAAGCTGCAACATTTTTTTGGGGTCGACAAAAAAACATGAGATCTGGCACCATCCTAATAGAAAACAACACCTTTCCTAATCGCCAATTCTGGGCATTTTCTTGAATTGTTGCATTTAATTCATCCAGTTGCAAGCACTACTTTTCAGAATCAATCAACTGGTTACTTAGCAGAAGCTCATCCTTTCCAATCCCACCAGATGCACAGCATAACTTTCTTATGATGAAGACCTACTTTTGAGGTGGCTAAAATCGGCTCATGTTGCTTACCCCAGGATCTTTTTCACTTATATTGTTGCAAACAGTTCATTTCTCATCACCTGTCACAATTTGCTTCAAAATGCTGCATTTTCATTGCGTTTATACAGCAAATCAGACGAAATGGGATCCAAAAGATTCTTTTCACCCAGATCATGTGGTACCCAAACATTGTAGTGATTTGAGTACTTCAGTAAGTGCTCATAGTGGATTTATATAAATTTAGTGTTTCTATCAATTCCCGCTTTGTGTAATGTGATTTATTCTCAATGTCTTGATTTGGTTGTCAGCTGTAGTGTGTGGTGTCTGCCTGAATGTTCTTCATCAATAAGGCTACAATCACCAACTCTAAACTTAGTGAACCACTTCTGTACAGTTCTGTCAGCTAAAGCACATTCGCTGTATGCAGCAAGCATGTCAAACTCAGGGTATATGGAGGGCTGCATCAGCCATATCTGCAGCCTCGAGGGTTGCACCTGCTTAAAGTCTTACATTAATCAAAGAAACTTTAAATACAAAATACTTACAATACAAAGTAGTACTATTTAATCATTTTTATGTTGACATCACTTTACACAAACTATTCTTGATATATCAGGTTGGAATGTCTGTGTAGATCTCACTTTGATCAAAGATGACAAATGTTCATCAGTTAATCTGACTCTGTGAGACATTTTTTGTGGCCTTCATAAACAAAAATAATTGATCACAGACATGTGGAACCAAACATCGCCATAATCTTTGTAGCAAACTTTCTGAAGGTCTTAAATGTCTAAGGAAGATATGAAAAAAAATCTGGGTACCCCTACTTCTAGGTACTTTCCCTTGAGTATTAAGTCAGTCTGCATTTCCAGTAGTTCCATCTGTAGACTTTGCCCTTTCCTCAGGCGAGCAACAACAAAAGTAAATGGTGCTGGGAATAATGCAAACTGATCTTCAGAAGATGAAAAATCACAAAATCTTTGCTGAAATTCCCTTGACAGTAATTCCAGGTAACTGTCGAACTTAGCAAAGATAAATACAGACTCAGTAGTGGCAGTTTTTTTCAACTCCTAGCACATAAGAAAATGAATCAAGTTTTCATGTGACAACTGGGACTTCAATAAAGCTAATTTTGCAATGAAACAATTGATATCATCATATAACTGAGTGATGAGCTTATTTTTACCTTGTAATTTCAAATGAAGGTCATTTAATTGGGTAGTAATGTCCACTGAAAAAGCTAGATCTTGGAACCAGCTTTCATCTTTCAATTCATCTGTGCTTTGACCCTTCAACTCCAAAAAAGATAATTTCGTGTCACAATAAAAAAAAATCTTTTTAATATCTTGTGACATGAAAACCATCGAACTTCTGTGTAGAATGGGACATTTGTGAACTGATTATTTATGTATTCCAATAACTGGATAAACTGACGGTGATGCAAAGCACGACCTGATATAGTTCACTGTTTTTATGACAAAACTCAACACATGAACTAATTTTAAAATCTTAGAATATAAGTTCTGTTGATGAATTATATAGTGAAAATGCTTGAATGTTGAATCTGGATATATGTTTTCTATTTTTATACCTAAATTGGCAACAACACCATTATGCCTCCCAACCATATTGGTAGCACCATCAATAGATAAACATAAGTTTACACAAATCAAGGCCATACTTATAGAGAAGCTGTTCAACTTTCTCAAAAATGTCCTGGCTTGTTGATGCATTGGGACCAGTTCAATTAATTCTTCAAGTTTGAAATCCATCGTCACAAGCCCTGATGAAAACGGCAAGCTGTGCTATTCCAGCTATGACAACAGTCTCATCCAGAGCAATAGAAAAATGTTCAAAACAATGATAAAGTCTTCAACTGTCGATTCAAATCACCTGCCATTTCATCAATGTGTTCAGCAACAGTGTTTCTGCTTAATGAAATGTCTTGAAATAAGTGTGACTTCTCTGGACATACAATTTCAGTTGTTTTTACGAGACATTGCTTTATGAAATCTCCTTCACTGTAAGATTTTCCACTGACGGCGATCGTTTTGCAGAGTTCAAAGCTTCCAGTAACAGAATTAACATTGCCTTTCTGAATTTTTGTAAAGTAACTCTGTTGCTGTGTTAACATTGAATTCCTTCACTTTTGAAACCTGCATATTTTTTTCATATTTATCATAAGATCGATGGTTAGTTTCATGTCTTTTCACATTATATTTTTTTGGCATCGCAATGCAGTGGTTGCAAATCAAACAGTTTATCTTTCCATTAACAGTGATACAAAAGTACTGTAATTCCCACTTTTCTTGAAACACGTGTCTTTCTTCAGATAATTTTCTCTTTCTACAAGATGGAGTAGAATTTGACACTTTTAAGGCAAAATATTACAAGATTATGAACATTTTCACTTTACATTTGTTCTTATTTAGTTGTCAAGGATGATCACTGGAAGTTAAAAATAGTCGCTGACATTCGAAAACAAAAAACCATTGAGATAGAATAAACAATCTAATCATACCAATTAAAAAAAAAAAATCTCACTGTTTTTAATAATTTGCATTACCAACAGACAAAATTCTCGATATACCATGGCTATACAAAACTTTGTGAGGGCTGCCAAGATGCATATAAAGGGTCACATGCTGCCTGCGGGCTGCCACTTTGACATACCTGGTATACAGTACATACCTTTTTGTTGCTTGCAAGGCATTTTTACCTTTATGGTGAAAAAAAAACAAAAACCATCAAGCGTCTAAAATGCAACTAATAATCTTCCATTTTCATAGGAATGCAAGATTGACATGAATTACGTAATTTTAAACTTTCTTTCTCAAGAGATAGTGTTTTCTAATTGGAAATATAAGCATATTATATCTGTTGATAAATTTGACATGTTCTAACATGTTGGAACATGAATGACTAAAACTTGGCATAAACTTTCTGGACAACACAACAGATCTGTAGAAAAATTGTTAATTTCTACGTACATCAACAAAATGGGGATAGAACTGTGTCAAATCATCAACAATTTGTTATGGTTCTATTCCCTTCCTTTTATTCTACAAAATCATAATGTGACTTGACAAAAAATATACTCACTCCATTTGACACAAAATTAACAAAGTATGGTAATAGAGGAACTATTTTGGAATTGGTTTTCAAATCAGACAAAGCAAACTGTTAAAAGAAAGAACAACAAATTAAGTAAACAGAATTATACAAATAAGAAGAGAAATCAAATTATGTAACACTTTTCAGAAATGCAGACAAACTCAAAGAGTGATCAGTAAGAGAGAAAGGTTGCAAGATGAATTTTTCAACATGTCAACTACAACATTAAAATATTTTCACTGTGTACTGAGAGAAAAAGAGAAAATTATCAAGTTTCTTATTTAATATTTTTCTAACTAATTCAAATAGACATTTTGTTTCTTATGAAACTTAAATGTTATAAATCTGGTTTATTTTAAGCATATTCATTCATTCATAGAAGTTCATTCATACATAAAAGTTCATTCATACATAAAAGTTCATTCATACATAAAAGTTCACTTCTATGTATGAATGAATTAAAGGTGAATAATTACACATGGCATAAATTATGGGAAGATTTATTAGATGGAAAAACAAAGCTGAGGTTTACATATTATAGAAGTATAACTGCCAACAATCCCAAAGCTAGCTATAATTTACTTATTTCATATCATAAATATATTGCAGTAATATAACAACAATGGCATGCATTGTTAATAGTAAAGACAATGAATTGTGAGCAATGTTGAAATTTTGGCTCAAAGGCAGTTTGGGTTCACTTAATGCTAATGATCACAATTTCTTCTTCCTGATATTTGTTAAATAGCAGAGCAAACTGGGGTCACTACAAGGATGATTTTGAATCCAAAACTGTATAAAAAGCAATGCAAAACAAAAACATTTAATTTTCTTTCCTAAAAAACAAGTATGGTAATGCATAATTCCCAGATATTAAAAGATAAAGGCAGCTGTGGAGAGCGATGATTACCTACATCCTAAAATAGCACTTAAGAAGAAGACAAGTATTTTCTGAATCAACCCTATTAAATCCACTAGCTTATTGCTTGTTCTGAACAGAGCTGAAAATGTCCACTAGTTTTAATTCAGTTATATATTAACAATAATTACATTTTTTTATCTTCGTTTTCATTGTGAATTTTTATAAAAATTTATTATTAGCTTGTGTTTAATAATTTAAAAATAAATTCATTGTATTCAGGATAAGAGAAAAAAAAAAAAAAACAGTGAAGCAAAGTTTTGTTGAAACTGGTTTCAAGAGTAAAAAGAAAGCATTGAAATCTATTTTGTGTGTGTGTATGTGTGTAATCAATATTCAAAAAATGCTAGGGAATTTTTCTCTATATTTCAATGTTTCATATTACCCTCCTCTATAAGTAATGCAAGTGACTTTTCTATATTCAAGTAAAACAAAAACTACAGTTTGCAGATGTTACAGCACAAACATTTTCAATAGTATAGCCTGTCAGGAACCAATTGTGGGCTTCTAAGTTATAAATAACTTAGAAGCCCACAATTGGTTCCTGACTAAAGTGGGGTAATAAAATAGTGCAAGTCTAACATTTCATGCAAATAAGCAGAAAAGCCAGACTTGAAAGGTGACATGCAAAAAAAAAAAAAAAAAAAAAAAAAATGTAGGATTGTATCTTTCTAAGAGATATAGCCAAAAAAAATAAAACAGATTGACACAGAACCAGACACAGCTACTATTAGATTTTCTACAAGAAGCTTTTCAAGAATCTGCATGAATTTTAACCATAAAGCTTAAGACATTTTAAAGGTAAAGTTTTAAAGAAAAAGGTGCTGGGATGGAGGGTCACTACCAGATATCATATCATCCTCTCTTTAATAAAGTCATAATGATTTAAAACTGTAGATTAATCTCATTGTATGCTTGGATTCTAATTTACCTCCAAGCATAGTTTTTAAACATATTGAACTCACTGTGATAAAGAAAAGATCTATCTCATACATGTACATATTTCTTGAAAATATGAGGCCATAACAGCTAAAGCTAGGCTTAACATTTCAAATATCCTAATAAATGATGCAGAAATTGTTTTTTATATTTGTCAATAAATTCATGTTTATAAATAAACATGAATCTAAATACTTAGTAAGTGGACATAAAAATGATGAACTGAGTAAGACTATAATCTAATTTCTTCTTAATTACTGTCAAGGCAATCCAGTATCTCCTGTCAGTATTAACATTTACCATTTATATAACACTACACCATGGTAAATCTTGAGAATATAGTCATTTAATGTCCCATACTAAAAGAGAAAAATAATGAAGATATCTAAAAATAAAGAAATAAAATCATATTAAGCAAATACTGTATATACTTGTGTATCATGTGACTTTTGAAGACCTAATTTTGAAGCTAATTTTAAGGGGGTTGCATCATATATGAGATATAAAATTAGCATATGTAATGTTGGCCCAATAGTAATACATGTAATATTAACATATTAATATCATATTATAAAATACAAACATAGCAAATAGGCATCTTCTCCATTGTTTACATTTATAAGATGTTTTATATAGCTGTTTCTCGTTCAGTTGTTTATGGCTGTATGCGTTTATGCAATGAGTATAGCATTACTAATATTTTTATTGTTACTGATACTTTTATCATTCTCTTAAACTAGAAGATGGGATAAAAGATAGAGGAAAAGAGGTTAGTCTATTGTACTTTGGTCTCTCAAAAAAGGAACTTGCAGGATACAGGAGATACATGATAAAATCATTTTTTCTAAGTGAAAAGTTTGAAATCGAATGTTACACAAGTATATACAGTAATTCTAAGAAATTCACAAAGGGGCGAAGCATATAAACTGTCCCCATTTGAATTGACTTACTTTCATAGCTTCTTCATCAGCTCCAAGAATTGCTTTTACCATGTAGTCGTAATAACACAACATATTGTCTGACAGTTCCTTTTTCTCTTTTTTAACAATCACAGGCTTACCTGGAAAAAGGGGAAATAATGAAGACAATAATTTAGGTAATTCACCTGATGTCACCTGTTTTATAGTCAGGTAAATCATCATTGGTCAAATATGAACATGGAAGGTAGATTACTAATTAAGAAAATAAAATAAATAACTATCTTCTACATTGGTAATCATTGTTATAGAGATATTTTTGACAATAATTAATAAGTATTTCTAATTAAGAATATAATTTTGAAGCTAAATGTAATAAATTTAAATATTTCAGAAGTAACATATTTGTTGTACAGGGACATTTTTTTTTTTTTTAGTTGACTCACTGCAACTTATTACAACATATCCTCAAACTGTACATCTTAAGCTTCTAGTACTTTCTTATTCATAAAAACCAACAAATTGAGATTTGAATTCTTTTTATTTTTAAGGGAATTTGATAGATTAATATGATAAATGTAAGTAGACTTTGTAATATTTAATTTATATTTTTATATGTTCTATGGTTTACTTTTGAAATTGAAATTGCTAAAAAAAATTTCATACCATACTTCCAGTTTCTAATTAAAATTTTCCTATTAAAAGAAGCTTTAATATGTATTGTTGCCAAAATAAATGTGAACACACGAAAAAATTATCATACAAGGTTTTCTGGCACATCAATATTTTTTTTACGGGTGATGCATTGCAAAATCTGTTTTTAAAAGAAATGCTGTGATCCATAAATACAACAAAACAAACAAAATAATGAAATCTGAAAAAAAAAAAAAAAAAAAAAAAATCAACAAAACATTCCCTTTGCACTAATCATACCTTGTTACCAGCTCACCAAAAATTGTGCCTGTATTGCTTTATAAAAAAACAAAAGCATAAACAACAAATACAAGAATGGATCAATAACCTGTCATGTAGTTATTAGCTAAATGTTATTATACACTAATTTATGTGAACTGTTATCCTCATTATGGTTTTTATAGGCACTCGACGATTTAACCATATTATATCATTCAGCATTCAGGTGTCTGTTATATTCAGAATCATTCTTGGAATTCAGAATTGAAGCCTCCAATTCAAACCAGGGAGTAGGTTACTCATTCCATTGTCCATAACCACAACAAAATAATTTACTAATATGGTTATTTTTGCCTTTTGCTTGTTGGACTGCATTTTATTCTGCTTGACCCAGGGATTAAATACATGGCCACCAGGTAAACTCCAAAGCTTAACTAATCATTAGGCTTTGTCCCATAAGTGGTCTAATGTTTGAGCATTAAACCTAAAATCCGTTCTTTCCTAAAGAAAGGCTCTAGTATGCTAGGCCTATTGAGGAGGTTACCAAAATCTAGCATGTGCAATGATTCTTTCAATCACCTTATTCTCTAATTATTTAGATGACTTAATTCATTCTGATTTATTGAAACTCCTTTTTATACATGATTAGCTATACCTGACTTTATAATCTTTTTACAGACTTTCTGGTGTTCTACTAATCTTTCCTATAAAGAGAACAGTCTCGTTATATTCTGTGATACAGTAAAGTTATACACACAATTCTTGGTCATTGACTCAATCTGATGGAAGTATTGACTGGCTAGGTATCACTGAAACATAGGACTGCTTTTGAATGTTGCCCTAGTGTTGTATGAACCACAGATCCCCTGGAACTTTAAAAATGTCTCTGAGATAGTGACAATTTTTCAATTGCTACCATTCACTTTTGTAGCTCTATTTCTACAAGATTATTTTTTCTTGTTTACTAAGAAGGGTGTTCTTGATACTGATCATTTCTTTATGGCATGAGACTAGATCACCACTTATGAATGTAATTCAATTTTGTAGACAATAGACAGTTCCTTTCTTCACACTGTATAAATGGTTGGGAAAAATAAATTGAAATTCAGATATTGTTCAGTCAAGTGAATATTGGTTACAGTATAAAGATGTCCTGAACCCCTGTTCTGAATAAGTTATTAGTACATCAAAGAAAGCAAATTTGTCAGTTTCCTTTTTATATATTGAGTTCACATCATCCAGTAGTACACGTACATCTTCCTGATGAGATCAGAGGATAAAGGTGTCCTCCATATTTCTCACCCTGGATGGTTTCAATTGCATTGTTCTTAAAACAAATTCCTCAACATATTTTATTGGACTATTATTACCCAAAATATCATGGCAAGTAACATGTGCCATGAAGAAGAGCTATTGTCTCATAACAACTGTACATGTATATAAACAGGTAAATATTTAATTTCAACATTTTGAATGCATATTTATAGGTAAGAAGTATGATTTGAGTAACTTTGATAAAAGCTTATTTGTTAATGTTAACAAAGTAGGTCAGAGCATTTTTCAATTGGTCCTCCAATTCAGTTTTGGTGAGTATCTATCAGCAGTGGTCTGAGGAGGAAAAAAATCACCAACTGCTGTCAAGGCATTGGGTGGCTAAAACATTGATTAAAAAATGAATGGAAGTTTTCCTGCTAAATATAAATGTTTCTGTGGCAGACAGCTCTAATGAAGGTGAATAAAGGTGACAACACATAGTACATAAATCCTTGTTGCCTGTGAGGCTGCATAGCTACAAGCCAGCCATAGCACCAGTGCTAACCATTATTAATTGCTAAAAATATATTTAGTGGGTGCATGAATATCAGAAGTGAGTCTTGTTGCAGTGAAAGTGAAGTTTTCTGGCCCAGTGAGTTTTGCTTTCTTCTGAATATAGTGGCCATCTGGTATGTTTGAGTCATTATCCTGGAGGAAGTGATGGTACCAACATGTACTACAGTAAAACAACAAGTCAGTGGAAACAGTATAATGGTTTAGATAATGTTTTATTGGAGAATATTGGGTGTGGACAGTATTTTGTCATGTACCACCTACCTAAATATTATTGAAGACCAGATATGAACTCTTCTATGGTGGTAGTGATAGGTTTCAGCAAGCCAATGCACCATGTCACACTACATAAATTGTAGGATAATGGTTTAAATATGAAGGAAACCTCACTTGACCATCTAATTCTCCAGATCTCAAACCTAGAAAGAACAGCAATGTTTAACATTCATGCAAAAGAAAAAAAAGAAAGAAGATATCTATAGGGCAGTTATTCCCTTGACACCACTATTATTGTATACACTTTAGGCTTCTTTGGCAATGTTTATTTACAACAAGATTATAAAAATATGTGAACCAAGTACAATGCGATATTATTTATCTTTTATAAAGATCTATTACATAGCATTGTATAAAGTAATAAATTTAAAAAAAAAAAAAAAGAATCTTTTTATTCCAACATTTATAAAAAAAAAATTTACAAAATTATCAAAATATTTGTGAGGAAGAGATGCTCTCAACCTATTTTAGTGAATTTATGTGGCGAGAGCAAATGAAAGAAATGCCAGGAAAATACATTTTTTTTTTCAAAATTTATAATTACAGTTGCTCATTGCAAGTTTTCTTGTTCAGACATTTTTATAAATTATTCATAAAAACTGTCTTTTCATATTTATTTCTTTATAAAATAGTAAAGAATAAAATTATAGTTGATTCATATATTCTTATAATCTTGTAAATATACATTTATTCTTGTAAATAAGCAATCTAATAAAAAATGTTTAATATCTTTGAAAGCCACTTTTATAAGTTTTGGTTTTTATTGAAATTCTAATCATTGCTTTTTAAAATAATAAACATTGCCAAGGGAGTGAAAAGTTCACTAAGTAAAAGTGGGTGTCAAGGGAATAACCGCCCCTTTTGACACACACCGTTTTTTTATTTTAGGGCATGAAGTTTAAACATTACGTGTTAGACTAGACATGGGCAATATTGTTTGACCAGCAGTCCACATGAAATAGTGCTCATCATGAATCACGCCAAACCACTAACAGAAAAATTTAATAAACTTTAATAAAATTTTATAATAATATTTAATTATTGTATGTGATTTAGTTCGAGTATTTTTGAGTTTGACCTTGAAAAATTATGGTCATAATCAAATCAAAGGGAAGCAATTCCAAAACATTCGAATAGAAAATGAAATAAAAATTGACATGACAGGGAGATAGGATAAAGGCAAAGAGCATGCATAACATTAAATAGTTTCTACATTGCAAAACACAGATTACCTGAAGAAAGCTAGAAGGTACAGAAAACAAAATTCACATAAGGAATATTGTTTCTGTCTGAAGTTCTTGAATGAGGGATAATTATCATTTACATTCAGACTAATATCCTCAGCTTTGTTGTTATAACATTTCAGCCGTTGTGCTCACTAGACTTATTCAAGTGCCCATCAATCCAGGTAACCTTCAGAGAATTTTGATATTCTGATATTTTGATACACCTTTTATTTAATCTATATAAGTTGTTTGTTTTTGCTTCAATGTTCATGTCTGGGATATTTTGTCTGGTTCTCTATTTTTTAGCACTGCTCAGTTATTTGCTAGTTCAGTTTCCACTGAGCCTTAATCTATACTACCCAGCCCAAGGAAGTGATGGTACCATGATGTACTACAGTAAAACAACAAGTCAGTGGAAACAGTATAATGGTTCAGATGCAGACATTGCTGTTAGCTTGGTTCTCTCACTGCTGTCTTTTTCTTTCTTTTAGTTCTAGATTCAGGATTGTCTTGTGGAAAAATAGCAGAGGATTAAAGCATTGATTTATAAATTTAGCAGCATAGTAATTGTAAGCTCAATCCCTGGGCTAGGTAGTAGACTCAGACTTGGAAGCAGGACGAGAAATATTACTATATTTAAGAAAAAAAACAAAAAAACAAAAAAGATGTGATATGGATATTGGAAACTACCCTATAGATTCAGTTTTAATTCTGCTGAAGCTTACCCAGATCAAGAGACATCCGCAGAAGGCTGGCAGGCATTGAACAAAAATGTTGTGATAACAAAGATGAGGACATTAATCAGATTGTAAATAATGTAAATAAGAAACATTGCATATTTATTATTTATATAACAAAAAAAGTTAATGAGAAATTTAATACTACATTTTTTTTTTTTTAAATATGATGTTCAATATCTAGAGATATTTGAAATATTGCAACTTGTAAATTGTCTTCGAGATGATTATTTGTCAACATTGTTCTTGATTTCATGGCGTTCATTCAAAAAAAAAAAAAAAAGAAAAAAAGTTGTTCATTTTTATGCTACAAAACATGGTGTCATTCAAATTGGTGAATAAGACAACAGATTAATTTTTAAATTTTTGAACTCTAAAGTTTGAATAATAAAATTTCAAAATAAGCATGGATTTGCAAAAAAGGTGAAAATTGACTTCTCTACCTTTGAAGTCATTAAATCTAGAGCTTATTTTTTTTGTTTTTCTTTTTAACTCATCAGCATAAATAACATTTTCAAACTCATTGAATTGACTGGAAATGGAAAGTATCACTAATTTTGAGTTGATTCTCCTAAATTTGAAATTTCATTTAAAAAGCTTTGACAAAAGAAAATGAATTGTTTGTCCATGAATTAGGATTATTTAAATGGATGAATAATATTTTTAAGAAATGCAAAATCACATATACAGTTATTATTTTTCAGTTTGGGGACAAATTTACCTTTCATTTCCAAAAGTCTATATACACTGAAGCATTTTTACCTTTGATTAGTAAATGAAATTCACAATTACACCAAATCACTATACTCTTGAATTTTGCAATGAAATGGTGCAAAGTCATTTGCTAATTTTACAGAAGCTAATTCTGATTTTAATTTAGCAAGAAAGCCTATTTTAAGGCCAACCATGCAAACTCCTTGTCTGTTGACACCCTGATAAACCTTTCAAGAGAGAGATTCAACTTTGTTATTGCTTTCTTTACTTCTTCATAGATATTGTTTCCTGTAATGGTAATTTTCTGTTGGTTCTACTTGGCACAGTAGGAATGATTGCAAAAATGTCCCCCTCCCCAAATTTATAAACAAAATACACAGATGCATGCTGGGATTTATTTACATTTAACCATGGCCAATTACTTTACACTTTCATTGTCTGAATACAATGTATTTCTTCAATAACATTAAATAAAACTTTATCAACACCATGTATAAAAATCCCAAGTTGAACATAAACTGTTATATTGCTACTTTTGCCAGTAACCAGTGAAAATGTACTAAATTCTGATAATTTTCTGCTAGTATTACTGATATTATTTGCAATTTCTTCAACTTGTTATTGTTCTTTGAGGTAAGATAATCTGTTCAAACATTTTAAAACTTTTCTAGGCACAAAAAGTTCAACAACCACCAGAAAGCTTTCTTTCACAAATTCACATCAATTTTAATATTTAGTAACATTTTTATTAACAATATACAAGCTTCTATACACAATTTCTCTAAGAACTCTGTATTCTATTTCTTTAGTGTTTCAATTTTAAACTTCCTAATATCTTCTTTGAATTGTTCATAAAGAGAATGTTTAACGTTAATGCAGTATGATATTCATGTTTGTTTTTCCCTTCAATAAAGAAGTAATTATTTATCCAATTATGCTTAACTTTTCTCATTTCTTTGAAAAGCTTCTTTTTCTTTTTTAGATAAAGTCACAGGTTGGGTTTATCAAGAATAATTTTTTTTAAGATTACAACACTTTGCAAATACACAATTTGAAAGTAAACTTCACTGAAAAAAATTTCAAACACATTTACAAAAAAAAAATAATATCCGGCATTAGTAAGGGAGATTATTGATAATAATTAATATTAATATTTTTGTTAGATGAAGTAAGGGAAATTACTCATGCATATAATAGTTATTTGATAGTTAAATGATCAGGACCATTTTCAGCAGAAAATGTCAGAAGACATAAAAATCATTACCAATTTCTAAAGTTTTCATTGATTTGTTCAAGAGTTTAATGTTACTTAATACAAATTTTAGGATTTAGGATTGAATAAATTAATTTGAATACTATTTACATTAAATCAATATCTGTATTTGGACTCGAAATATGAAGAAATACTGATAAATGACTAAATTAATACTCAGATTAATACTCAAAACATCACACTTCAAAAAAGATTAGACAAAATCTAACATTACTTATATTGTAGAGTAAGGTAAAATTTAACATATAAATTGAAAATATTTTAATTAGCATAAATTACAGTGTACCAGTCAATCTGGTGTACAAGTCAAGATTTTTAACTCAAAATTCTGAGTTATATATTTAACATATAGGTTGACCCCCAAAACATATGGTAGGCTACCAAGGATGCAAAAAACGTGATCTAGAAATATTTTTAGGCTTTAAAAATCTCAACTCCTTAACTGCCTAACATATATACAGTTTAAAAAGAGAAAAAAAATGTTTAAATTTTTACAGTTAATTCTTTTCTGCAATACCTTGTAGTGAAGTTAGATTCTTTAAACAGTATAAACATAGTCAAGCCTAAAGCAAACTTTAAGCATTCTATACTCATTGGATATGATTGTTTTACAAGTACCTACAAATCTATTATTTACTTAAATTCATTTTAGTACACTAAATCTTTCGGTGTTATATGATTGAAACTAAAACAATAAATTCATATCTAAGTATTTCTAGTGTAATACAATTCAATAATTTAAAAAAAAAATATGATCCAATTTGGTCCTACTTTTGTATAGAATATTTAATAGAAGATTTATGGCAAAGGCTAATAGCCATTTATAAAATATGTTGAATTTATAGTTAGTAATTAATGAGATGGATGACAGAAACTGTGAATAAAATACCAACACAAATTATTGATAGGGATTGGGATAAGCAATGAGTATATCACAAATACAATAAAAAGGTGGTAGATTTTTAAAACAACCTACAAAAACACAATCAATGAACAAAAACTAAAGAAAAACAAAATATATAGTTAAATTTTATGATCAAGAGTTTATCAGTATTGATCATCTGCTTTGAAAAACGTATGTTCATTTCTGGGGTTGACAAAATGATTTAAAAAATAATTTAACTATGTAAATTATTGTTTAAGTGACCTGTTAATAGCTATATTATTGTTAATAGAGACTTCTATGTCAGGATATTTATAAAAATAACAAAAACAGCTGTAGCAAAACAGATGAGCAAACTGGTAAGCTTCATGTTAATGGAGAGGGATTAAAATGAAAACCCATTCAAATTAGTGGAAAGAAAGTTGGAACATACTTTGACCAAATGAAGGGGTTTTCCAAGTCTCACCTGCAGCATTCTGCACTGGGCTGATCTTGGATACACCTTCAATAGCATACCAGAAACCTAAACAATAAAACAAATAATCATTAATAGGATTTGTTCAGAAATATATACATAATGTACATAGAGATACAAAAACTGATCATCTTACAAAACACATTAAACTAAATTTTTAAGTATAGCAATCTTAATAAACTTTAACTTTTATTTAAGTTTTAATAATTACAAAACTTACATAAATTTAAAATTTATTTTGCATTTAATCATTGATTTTAGAATTAAACAACTTACTAGGAAAATGTTTTTATATATTTAATATTAAAAAATAAACAACAGTAGTTTTCTATAAAAATTTGCATAGAATTTTCACAAAATTCATAACATTGTAGGTACTTTTCCTCTCCATATACTAGTAAATACTTCAAATTTTGATTAAGAGATTAAATAAGGAGATGGATAGATATTGTTCTATCTCAACTTTTAGACATGACAAAAGTAATATAAAGCTACTAATTTTTCTTTTACATTTGGCTGTAGGTATCTGACAATAGCCATCAGCAGATTATTGTAATTTTAAAGGTTTTACTATAAAATTGGCAATCTAGCTGTAATATTTTTTATTTATGCCAATTTCATAACTTATTCATCTTAAATAATACTGCAAATTGTGGCATACAAGTTGAGTTTTTAAAGCCTAAAAATATTTCTAGATCACATTTTTTGCATCACTGGTAGCCTACCATATGTTTTGAGGGTCAACCTATATGTTAAATATATAACTCAGAATTTTGAGTTAAAAATCTTGTGGTTGACTTGTGCACCAGATTGACTGGTACACTGTAATTTATGCTAATTAAAATATTTTCAATTTATATGTTAAATTTTACCTTACTCTACAATATAAGTAATGTTAGATTTTGTCTAATCATTTTTGAAGTGTGATGTTTTGAGTATTAATCTGAGTATTAATTTAGTCATTTATCAGTATTTCTTCATATTTCGAGTCCAAATACAGATATTGATTTAATGTAAATAGTATTCAAATTAATTTATTCAATCCTAAATCCTAAAATTTGTATTAAGTAACATTAAACTCTTGAACAAATCAATGAAAACTTTAGAAATTGGTAATGATTTTTATGTCTTCTGACATTTTCTGCTGAAAATGGTCCTGATCATTTAACAAGATATAAACTGTTACAGGTTTCAAAAATCTAGTCTGTTTTCTTTTCCCCATCAAAAATAAAAGTACCTTTTTTTTAGTCTGGCGAAAATGCCATTTAAAGAAATTTCAAACCAATAGAACAACTAAATAGCAAAAAAAAAAAAAAAAAAAAAAGTAACTATTAACAAAATTATATTTTTAATTATTACTTTTTATAAAATAAAATGATCATCACTTACTTTTGATGCCAAGTTCTACAGTTTCCTTTGGTTTATAACTATTGAAGGCAATATTTGCCACATTCAGATCTAAATCCTCAACAAAATGAATATCTGCATCTTTGACTTGTTTAAAAGTAACTGGTTCTGGAGAACCATGGCCAAGTATAGGCTGCAAAAGAGAGAAAAAAAAAAGAAAAGAAATTTAGGTTCACAACAGGTATATTATTCATGACAAATATTCTTATAGCAAAACATCTTCCTTTGAGTAAGCATTAATACTTTAAGATATCTCATGTTATATTTGGATTTTATCTTCAAATAGTGTTTGAGTAAATAACCTTTGGAAGTAGCTTTGCCAACAAATTACAGTAAATTAAATTGTTTTTATTGCTTCTTGGCAAACATGTTAACACTTTTTTTCTCAGATAATCTAAAACAATTTTTCCTACATTATGGGAACAACACAATTTCAGCTTGGAAAAAAAAAAAAAGAAGAAAAATTAGTTTACAGTTAATTTTAAAGTAGAGTTAATTTTTATGTAAAATTTCAGCCACTGTAAGTTTTCATATAAAGTGAATATAACTGACATTTAAACTAGACTCAACAATTGATTTTTGCACCAATAACCAGGATATCACCCACCTTATAATTAACATATTCAAAAATTTGGTATTGTTGGAAAGTAAGATAATATTGTGTGATACTTGGAAGTTGATTAAAAATGGAAGAACATGTTTTCTCTACATTTGAAAAAAACTCAATCTATAGATGCCTCTATGCATCTTGATAAACCCACACAAAAAATATCACTAAGCTTATTTGTGAAAGAAATGTTGATTAAAATAAATAAAATACAAAATGTAAATAACAAAAGTAATTTTTATTTTGTTTCAATGCAACATGAAGACATTCTTCATTAGATAAATTTGTTTTTAAATATTTTGAAAGCTCATCTTATTAGAAACTTAGAAACCAAGAATAGCATCATGTGATCAATTTCTTTTTCTACACATTCTTTACTGTATCTACTATAATCTAAAAGTACCTTTTTCACATGGTATATTACAAAAATGTGATCATTCTAGAAAGCAAAACAAACAATACAGAAATACAATCAATTTCAACTTAATGGTTTACAGGAAAATATTTAACTGGAATGCAACATGGAATCACGTTTAATTATCATATTGTGATTATTTCTGAAACCATTAAGAAATAGTATGCCTCTTTCCTCTTATTGCAATTGCAAAATATTTAAAATTCTGTGCAAATATAGTTAAGAGACTAATTACACACAAAGAGTTTAAAATTGTTTGAATATTCTAGCAATTAGAAAAATATTATTCAATGTTATGCTTATCATTTAGAATTTGATATTTACAAAGTTTGAATTAATAATTCCCCACTCTTTAACTGGAAATGGTTCATGTTCAGTTATTAAATGTACATACATATTGAGAGAGTCTGTTGAGCCTATCAACAAGTGGTACCTTACAAACTCACTGTCAAATTTTATGAAAAGTAATTACTCATACATAATCTCCTATTCACAGGTCAGCACTAAGTTTATTGCCTAAATTTTTTTTAGTTGATTTAGGATAATTTTGATGTGCTGAATCCAAAAATTACATTGGTTTTGCTCAATCAGGTCAACTTTTTGAGTTATGACCACATGCTGTTTTTTATGTTTTATGTTTTTTGTCATGTCCATTAAAATATCTAAATATTCAACATATTTCACACAATAAAACTAATTATTATGTTAATTATAAACTTATTAATTTTAACCAATCAGAATTATATTCAGCCAAAAATAGCTACATAAATATTAAAACATGCTTCCAAAATATTTATAAACCAATAAAACACAATAAAGTGCTTGCATTTCAAAACATACCAATAAAAATGTACAATACAAAACCCATAGAATACAAATCAGAAAGGTTTTATTAGTCAATATGTGGTGTGTAACTCAACAATTCAACTGGTGATAGCAGGTAGGCACAAAGAAAACCGGTGTCGCACGTCCAACCTTCTCACGAGCCGAAAGCCTTCTGTTTTAAACAGCAGAAACGAGCCTGCTTTATACAGCTGCGGACCGACCACGATTTGCATGCGAATCACGAGGCAACGAGATTTCACGGTAACTGACCGAGACCACTTGGCATAAAACGCGGGCGCCGCCATTTTGGTTTTCTTTTTTACAGTTGGAAGGACCAGTGTTTACATACTGCGCAGATTCGAACGCGTTTCCGAGGTAGGCCATTTTCACAATTTTCCCCACACAATATAATTCAGGCATGCTGCCAAAATATCGCACGGACGTAGTAGTAAGTATACCACGTGACATTTTAGAGCCAATTAGGAATAAGTAAAATGATATAATTTAGGAGTCAATTTCTCAGAAATAATGGTATAAAAATCACAATGTTTGACCTCAACAACAGAGTCTCTCAGATTCCACTAACAGCCATGTCATTCTAACTGCTGATATTCAAGACCTCATTCACTTTTACACACACTATCAAGAAACAACTCCACAAAACTGACCAAACCTAAAAGAGACTGCTTTCAAACACTACTAATCCAAAGACTGTTCATTTACAGTAGCAAGTGATCACTGAAAAGTGTTCTGCTGCACAATGTTAAGCAGTTTGTCTTTGAACTCCTAGCTCACTTGACTAATATGAAACAATGAAGTAAGTGCTGGAGAAAATTTATTATGATCAGCATGAGTAGTTTATTTGCATTGACCTGAAGATGGTGAACTTTTTGTTGGGATAATGGTCTGGGTTCACCAAGGACAAGTGCTTTTTGTGCATGTGAGATAATAGAGACACTGCTCAGCATTACATGAAAAAGGACTAGCCTGTTCAGGAGGAATTGATTCCTTGCAGAGCAACGAATGTCATCAATAAGCCTCTGGTGGACAGAGACCAGACACTTTTTCCACTGCTGCACATCAAGCTCAGATTGATGAAGCAACTCACCAAAGCTCTTGACAATGATGGTAGCTGCTTCACTTACTTGTACCAGGCTTTTCCAGGATTGATGATGGAGAAGTTGAAATCTGGCATTTTTGATGGTCCTCAAATCTGTCAGCTCATCAGAGATCCAGAGTCTGAAAACTCAATGTATGAAGTGGAACTGGAAGCACAGAAGGCTTTTGTTCTGGCTGTGGTAACAGGGCCAAGAACTATACAGAACACATCATCAATATGCTGACTGCTTTCAGAAACATCGGATGCAACATGCGCATCAAAATGCATTATTTATTCTCACATATAGATTGGTTCCCTGAGAATCTGGGGTCAGTGAGTGACAAACAGGGGGGAGATTCCATCAAGACACGAACAAGATGGAGATGAGGTATCAGGGATGAAGTAATAATGGCTGATTACTGTTGGACTTTGAAGAGTGACACCCCTGCCATTGATCATTCCATGGGTTCGAATAAACAGAATTTCAAGACGAATTTTGAACAATAATGTAACAAGCAATTTACATGTACTTACATTTATCAATGTATACTATTCAATTTATTGTAATTGATGTTTGTAACATTTAATAAATTGTATTAGAAAAGAATTTTTCTCTTAAAAACTTATTTCATAAGAGAAATATTAAAAATTCAATCGATAATGTCACAAAAATATAATTGATTTAGTCAGAAACTCAACTTAGCATAAAAACATGACCTCATCGAGAGAAATTTTCATTTTCATTTTCAGCGGTGAAAAATTGTGCTAAATCGTTAGGAAAAACATGGAAAACTTTAATTTTTTTTTTGTAGTCCAGTGTTATCAGCAATAACATCTAAGCTTTGTTTCTATTGAGCTTTTTCTCCATTAATCAAAATAAGTAAAAGTCAAAAACTTTGTAAATTATGCAGAAAAATGCTTACTGGGGTTGTTTTATTTTTTTTTACTTACTTGCATATCACTTGTTCGAAGAGCATCATTGATATCATCTGTTGTCAAACGTCGTCTCTTTGCATGTTTCATATATTCGATACTATTCTGTAAAAATAAAATTTACAGCCAAATTTGAATCAATTTATATACTAATATGCTTGTCATGCTTGGCTGAGAGGCAAACGGAAGGTTAGAGAGAGACATAGACAAAAAGAGAATGCAACAAAGCAATTGGAGGTGAGGGGCCATAAAGGCAGTTGGAATGATCAATGGCAGGAGTTAAATCTGGTTTCCTGAACTAACAATCTGTTGATGACAATTTTATCCCGAACTTTGAGTGACCTTTTGAAATTAAAATCTTTTTCTTTAATCTTATCTTCACGAATTACACACTAAGGAAGCAACTCTGTAAATGCCATCTTGGGGGATCAATTTACAATGAATTTCTATTGCAAACACTGGGGAATATAGAGAAACAAAAAGAGTGTGTGACACAAAGAAGGATTAGAGGGGGGTTATCGTAGATAAAGGTACTTGTTTGCAGTGAGGAGTTAAATAATATTTCATGACCTAATGAAACTATGTCTTTTTTTTTATAAATATCTGAAATAGTCATGGGTTGAAAAGTATGTAAAAAAAATTTATTAGTAAATCTCTGTAATTTACATCGGACCTGATAGTTATTATCATTAATACTATTATTTTGTTAAGACAAATGCTATTTATGTTGATTTAACAAAGCAATACATAAGGTTTAAAATATGAAAGATCGTTCTTGAAGTTTTTATATTAGTTTTAATTTAAAGCTAAAAGATTAAATTCAATATTTCCAATAAGCAAAATGCTTTGTTGTTTTTCAAACTGAATTTAAATTGATTGGAATATTATTAAGATCAATAAAATCGGCCATATAGACAAAACTATCAACACAACATAATTCTCTTTATTATAAAATTCTTTCAAAAATAAAATATATTTTCCTGAGACATTTAGAAAAATTAGCAAATTTAAAGTTTAATTAATTTGAATTGAAATAAATATTAGTTACTTTTAGTTTAAAATATAGCATGAAATGCATTTTTAACACAGAGGTGGCTGCTGTATTTTTAAGTGTTGAATGATGCATTGACAGTTTAAGGAGGAGATTATGGAAATAAAATTACACAACAAATATAACGTCTTTTTTATATAATTTTTTTTTTTTAACTACCCAGTAATCTTAAAGATTTTAAATATTTTAAACTTTCTAATATTTTATTGAATTATAAGTATTTTGGCTTTATAGTTTTACTTATGAAGACTTCAGGAAATGCTAGAAAATTATTAATAAATTTTAAATTTACTATAGTTATTGCTCTTAGTTTCTGATAATGTTGTATATGAAGTCTTGTTTACAAAAATTAGTATATATTTATATAAACACACACCAAAAAATTAAAAATTCCTTTTAAAGTACTGGAAGCATTTATGATTAGTAAATTAGTTTTTATCCAATAACAATATAACTTGACTGCTACAAATTAATACAGAATTTTAAAAGATTTAAGTTTATAAATTATTTTAAATTAAATTTTAAGAAAAAAAAAAAACAAAAAAAACAATTCTTGTAAAAATCCATTGAAAAATTTTTTTTTCTTAAGTCAGCAGTGTCCATAATATATTTTATTCATAAAAGCAATTAAAAGCTTTTTCTTTAAATAATGTCTTTTATTGCGTTTTTTATTTTATGATTCAGAGCAGATTTTCTGTAACTGGGGGTCCTGATTGACGAAAAATATTTATTAATTATATTATTTATTGACTTGTTCTTATAACCTATATAAACATTAAATGCTACAAAAAATAATTTCTTGAAGCTTTCTAAAATTAAATAAGGAGGGGGGAAACAGGGAAAAAAGGGGGGGAAGGGTAGATTGTTTTAATTCCATATGTCATGACTTTTTTGGACATCTCAGTTTCAGTTAATTCCCTTTAGTAAAACAACTCTCCAAGTTTTTGTTCCCTCTGCTGTGGCCAGCTATTGAACTAATAACTCTTTATTCAACCATTAGAGTTTTTCTTATATTACTCTAGTCTGTATATTTCTGTTTCTTCAACATCTTCCTGATCCACTAAATCATTTAGGCTATGCCTTGAGTGGTTCTAGAGTACATTCTTTGCACTAACAATTGATGCATCTTCTAATGCTCTTTCTATTGCTTCAGCTAGCATCAAATTATGTCACTCCACAGTGCCATTGAGTTCAGAATGCAAGTTTCATTATTTAACATCTCATTCAGCTGCCAGCAGTTATTAAATTCTACCTCCTTGTCATTCAAGAAATGCTTGAGAGTTCCAAAATAGGATATCCACATTAAAAATGTGAATGATCTCTTCACTCTTCTTTGTCTCAATCAATCTAGCAGAAGACTACCTCATGGATGCATCAATTAGGCACAGAATCCAATACTGATTATGCTTAATGTTTCTTCAAATCAAGAGTGCCATTGAAGTTGTTTCCAAATGGCAATCCCATAACTGTTCGTAGTGCTGGTCTTCTGAACTTAAGAATCATAGATTTCCTTAATAAGACCCAGATATTCTTTATCATGAAAAGTTTAATTCTTTTTGACTAAAGATATTGAATTTTCTTTTGAAGCATGAGCAACTATTAAAGTTCTTTAGTTTTCTTCTTCTGCTCTAGAGCACTGATCCAAAGCATTCACATACAATATAATGTTTGGAAAGTTTTCCAGTAGTTTTCATGGATTTATGGCTAAATCATTTTTTAACAATGTCAACTTTAGTCACAAAAAACAGTTTTAGTGGATTTTACCTATCATCAAAAAATAAATGTCCTGTCAGACATATTTTACTAAAGTTCTATCCTGTTCAGGATAATAAAATAAATTTGATAAAATGGCAGAATTATGGAAGCTCTCAGTTCTGTCAAGTGGTATGACTGATCGCCATTTGGCATGCACATTTGTGGTGGGGCTGCTTGACTGAGAGAAACAGCTCCTTCGTGTGTCACCCAGAATGGATACTCTGACCACTGACCAGCTGCTGGACACAATCATGAAAAACAAAGTGATGGACTTGAATTCAACAGTAGCAGCAGCACAGACAGTAAATGAAAGAAAAGAAGTCCTCTCTGAGAGTCCATGCAATAACATCACCTACTATAAGTGCAACAGCTCAAACCACATGGCAAAAGACTGCCTGAGTAATCACAAAGTGAACAATAAAGAGAACCAAGGGCGAGGACAAGGTCCACACAAAGCCATGCACTATCTTTGTTGCCAGACTGTAGGCCATATATTGTGTAACTGTCCAGGAAAAGACATCAGTGCCAGCACCTTCACTGCAATGAATGTAAACCTGGCACTATCAGTAACTGAAATTCAAGTTCATGGAAAGCCATGCACTCATTGACTTGGGTTGGACATGCTCCAGAGGAAGCAAGGTCCCAGAAATTCTGTCCTCTAACACTTGTATTTTTTTTAAGTATTTTCTCATTATGTAGAAAGTTTGTAAGCCACTTTCCAGTTTGTGTCTGGTTCAGAGTTGTGACTGCATTTCTGAAGTGATGCATGAACATGGTAATCAAAGTATGGGATGACGAGGCTTTCTATGCCACCTTGAAGAACACGATTCATGAGTGTTGTCAGTCAGAAAACGGGAGTATGGGTTAATGGGGATATTGTTGAGGATGCATGCTGGCTACAACTGGAAGTCGAGGCCCAACACATTAACCATGTCAAGCTTCATGCAGTATTGAAGGGTGTAAACCTGGCTCTCCAAGGGAAGTTGATAGTGTTGTACCTAGTTATTGATTCCGTCTGTATTCATCACCATGGATTATAGACACACTGATTGGAAAAGCATGAGTGAATACAAGGGCAGCATGTGAAATGCTTATAAAAAGATGTTTAGTGACTGAAATAAAGCCTACAGTCTCACTAGAGTGTCCCTTCATTCCTTAAGAAAGGAAGCAGAATTTTTCTTGCAGATGTGCAGTGCTGTCATGCATGAATTAGATTCTTGTCAAATAATGGAATTCCATTGGCACAGACTGTACCTTCCACATTTAGAACAGTAGTCAGGGATGTAGTTTGAAAGTGTTCCAAATGCCAGTCTATCAATTCAGCATCAATACGTTAATAAACTAGAAGTATGTGACATGTGGACTAGGTTGAGAATAGACATCACCCACTATGGACAAAAGCACTACTTGATCCTGATAGACTGTGGATCAACATATTTCTCAGTCTGGAGACTGTTAACTCAACATGACTGAGAGTGATATTCACCAACTGGAGTCTATATTCTGCACAAGGGGCTTTCTGTGTGAGCTGATTGTGTTAAATAATAGTTTAGCAGATTATTACTTTTTAGAGAAGTGTATTTCTGCTCTAACTTCCTCAGTTTGAACTTAGGGTTCAAATACAAGACAAAATAAAGGAAGTTGATTTTGATTGGCTGAACTAGCGTGGGAATGATAGATAAAGATTTTTCGGGAAGTTAGTTCTTACACGTTGAACAATGTATATGTGTTCTTTTGTCTTTGGATCTGCTCCCCAGTGGGGTGAGCGATCATCTGCACTGGATATTTAGAAATATACATGTCAATGTGTTAAATAAAATAATTAAGTTTAAAATTCCTTTTGTTGAAATTCATTTATCTCTGAACCAAAACTGACTAGCAATCACTGATTGTGAGAGAAGAAGACAATGTTATTACGATCAAATCGACATAATCACCCAAGACCCCCACCAAGGGGCGATACAACAATTGTAGGTTGTGACACCACATTCAGAATTGGTATATTCAAGGCCTTCATGGAAGAATAGGGCATCCAGTAATGCTTTTGATGTGCACATGTTCCAACAGAGAATAGGATCATGGAGAGACGTCACATGACTATCTAGTGGATTGCTGCAAGGAAGCTGTGTATTGGTACAATGCATTACTGAAAGATAGTATCGTGATTGTTACTGCACCCATCAATGCAATCTACTCCAATGAGATTAGACTGAAAGGTATTGACACAGTATCATCATCAAAGCACGATATATACAAGATAGGAGATGTTATGTGGATGAAATCCCAGAACTGCTCTACTTAGTAATTTTTGACAGGAAAAGTGACTGCAATCGTCAGCTTGAGATAGACCTGCACACACTCAACAACTCTCCAGCATAGGTCAAGACAGATGAAGATGATGAAACCTCTGCCCAGCAAGGAAGCATCAGACAAAAAACAACACTGCCAACTGGATGGTGCTGTGATCAGGAGATTTTTTAGCAAGGAAGAACAGCATTTGGTCTGAAATGGAAAGAGTGAAGCATTCGGTGGCCACCTGAGATTAAACAAGGGTTTGTTTTGAGTTGGCAGACAAGAACTAAAAAGACAGTTGCTAGGTTGGCTTGTGTGGCCCCTGCAATGGAAAACTTGTGCACAGAATGTTTTAAGAATGTTTGTAAGAGGATTGCATTTAACAGTTGTTGGTACATTGGCAACTATCAGTGTTATTCATTTTTGATACAGAAATATCAACAAAAACTTTTTTAGGGTATCTTTCATAACCTGATAAGTTTTGCACACAAGATTCTTGCTAGTTTTTCATTTTCCTCTGATATATTTGCTGTGTTCAGCACAAAAAGCCTGGACACCTGGTAAGGTAATCTCAAATTTATATAATTTTCAGTATAGAAATTCATAATCTACCAAGAAGCTGGTAATATTTGTCCCAGACGCCCTTCTCTACAAATAAAATTCCTTGAATAACATATATGCTCCTGTATTTTCAACTTGAAGATATATTTCATCCACTTTATCTGTAATAATTTGAAGACAGTCCTCTCTACCTATATCTATGCTATATGTTGAAAACATTCACAAATGTTTGTAGGTAATGTCAAAAATATCTCAGGGCCCTGTTTTTCTTTTGGCAAGTCTGTGAACATAGACCAAATCTGTACATCTTGTTCCCATTCTATATACAGATTCTCACTCTGAAAAATTGAAGGCCGTTTTGTAAGAGTTGTCATCTATTTTTAAACATGTTTCAACATAAAGTTGAAAAAAAAGTATTCCTTGTTTTTTCCCCTTTCACACAAAATGTAGCTTCTGCTACCAATGCCAGTCTTTTTTACACATCACAGAGTAAACACAACATAACTATCCACCATCTTTATTATAAGAACATAAAACTATAAAGCAAAGGACAACTGTGTAGAAATACAAAATGTTAAACAACTCAACATTAACATAACCTACTTATATTTGCATTAATTCTTTGAGATTAATGATCTTTTGGGGTATTTTTTTCATTATTTGTTTAATGTTCAAATACAGTTATGCATTTTTATTGAATAAAGTAAATTTTAATTTAAAACCTGTTTAAATTTGTAAACTGACAATTCTTAAAATCAAGAAAGTCTCTCTCAAATGAGCTTACAAATTAGCCAACATGGTAACAGTTGAAGTGTCACAACCTAAATGTTTTTTTTAACAATTGTGTAATTATGGTTTAAAATTTTCATAAAATTTTATAAAAAATAAGCATACCACAATTCTAATGTTGTAACAGTAAGTGATTTTTTAAAAGATTTTTTATGACTTGAACTATTATTTTAAAACATTTATAGTTATCAGATATTCTATTTTACAATATGAATTTATCAGTCTTATGATAAAACAACAATTAAAAAGAAAATCTTTAAAAGAGATGTGAGTCACTATACAATGCAAGTCCTTCATATCTGATGCATAACAGAAAAATCTTTAAAAATATTTCTTTTTAAAAATTCAAATCACCTTGCCAAATTCAAATCACCTTGTTGAAACAAAAAAGTGAGGGTATTAAATTATAAATCTAACTTTGAAAACTGTACCTATATGAAATTACTAAAACACTGAATGTGGAAAAAACTCATAATCAAATAAAATTATGCAAATTACATGTGAAAAATTTATTTTTTTATCTTTAATTTTTGCATATGTGATGAATAAGGATTATTTTCCCATAAGTTTTACAAAAATAATTTTTGACAAGAATTCAAAACAAAATAAAATTAACGTAATAGTCATGAAAATCTGATTATATAAACAAAAGTCACAGAATGCTGAAAGAGAAAAAGCCACATTTTTCCTTTATAATAGATATACATTAGTTATGAAAAGTACATAATTCAAACTAACCTGAACTATTTCCCTAAGTCTGTAGCTGAGATCTTCACTAAGTATTAAGGCGCCATCATCAGTCAGATTTGTCACTCCTTCAGCTTCAGCCATCATCCTGATAGATTCACGAGATGGGATAATATATCGCTTTTCACTAATAACTTTTTTTTCATCAAAGGTCCATGGCCAGTAGAATCCTTTGTATGGCCATCAATATCAGGATCTTTAACCTGGGTTTAAAAAAAAAAAAAAAAAAAAAAAAAAAAAAATTGATAAAATAATCAATTGTGGCACCTTGCATTATTAGAAATATTCATAGAAATATGATTTAATTTTTTTTTTACTCGGTTTACTAAACAGGTTGTTGATTTTTTTTAACGGAAAATAATTGAGTTGAAAATAATTCACTAAGATTGTACTTAGACGATCCTAAGGAAGAAGAAGAAAAAAGAAAAAAGCAAAAAGAGGAAGAGAGAAATAACAAAAGCGGTCATTAACAAAAACACGTATCAGAAAGGTAATTAGGCCAACATCTTGGCGATTTTGAAAAGAACAATGGGATTTGTTATTTGGAAGGGAAAGTCAATGGTGGAGGTAGGAGTCAGAAAGATATCTTAGCTAGCATGTTGACGAATTTTTAAAGACAATTGGAAGAATAGAATTAGAAATAATAAAAAAAAGAAAGGGAAAAGACATGATATCAAAACGGGCCGCTTGATGAAAACCAGATATCGGTCAAAGCATCTAGCCTACTTTTTTGCGTGAAAGACACCTTATCAATTTGGATAAAGGAAATTTTGGGAACAATGAAAACGAAATCTTAATCAGAGAAAAAAAAAAGTGTTTTTGGGTTGAGGGAGTGACGGTGGAATTGTATACAGATTCTGACCTGTTAAAATTAGAACCCCACATTGACGAAAGTGAAAGATATTTTCAATTCAGATAAATTAAGATTTTCTGACTGCGGGTCTGACAAAAAACAAGAGGTGAAAAAACGATTGTCTCAGTTCACAGATAAGCGCCAATATTCTTCCCTGAAGTCACATCTAATTAGCGGCGGGCTGGTTGACAGAGCCCAGGTGAGAGAAAGCCAAGATTGTCATTTTTAAATGCGTGCAGAAAAGGCAAAATTGGATTTTGTTTTTTAAAAACAAAACGATGTAACCACGCCCGAAAGGAGGAGAAAGGATGCTCGATCAATAACAATTGGTCGGAAGCGGTCACGTGATCTGCAGAAAGGGGAGAAAGAAATGCCCGATCAGGAACCATTGGTGAAAAAAACGGTCACCTGACATACGAGAGACTAGAGAGATGGGTGTGCACCTCCCCACAAAAGGCACTGTGAGAAAGTAGGGTGAAAAAACAATAGCGATAATGGGAAGTCAAAAAATAATCGACTTTTGAAATTATCGAGAAAAGATGCCGACAGACCCACCCGGTTTGTTGCGGCGTCAATAAAAGCAGGACCCAGTCGACAGAAATCAGTTGGAGTGGAGTTGCAGCTGGACGCGGGCAGGGATAGAGCCTGAGCGGGCATCAGGCCCGATTCACTTGCCCCTTCCACCCGGGCAAGAATCCTCAGACAAAAATCTTTCCAGCCGGTCGAAGACAAGTTCAGCCCGGAGAAAGATCACCTCGGACGACAGAGAGTTTGAGTTGCGGCAAAGATCCTTCAGCCCAAGTCGAAGACAAGAACTTCCAGCCTAAGTCGGACGAAGAAGAAGAAAAATACAACTCAAGTCGAAGAGAAGAATCAACTGCGAATGATCGATGAAATTAGCCCCAGTGTCGAACCAAACCACACTCCGACATACACAATTCTAAAGAGTAGGCAATTCGAAATCTTTAGGTTGTGTGATAGAAACTTGGTGCCATAGTCCACAGAGCGGGTTGGGAAATGAGAACAATTTTGTTTTTATGTAACGGACATTAAGATATAAAGGGTTGTTACCATTTTTTTTCATCAACAATCTTTTTGTCTCGTGAGTTTGTTTTCTCTTTTATTTGTGTTTTGCCACCCCGTCGGACTCAACTTGTATCGGCCCCAATCCCTGCTGGTCCCGTCTGTCTAAGATCTAAACACAGCGTGGGTAGACAGACCGGAGATCGGTACAGTTGCTTTAGTGACCAGGTATTGGAAGTGAGTCAGGAAAGGCGAGGCTGGTGATCATCTGACCAAGGGGTTGGAGCGGCACGCTTGGACCCAGGAGGAGCGACCAGGAGGAGCGACGTCACCGTTGGCGCCGTAACCAAAGGATCCGACCCTGGGCCAGGTGTGTAACTGTCACACAATCATATTTCAAAGACAAATTAATGATTTTTTGAAAAAAATGGCACTTGAAAATATTGACATTATTACTGCTTTTCAAAAGGCATAAAGAAAACATATCGTCAGGCACATTTGATTATTAAAATTAATTTTGAATGTTTATTCTGATCTTATGCAAAAGTGTTTCATTTCTAGAACTACATAGCATATAGTGTCACTGATAAAAACAAATTATTAGTCTACAATATTTTCATTTATTACAAAAAAACAAAAAACACATATTTACATACTTTTAACATGCAAATTTTGTTTTGTTTGAAAAAAACAAAACAAAATTCAAACAGAAAAGATAATACAGGCTTATTGTTGACATTTTTAGTACATGAAAGTATTGCTTATATCAAATGGGAAATACCTGACTAGAATTTGCATGCAATAGCCAAGTCAAGCATTTTATCAAAAACTTCTCCTACAAAAGCTTATCTATAAAAAAAATAAAGATATTAGGACACTAAGAAAGCAGATAAAAATTTACAGTGACAACTGATCAAAACCAATCCTAATCCCTTAAATACAGGAGTTATGTTAATGTATTTTAATTTTCAATAGTTGACAACTCAGATTCAAAATGTGGATAGAAAAAAAAGACAACATATGTTTTTCAACATTTGAAAGAAAACTATTAGGAAGCCAAACAAAAATACCAGGTCTACAGATTGATACTTATACATCATAACATCAATTATCCATCACTCATGATTTTAAAGCTTTTGCTTTAACAATTTTTTTGACTCAACTAAGATCCGTAAATAGTAATTCAATAATACATTACTAACTCACTATTCTAATAACACTCAATTATTCACAGAACTAAAAAAAAAAATTTCCCTTGCTGAAAAAAACCTCTCCTCATCTAGATAATATTAAATACAGATATGTATATAGATTTAATAAGTAAAAAATAATTTATTCAACTTTTATATATTTATTCAAGCTTTTTATATACTACACTATAGTTAATATATTTTCACTCCCAGATTCTTAAGTCCAACCTGATAAAAAAATAATAATTTGGTAAAAAGACTTAATTTTTATTTTTCAAATAGCAGGTAGAAAAATTACCTTATTATTAATAAGTTTATCTTTGTTAAAGCTATGGTCAGTGAGAATTAAATACACTAACAATACTCTATGAAACCAAATCATTAACCATTACATGAGGATGACTTTTATACTTCATGAAATCAAATCTCATTAAAATCGACATCTGAGAGAACTATCATATTTGACAGCATATTAGATGCATCTCATTTCATAAGCAAATATTCAGCAAAAAAGTAAAAGCAGCAATAGAGGCAATCATAAAAATATCCTACGTAATTATAGTGATAATAATAATAATAATAATATTAATACAGAACACTGCCAATACTGAGTTACAATAATTCCTTTTTACAGTAGTAGTAGTAATAGCAGCAATAATAATGTCATTTAAATCAATAATATTATTACAGAGTTGGGCTTGGTAGATGTGACCACATGGGGTAAAATTATAGCCTAGAGTAGGGAGTAAGAGGTATAAAATTGCCCTCAACTTTACATATAAAATTAAGGGTGATTTTTCAGCACATTTTATTTATGTTTGTCTCCTATGACATCAAATACCAAATTTTAGGGTTCATGATTATTTTATCAACATTCAAAAGCTGAAATAACTTTATATTTATTTTGTTTTCATGTACAGTAATTTCTTTTTTGTTTCAGTGATGATTAAGTGCAAAGTAAAATGTATATAAGCAATAAATTATGTTTTACTTATCATTCAACCATTATATGATGCAATTAAGTTTAGGAGAACAAAACAATGTCTTTTTAATAGGGACTAGAAACAATTTTTGGAACTAAACTGAATGTGAGCACATCTACTCAAATGCAAACATATCTTATTCACTAATAAATGTACACAATGTGTTTTTATAGAAAGTAAATATTTGCAGAGGATAATTCATAAAAATGTTGTAAATATTTGTAACATTTTATGAGACAGAATTGGCTCTTAACATTAAAATCAAATTGACAATTGTCCATAACTAGTGATTTCCTGGTAGTTATAAGTTCAATTTGTGTGTCAGATGGTGTAAAAATGTCATCTATTATGGTTAAGTAGAAGAAACAGACAAGTAATATAAAAGTTGAATAAATAAGAGATAACTAATTGATAAGAGATATTCTCTAAGCATGGGAAGTGGAATGAGAACAATCTATCCGTGAATTGAATAAAGAGATTCAAAATTCCAAGAAGGTTACTGAGCATGATGACAGACACTTGAAGAAAGCCAGAGAGTACAGCAGCCAAAATATTCATAACAATAATGAACATGCTGGTTCAAATAGCAAATACTGAATATTTATTTTTTAGACTATTAATAAAATGCTCTATTTTTTTTTAATCAAATATAAAATGTTGATTATCTTGTTAACTTGTCTGAAAGTAATTTTCTACTGCTATTACCTGGTTAAATTATAGAAAAGTAGGTTACTTAAATGCTCATTTAATCATTCTTTCCATCAACTATTAGTGTCAGTGATGAAACACTTTGTAAATTATAGAACAGAGCCTAGATTGATGTAGTTTCATGCCTTTCTCAAGTGAAATGAACAGAAGCAACCTCAGTTGAAATTCTGTGCCTCTAACCAAAAATAGATTAAAGATTTAGATAGATATACCTACTATAGATGTATGTGTATAGAATTGTTCTATGAGAATATTTTTCAAGGACATCAATATGCTACGAGTATGACAGTTTCGAAAAGGATAGTTATGATTAGGGTTGTAAGGAGCCCTCCTGAAAGGAACACACTCCTTTTTTTCTGGAGCCAAGGAGCTACAGTCCAAGAAAGTTTGTTGGACGAGTTTCTATTCGCCACAATATCTGTGTGTGAGTTTGCGTGACTGTGTCAGTTATTAGTGTCATTTCATTTACAAACAATAAAAGTTTATGTTTTTGTTTTCATAAATAATTGAAACTACACAAACAACTGAATATGAATTCAGCTTTCTTTTTTATTTAAAAAAAAAATATTTTTTTTACACTTCTACAGTAATCTAATGCTTCCAACAAGTTTAATCATTTGGGCTATTATTAAAGTTAGAACAAGCTTCTTAAAGACTGAGCTTTTTGTTTGTTTTTGGTTAATTGCAGTAATTTATTTAAATTTATTTACTTTTAAAAGCAAACATTTTAGTTTGTATTCAAATTCAACATTAATACATGTAATGGTTTAATAATTCAAGTTAACATGTGTTTCTCAAAAAATCCTTTTTTTAGTTTAAATATTTGTTTGTAGCACTAAATAACTGACTCAGAGGATGAGTTCTTTCAAAGCGAACCTGGTAAGCCATTATTCCACTACCAGTTTTGCCATCATTAAAGAGTTAAAAGATATTTCAGAATTGAACCTTGGAGGAAGTATTTTCAGAAAAAAAATAGACACAGTTTAAAAAGATGAAATTTTGAAAAATAACTTTTGCTGTTGAACTATAATTTGATAAAATAAAATTTAACAATGCTGAATTTGATTCTTGAGGTATTTTTTCGAAGTTACAAAGCCACAATGTCTCCATAATAAGTTTGGAAAATATAGTAGTGATTTATGTTTCTGTAGGAATATCCATGTACTTAAAATTTGGCTACACCTTATCTTAAACTGTAAATTCTAAAATGGATTAAATTTATGTGAAGGTAGGGAGAAATATAGACTTAAGTATTTTTCTGTTAACAAGTGACAACAATGTTCTCCCACCCCACCAATAATCCACTTTTCCATCTTGTAATGAACACATTATTCGTTAAGTATTTTTAGAAAACAAAAGAAAAAAAAAGTAACTCAAGTGACTCAAAAAATAATTTTGAATGCATGAAAATATTGTAAATTAAATTACTTTCCATCAGAATACATAAGAATAAAGAAATTGTGTATTAGGTGAAAATACAGTTGAGAATTTGTTGATATAATATTACAACATATTGGTGGAGTGGGAAAAAGAGCGTGCTCCTTTTATTCAGGTCCTAAGGACACATGATCCAGTGGAAAATAGTGTTGATTGAATCCAGTGACTTGACCCAAAGAGTTGTGAGGTCAATACCTGGCTACAGCAGAGGTAAACAAAAACTTGGAGAGCTGAGTTGAAGGAAAATTCAGAAGAGGCATGACATGTGGAACTAGAACAATCTACCCCGTTGGATGAAATAAAGGGTTCAGTTCAAAATTCCAATCACCTGAAGAAGGCTGGAGTGCATAATGGCTGAAATGTCATGAATATGGCAACAAAGATGAGGACAACAGTCTGAACAATGTAAATAGTGTAAATAATTACAATACCTCATATCAGAAATATAGACAGATATGCGGAATTAGTTCTACATAATGAAAACAGAACACTATTAGAATGCAAGAAAACTAAAGTGATAGACATCAGCTTAGTTTGAGTTAATATTTATACTTCCAGCATAGTGCGGTTTTCTTTGTAGAACATGAAAGGAATTGGGAAAACCCCATACCCTCTGTATAAATTAGATGAATTACATAAGTGACAGTAGATGGTTGGTTGTGTATCTTGAATTGCTGGAATAAAGGCAACTTGATTGTGTCAACATCATGTATTGCAAAAAATTAAAATAAAGTTTATTTCTGTAGCAACTATATCTCTGAAGAAGGTTATAGATAGATCAACAAAAATATTTTAAAAGTTCATCAATAAACAAGTAGTATAAAACTCAGTAAATTCTTTATTTGTAAGCTGAAATATAATACAAGGTTTAAAGTATTTACTGAAAATCTATAAAGAATTTAAAACAATCAATTTGAAGTACATTCAATTTCTATTAATTACACAATACACAATTTTCTCTTAAATTAATTTGCTATATAATAACAGATTGAACAAAAAGTTATCTATTAATAATATATATTTATCTTAAAGAAACAACAATATTTTGTCTTGTGATATTTGTAATTATCAGCAGCCAATCAAATTTTCTTCCTAACACAGTGCATATTCTGTAAATTTTTTTACCAATTAATGAAATTGAATAAATGTAAAGATTCAAGTAGTTATCTTTCTATAATATCAGGAAAATGTATAATAGAGAGAGACTAAATTCTACTATGTTCTGTTGTGCTTTTTGAAGGAAATATATATGAGACTAGCTTAAAAGCTGCACTACTGGGTGGCATTTAAGCTAGATTCTGTGGAGGGCTCTTGATTGAGCCCTTGGCCCAACAATGACACTCCATGCATCGAATACATATTAAATTTTATTAAACTTGAACAATATTTTTCAAACAATAGTTTTCATCAAAACAATGATATAATTTGTCTATTTGAAATTTATTATTGCAAAGCTGCATGATAAATAACATTTTTGTTTTTCCCCATTCAGGGTCAATACAAATAGCTTGTTTCCATTCCTAACCCTTGAACATCTGAAATAGAGCTGGGTTCCATCAGATGAAGTCCAGTTACTTTCAGTGATTATCCTTAGGACTTATAGATTGGTATTGCATAGCTCACTCTCACTGGAAACTGAAGTCTTCTGAATTCAAAAGGAAAATCTGGAGGAATTATGGGGATTCTTGAAATTAAAACTCTTTCTTCCTTTCCTGGACCAGTAAGGGTTTCTGCTTCCAAGAGATGAGGAAGCATCTTCTTGACAATTAACCTTGTTCCATTACAAAGTTTTGGAGGATCCAGATTTCTCAATAGCATAACTGGCACATTTTCTTTTAGTTCCAACTTGTGTGATGGCATTCCAGGAGGATTCAATGAGTTCAGGAATTCTATTGGATAATTCACTGCCTGTTCTTGTTCAACCACAGTGTCAATAGAAAAGTATTTCATGCTTTCTTTTGGATTTTCTTGGAGAAGTTTCCAGTTGATGCTATCCACAGTTTGATTCTTGGGTGTTAATATGGCCCTCTCACAAAGCCAGTTTGAATTCATGAAATGGCGTTTAATGTTTGGATAAACATTGTTAATCAATTCTTGGATACTTGAGACTGAAACTCTACAACCATTTGGGAGTGAAATATCTCCATTTTGGTCCATTTTGATGATTCCATTGCCAAGCTGCAACAGCAAAGCAGCAAATCTTCCTGCTTCAAGGTCACCTGTGATTCTAACTCTCATGTTTGTTTTTAGGCTGAGTCTTTGAACATGGCTCCAGATGTAAGAAATTTTCAGGCAAGCATTGATTTCACCAGCTGGAGTTCTTCTTGCAATGACTGGTGATGTTTGTCTAAAATCTCCAGAGAAGCACAGTGATATTTCCCATGATTTGTGAATTCTGTCTAATGTCTTTGAGTGTTTTGTCCAGGGCCTCAAATGTTCGCTTGTGTGCCATGGTGTATTCATCCCAAACAATGAAGCTTGTCTCCTCTAGTAAGCTTAGCCAAGTTGGTTCCTCTTTTGATGTTGCAAATAGGGGTTTAATTGTAGTTCAAATTCAATGGAAGTTTGAAGGTGCTGTGTCTTGGTATGTCCTCCTGGCCAGAGGGTAGCAGCAATTCCAGATGATGCTACTGCTAGATCTACTTTTCTTTGGAGATAAAAGAGGGTTAGTTACAAAAAATTTTACCAGTACCTCCAAGAAGAAAATCTCTCCATTGTTGTTGCTGATGTCATCAAAGACCTTCTGATACATTTGCTGTTAGTCTTGGTTCAATAGGGGCTCATTGTTTTGAATACATTGCTGCAGTTCTTCCATGTTGTATCCTGTTCCTCTCAAAATCTCTCTGTTTGGACTTGGCAGACCAAAATTGCTGAAATCTCTTTGAGCCAAGTTCATAATTTTGTCTTCAATATCACAGAGAGCTAAATTTGCAATCTGAGGATTCGATTCCAGTCCTGGATGAGCACATCTCATTTGGAGAAGATGAGATATTTAAAAGTTAGAGAGTTGTGTCCCTTTAATTGAAAAAGTGTGACACAGACATTTTTACATTTATTATATAGATGATCAACTTACCTTGGAAGACATTTTCCAGTTTGAAAAATTAATCTGAATTATGTGGGTTTAAAGGCTGACCCAAGTCTTTCTTCATTGCCACAAAGTTATAGCAAGCAACTCATATCAACTCATCTATAAAAAAATAAAAAAGAAAAGCAAGCGAGTTAAAATATACGCTCAGAATGTCACAATGTTACATACTTATTACAATATTATACAGAATTTGGAATAATGTTGGTATAAAAACAATATACTCAGTAAATCAAAATTAGCATCAGAATGAATAAAAAATTAGTCAATTACAATCCACAAAAAATACAGTTGTGGATTTGGCATCTGAAATGGCAGGTTTTAAAGAGTAGAGAAATCTTCATGAAAACTGTTGCCTAGATTTTTTAATGCTCAATTTTACTCTTCTACATTAAATGTTGCAGAAATCTGAACAAACTTACATTTTGTAACAACAGAATATTTAAAAACAGAAAAACACTCAGTACACATGAACAAACTAAAAAACTGCATTTGTGAATATTTTGTTTTGGGTACACATAGGATATATGAAAATTAACTCTTGGCATTTTTAATCACACTGAATTTTATTTGTTATTGATTAATAAAAAAAATGATAATTTCATTATAAATATAAATTAAACATATGTTGAATTAAGTTTCATATTTAATAAGCACATTAATTTTTATAAACTTGTTTAGAAAAAAATCAGTTTTCTGAAATCTGCCTCAACAATCAAAATCAAGATTTTCTAGTCAGAAGTTATCAAACATACGAAATATTACAAATATGCTGTTTAATAAACAATGTTTCCATTGGCCAATCCAAATAAGAATGCTGCATAAAACCAATACAAACGATAGAAAAAAATCTAAGTAGAGCCAACATTGTTATAAGAAATATTTTGTTTGAAAGCAACCATTTGTTTAGAGAGAACATTTTGGTGAAGAAAGATAAACATAATACTAACAACATCAATCAACCCATTCACTATTAGGTGCCAGTTTTACCAAGTAACTCCATAAACAAAGAATCTAAACAACAAAATTTATGTCTCCAATACTAAAGATATCCTTCCAATGTTTTTTTAAGCTTTTTAATATTTATTTTAAAAGTAGGGAAAAGGGAAAGCAGATTTCTGAAATTAATTGTTCATTTAAAGTTTTCAAGTATTTGGAAATTCATAAATGCATTGTTAAACTCACTCCTCTGAACTTTTTGTAAGTACACCTTTTCACTTTTATGAAAATTGAGTTTGCTCTCAAATTTTAGCATTTTTGTATATATTCTTGATACCAATTTGAGTTTCATATTTTTTTTTTACTTAAAAATTTCAGTTATCTATAAATTGCAGTTTCTACTAGTACCGGGTGCCATGGATAAATTGTTATCTAAATTACGTAAAAATGAAAGTAACACAGACATCTCATTTTAACAGATATATTTACCAAAATTACACAAAAATATCTTGAAATACTAAAGAGTAAATTTATCCAATAAAAATCGCCATTGGCTTAACCATGCCATCCAGATGACTTCGGAATCTCCTGCAATTCTTCCAGACACTATCCTTGTTTAAGTTGGTGAATGCTGCAATAGTCCTTGCCTTCAGTTCGTATTTGGCGTTACAAGTAGTTTTGTTGGTCTCTCGCTCAACTGTGCCCCACACAATAATCAAGGGTGTTGCAGTTTGGGGATTTAGGTGGCCAGATGTAAGGGGTGATGTGGTTGCAGAAATTGTCTGACAGTCATGACAGGGTTCTCCTGCTTGTGTGGCATGGTGCAAAGTCTTGTTGCCAGATATAGGGTCTTTCAGCAGCCATCCTGTTGACCTCTTGTAGGTCTTCATATTGAGCCCTCACCAACAAATTCAAGAATTTTTTTTTTATCAGAATGATCAGAGAAAGTTTTTCGAGCTGCCTTACCTTACATCCAAATCCTCTGCATTGACACCCAAACACTCTGAAATGTTTGTATTGAAGCTTCTGGCACAAATACCAAACAGTACAGCCTGCCATTTCCAAATTTATGGTAGATTGAATTGCATCATGGTGCTCTTTTTCTCAGATGGTCCCCAACTGACCCTACTATAATGTGCAGTTGACAAAATCAAAAACAAAGAATGTACATGTGCAAAATTAAAAATATAAAATGACAACAATTTACCCATCACACCCTGGAGGAGAAAGAAAAACTTTGTACACCATGAATTTTTTTATTTAACATAAATTTTATAAAAGAATTTTATAATCCATACAATATTTCTATAGCATAGCATAATGCTGCAATATGCAAAAAAATTTGTTATATTAATGAAATTAAAAAATTTGAAGGCGAGAAAAAAGTATTCATACAAAATTATAATATCTATTTAATACTTTGTAGCATATCCCTTACTCAATTCAACAGCAATCAGCTTTTAATCAGTGATTTGCATGTTTTCATTGGCTCATTCCGTGTCAAATCAACAAGGGGTTAGACCATGACCAACACGGATTTTTTTCAAATTTGCTAAACTTATAAATCTCCATGAAAGGAATTGAATGGTACCTGTTACACATCTCAAGGTCAAGGGGTTCCTGAGATACGACCTCTGACCTTTTTACGAAAATGTGAATAGTGACCAACTTTAAAAGATAATATCTCAGTTGCTTATGGACCTACAAAGTTCATTCATATATTATTCTAAAGTACTTGGATAGAACTACAGTTTTATCTGGGGATTTTTTTTTTTAGAGGTCAAATAAAAAAGTTGAGCTTGACCTTTGGTCTGACTTATCTCAAAAAACGTTATTTTAATTTTTTTTAAATTTTGACAAAAGATTTGTCTATCTTATGACAGTATATATTCCAAATTTCATGACGGGCATTCCACTAGAACTGTTGCTACAAGTGTTTTATAGAACTGGGCAAAATTAAAAATGTCGGAATGTAGTATCTGCTACTTCATATAAAAACATTTTGATATTTCACAATATGGTCAAGTTGTATATCTTTGTAAAGCTAAAAAAAAAAAAAAAATCCCCAGATAAAATTGTAGATCTATCAAAGTACTTTAGAATGATATATGAATGAACTTTGTAGGTCCATAAACAACTGAGATATTATCTTTTAAAGTTGGTCACTATTCACATTTTCGTAAAAAGGTCAGGTCATATCTCAGGAACCCCTTGAACTTGAGATGTGTAACAGGTGCCATTCAATTCCTTTCATGGAGATTTATAAGTGTAGCAAATTTGAAAAAAATCTGTGTCAGACATCTTTTCATAAAACACTTTCCCCAAAATGATTTTGGTTTATTCTTATAGTCATGAACAAATTTTAACCAGGCATCCCTATGTTTCTTCAATAGTAGTAGTTTTTCTTGGAGAACGCAATCTTAGTTGACTTCTATGATGTTCATTGCTTATTGTGTGCTTCATAGCAATAATACCTGATGTTTTTAATTCTTCCTGGATTTCTCTGTGAATAATCATTGGATTTTCTTGAATTTTGCACTGAATTCTTCTCATTGATCTGGAAGAAATTTTGTGTGGTGCACTAGATCTTGATTTGTTCTCAACAGTTTTCACCTTTATATATTCAGCAATAATGGTATAATAATAGATGGTATATTCAGGATATGTTATTTTCTTCCTTCCAATGTTTGATGATGAATTCTTTTTTTGAATTTGATAGTTCCCATAATGATAATTATTCTGTATGCTTTGTGTGCAGAGATAACCTTATATAAGAAATGAATTGTGGAATGTTCTAGATTGTTCCTGTAATAAGATAATTGGAAGAATCTAGCAAAATCTTACAAAGAATTATGTAAATAAAGGTAAACTTAAAATAAAGTTTTGATATTAAAGACATATTTTGTACAAATACTTTTTTTGCCTTGAAATTTTATAAATAAAACAATTTATAACAAAGTTTTCTAATTGTTTTTGGCATATTGCAGCATTATGCAATGGTGTAGAAATATTGTACGGATTTTAAGTTTTTTCATAAGTTATAACTATGTTAATTAAAAAATTTCATGCTGTGTGAATATTTACTTCACCCCATTGTATATATGAAATAGTGATGAGACAATACCAATATGTTTACTGATTCCAATACAATTCCCAATACTATTCTAAATTTCTGAATCCAATACCTACAATGATTAAAATTCATTATTTTCAGGCCCTACAGTTGTTTGGGAAAGTCGATGAACAAAGTACATTTATTTATAAAGCATTTAGTATAAAAATAAATACAAAAGCTTATGAAATAAAGTTAGATATCCTTTTTATTTAAAAAAATTAGGTAAGAGTTTAAATAATAAAGAGAACAATTTCTTCATGTAAATCACTGAAGTACCTAACTACAGTTGACATATTGCTTTGAGTAAATATCAAATTACTATAAAATAGAGTTGGGATTTTTTAACCCCAGAATTCACTAATTGTGCTCCAATTTTGCATATATTCATATAGATTCCATAATATAAGCTTTACTTAATTAGCTATTATGTTTCTCTATTTCAAATGTTGAATGTATAACTAATTCTAATTTCTATTTTCCCATCTTTACACTATATTAATTTTATCTTATAACCTGACTCTTATTCTGTCACCCATGAAATAAAAATAAATGTCTGTACAGAAAATAAGGATCTATGTACACCAAATTGTTTTTAAATTAAGTGACAGCAGAAGACTTATCATTGAACTTTTAAAAGGTAAGCTTAAACATTAATTTAATACTTAAATGCAGTGATCAAATTTGAGTTCTTTCCTAGTTTATTGATGCTTATGCATCTACTGCTCCCTAACTGTTGTGATGATGGCCAAACCAAGAGTCCTCCACAGAAGCTAGCTTAAAAGCCGTCCAATAGGGCAAGCTTTTAAGCTATTTATAATAAAATATGCTCTTCAATTTTGGATTTAGGATACAAAAGGAAAATAAGAGTTACTCTCATTGAACCATAAAAGCAACTATAATGGCTAGTATAATATATTAATATATATTTTTTACCTCACATAATCTGGCAACCACGAATCTGAGCTCAATGAAAATCATTGCATATGCCTAACTTTTCTAGGGCTTTTGAATGAGCTATGAATCATTGAAATTGGACCAGTGTGAGCAGAAGAGTTGCTTGGACACACACACTGTACTTTATATATAAGATATTGCAACAATAATACTCTAAGCAAAAAGGCATCATCCTATGTATTGTGGTTTAACTCTTACATATATTTTGATAAAGTATACGGAGTACCTAATACTTCAGGATACTGAATAAAAAATAAATGCAAATTTTAAATTTGCTTACAGAATTAAATATGAATTATTACAGTAACTTAATAAATAAATAAATAATAAAGTGTCTTCAATCTTATCTAAAAAATTTAATCACTAATAAATTTTACGGTATAAAATAAATTTCTCACAACTAAAAAATTTAATAATTTCTAAAAAGAATTGTTTTATTTTTGCTAAAAGAAAAAAGAGTAAAAGTGCAACAACACAGTAAAACATATCTCTTGATTTTTTTAAAGAGATATAAGCAATTTTAACAAACTTTAAAATAAAGTTAAAAAATATTAGGAAGTTAAAAGCTAAATAACACTGATATCCAACTTGATCATTTTATAAGGTATAAGATTCAACTGTTACAAAGCATTACAATAGAAATAAGATTAAATATGGTTAAAATCTTCGTAAGTTAATAGAAGAACTGCAAATATGTATTTTTTGCATGGGACCAGTTTTTTTCAGTTATTTATTAGAATAGAAGATAAAATTTTACTAGTTTAATTTTAAAAATATTAAAACAATGTTAAAAAGTGGGAAAAACTATACCTTAATCACACCAGATAAAAATGGGATAAAAATACTCATTTTTAATTTTTTTTCATACACTTCTACTTGTAAAACTTGCATCTTGTTCATCTCTGAGGAGGAATAAATGGGAAAAAAAAAGTTCAAAAATTTTAAACGTCATAATAATTTAACACAGGAAAGTTCAATTATGCCAAAGAAAAATATTAGTAAAATAAAATTAAATACAATTTTTGATGGAAATTAAATTTTAGGTTTTTTAATACAAACTTTTGTGTGAAAAGGGTTTTTCAGGAAACTTCAAATAAAAGTTAGTTTATTTTTAAAAATAAATAACAGTGAAAATCTGTTTCAAAAGCTATAGTTTAAAACCAATAAATATTTATATCTTTTTATGATTAGCACCAGGAATGGAAAATTAAGTTTAAAAAAAAAAAAAAATCCAATGAATTGTTTTCAGAATTGGAAATTAGGTTAAAAATTCTGATTCCAATATCCCCAAAAGTTCGATATTTTCAATTCCGAATAATTGTCCAATCACTAAATGAAGAAAGAGAAACGGATAAACTGATGCTGAACAAAGATAATATTGTAAATACGTTATTTGTGAGTTTAATCCTTTTGTCAATAGTTTAATTATTTTACAGCCATTCCTCGCTTATTGCCCATGTTCCTTTCAAATACATAGATCGCTAAACAAACTGGTCGTTAAATGAAAAGTTGTCTCTGATTGCTATTTCAAGTATATTACATGTGCAACATGTTTGTGTCAACCAACTTCAGATAGGCTCAATATCACTTTTGAACCATTTGTAACATTTCTAATTTATTCTAAATGTTTATGCAGTACAGTATTGTATTTTTTTATCATTTCACCTCAAGTAAATCCACCAAGATGCAAGGGATTACTGAGTGTTAGATAGCATGAGAAAAGAAGAGAAAATACTATTAAAGAGAGAGTATAATAAAAGAACAAGAATTAAGAAGACATAAGATAATGATTGACATTACATTTATATTTTTGAAGATGACAGAGAAGCTAGAAGCCATACTAAAGAGTAAACATGTAAACAAATTTGTAAATCAATTCTATATTCTATATCAGGGCTGGCCAAACTGGCTTAATGTAAGAGCCACATACTATAAAATTCAGATGTTTGAGAGCTGCAGAACCTGAACTAAATTTACACATACATTTTTGTTATATACACATTTTGTTACAAAATGTATACATTAAGAAATGCAATATAATAATATTTATTCATGTACGCAGTTTTTTTTAAACTGTTCATTTGTATTGGTTTCATCAATTGCAAAGTGCACATATATATGCATACCAAATGTTTTCAAAATATTGACTGATGGTTGTTTTAACTATATTGAGCATATTTAATACTATAATGAACCATGGGAACTTCTAAGAAAAATGTGCAAATTTGCATAAGGTCTTCTAGCAGCCATCCTCATGACCTAGGGCAGTACTACCTCCTCAAAGCACTTGATGTAGGGTGTGTTGAGTCTGAGGCCCTGTGGGAAGATGAATGGAGGCATAACATCACCATCACTAGTGATCAGTGCAAACACCTTCGTAATCACCATTAAACTCATCCAACTCTTTCCAAATCCTCTAAATACTCTGAAATGTTTGTGCTGGAGCTTCCAGCATGAATGCCAAGCAGTACACAATACCATTTCTAAATTTCTGGCAGAGTGAATTGCATCATGCTCTTTTTCTCACAGATGGTGCCCAACTGTGTAGTCATCAAAATCAAAAACAATGCACATGCATGAAATTAAAAATATAAAGTGGCGACAATTTACCCATCGCACCATGTATATTACTTAAATCTGTAAATTAGTAAACATCTGTGTTTCCCTTCCATGTTATAAAATAAAAGACCTGTAATTAATTGTTTTATGAAAACCAATTGGATAACAAGTTAATTTGGCATTAGGCTAGAATAGAAATTGCACTGAACAGCTGCATCCAGTATTGTAACCATGAGAATGGGAATGTTCAATAGATGACAGATATAAACAACAGTCCTATAGATGATTGAAGTAGCTGCATGAATGAATTAAATTGCTATTTACACTGATTGGAATTTCACTTATTGAAGGTGCAGGTGCAGTCAAATAATTAATGTAAATATTTTCAATATTTATAGCATTAATAGTAGTAATATTATCTTCAAGTTTTTTTAGATGAAGCATTATCAACTACTATTAAGATAAAATAAATACTGTCTAAAATAATGATTTTCAATACTATTGTGGCATTTTAAAATATGCACAAATACTGATATATTCACTTAAAAAGAAAATATCCACTATTAATAGCAAACAATTGTTATAAAAAGGAACTATCTATTTAAGTAAAATAATCCATGCAATCATTATTTAGAACAAAAGCTACAAAAGTAATGCTACAAAGTTTATAAAATTGATTAACTATAAACAAATGGTCAACGTCCTGGTAACACATGGTGAACAACTCTTTACCAAACGGTACAAAGCCTGGTAATATATGGTCTACGTCCTTGTAGCAACACATTTATTTTTTAAAAATATAAATGCTAGATTAGAAGTAAACGAGGAAATATATTAATCATACTTATTATAAAACCCAGTGTGTGTGTGTGTGTGTGTGTTTATATATTGGATCGGATTTCCTACATTTTTCAACCGATTTCAACAAAACTTCACAGGACTATGTAAAATTACCTTGCGGTGATTCTGACAGCACCAAAAATTGGAAAAACATAATATTGTTTTTGCACAAAATCAATTTGAAAACACAATTAAGAGGCATCACTGTCGCGAGAATGAAAGGGGGACAACTCATATCGAGTTATACGTATAAAACCCAGGTTGTTTGTGTGTGTGTGTGTGTGTGTGTGTGTGTGTGTGTGTGTGTGTGTGTGTGTATATATTTGTTTATATATGGGATCGGATTTCCTACATTTTTCAACCGATTTCAACAAAACTTCACTTTTTTTTTGGCAGGTAGTGTTTCTTATTGTCTTGCACACTTTATTTTTACATTCAGAATGCTTTATAAATTCCATTTACAAGACAATTGTTTATAATAAAATTCTATTCAATCTGTAGACTCATAACGATTGAAAACAATGTTTTCGATCAGTAGACTCATAATGATTGAAAACAATGTTTTTGTTTGAGTTTGGATTTGACCAATTCGTAAAAAAAAAAAAAAAATAATTAAGACATGCGTGTCCGTCAACCTTAAACTTTGTCAATTTTATTTTTCTGTCTTTATGATGGTCGATACTTGATCTATCTCTTACTATTACATCCTCGGCCACGCCGGGCTCTACTGCTAGTACATAATAAATAAAAAAAAAAAAAAAAAAAAAAAAAAAAAAAATCAAAAGCATACATTTTTTTAATATGTGATCCAAGTAGCTAAGGAAATGAAAGGCTAAGATTCATCAGAGATTATACATTGGAACATAGATAAACTAGATAAACCTGCCTATATGACAACCAAAAAATTAAAAATGTGCAAATTTAAAAGTAAAAACCTGTCTGTTAGATGACTATTTCTGAATATTAAATTTAACTAGTTAAAGTTTTCCACTATAACACACAATTTATTTGTACATAGATGTTTTTTGATCAAAGATCAACTTTATATATTTATTAGTCAGGCTTAGCTTCTTTATTTTTCATTCTTGATTGATTTGTTTTCTATGGCTTATCAACCCATTGCAGGTTATTTAAAGCCAGAAAAACTTATTTACTTTCTTAGAATTATTATTTTTTTTGAGATAATGATTTAGTGATACAAGTTTTACTAATTAATCCACAGCTGGAGGGGAGAAGAGATGGATTCATACCTTTCTCAAGTGAATATAACGAACCCAACTAGAATTGGAAATTGGCTCTCTGATTAACAATTCCAAGTTATTATCCATTACACCACCTGTACATCCAAGATTACAGCACCTAATATTCTGAAGTGGTCACCCATCTAGGTACTGACCAGGCTCAATGTTATTTAACTCCAGTGATTGTATGGGAACCAGTGTTTCAATGTGATATGGTTGTAAGCTTTTCATTCTTAAGGTAATCAGAACTTTATACTTTCTGGTCACTTCAGTAATTGGTATCTGCCATTAGTATGGACAATAAAAAACAGTGTACATTGTATTTAGTTTTACATTTTTATAATTGAAATAATAATAGTAAGGAAAGAAGGGATCTACAAACAATATATATATATATATATATATATATATATATATATATATATATATATATATATATATATATTTCTTTATTGCATTGTCAATTGTTGACAACTAAAGCAGCCTTCCCGTGGATCCAACTTCAGTGTGGATGAAGAGGGCAGTTAGAAATACAGTAAGAAGAAAAATAAAATCTATTGAAGTAGAAATTAAGTTCTAAGCATCAATATCTAACATGAAAAGGTAATAGGAAACCAATTCATCATCCTTCCCAAGAACGATCATGATGATATGCAAATCAAAAATATCATAATGGAGAGTCAGCACACTTGAAACTGGACCATTGTCCAGTAAGGAAAGACAGATATTCCCTGACTGTTATTGAAGCAAATGTCTGCAACAAAGATAAAATCATAATCAGTGCGCAGAATGTCAGGAAACTGTACTGATGCAGAAAGTTAGAAAATGTAAAACAGGAATGGGAAATGAAATAGAAAAACAAGAGGAGTCAGGCTAATCTTTCTTTATAATACTAAAACTGTGAACTTTGCTTGCTTGCTTGTGTGTATACCATCGTGCACACAAAGTCATGTATAGAGAGTGGGGAAAGAAACATGTAAATGTATTATCGTGTATGAAGTGGGGTGAAGGAAATAGTGGGTATATATGAAAGACCAAAAGAAAAAAACAAAAAAAAAAACACCCTTTCTTTCCACCCTCCTGTGATTGCATGTGTGCTTATTTATATTTCAACTTTCTTTAAACAAACAATATTCACAGGTAGTATAATACTAAAAGTCTGTGAATTGGGCATACGTCGTCTATCAGGTGCATAATGATTTAAGTTTCTTTCCACTTTTCTGTCTTTACACCTTTCTCTTTCTACCTCTCCGATTGCATGCATGCTTATTTATATTTCAGCTTTCTTTAAAAAAAAAAAAAACAATATTTTAAATATTTAAAAAATATTCTTGGTATATTTAAAAAAATATTTTCAAGTGAATATGATTTAAAAATATCTTTTGGCATATTAAAAAATATTTTTAAGTTAGTCTGATTTTAAAATATTTTAAGTGAATAAGATTTAAAAATGTGAGTTGTTTATAAGGTAAGTATTTTTATTTCAACAATTTTTTAATGATGAAATCAACTTCAATGTTTTATAAACTGAAGTGTTAGTGACCCAATGGGTCATGGGTAGTCTATATTACATAAAGATGAGAAAGTGTGTTTTGGGGCTACTAGCAATTGTTACAGCAGAGTTCATCTGATGAAACTGAAATGGAAGCCATTCAATATGGCAATCATAGCAGTCTATGCACTCATAACAGAATATACCAAAGAAATTTTAACCCATATTAGAAAATGTTAAACTATGACTGCCATTTATAAACACCTTGAAACAAAGTACTAGTATCCTACATTGTCATTATTACCTTACTATATTTATAAAATCTATAGAACATACAATGATAAACAAAGGAATCATTAAAATGTTTGTTTCTCATGGGATTAATTATAATAAACTGTAAAAGACATTAGGCCAGATGAACAGATGTTAAATATCCAGTTTACAATTTGACTTTGATTTTGAAAGGCTTAGTTCCAAATTTGCATATTTTAATTGTTATATACCATATTTGATGGTATATAAATGTTCATTTTTTTCCAAAAAAATATCTTCCAGATCTTACATTTACATTATTTATCCACTGTAGACTACTGTTACTTATACTAACTCCATAATATTGCTATAAATGCAAATTGGAAGGAGAAAGAACAAAAGAAGAGTAATCAAGGAGGATAGTAGATAGTGATTGACATTGCATTTAAATTTTTGAAGATTAAGTTGGCGGGAAAGCATAGAGCTGGTAGGGAGTTCCACAAGCGAGAAGTACAAGAAAAGAAACTGTTAGCATAGAATTTACAGTTACATTTAGCCAACTCAACTGTAAATTGATGAGACCTCATCGCTAGTCTAGTACTGCACTTAAATTTGAAGAGCCTAAGCACAATAGCAAAGAGCTCATCCAAACAATTACCATGAAAGAACTTATAGAAAAGGCACAAGAAAGCAACTTATAGCAATGGGAAAGGGATTGAAGTCATGAAGTCAGAACAGAGTTAATAATATTGCTGATTCTTTGGATTTTATCAATGAATTCTAAGTAAATAGCAGGAGCACTGGACTAAATGTGGCAGCAATATTCTAAGCATGGATGAATGTTAGACTTATTATTAATTAAATTAATTAATTTTAGAGTGGTTAACATGGTCTACAAATTTAGCAAATCATTATTCAAACAGCTATAGCTATTAGAAAAACTATCAGCTTACATTATCATTTGCCATTTTTTCTCAAAAATTGAAAAAGTATATTAAAAGAATATTTTGTTTCAAATGAAAGTTACAAATAAATAAATGTGTCATGATGTGTGATTTTCAAGATTTCTTACTTGAATGCTGCTTCCTCAGTAGAACATTATATAGAAATTTCATATATAAATGAGGCAATTTCAGTATCAGTACACTTCCCAGAAATGAAAATTTTGATTGATTGTTTGGGTGATTTAAATCTGTCTTTAGTCCAATATTGTGATTTTGGTTTTCTTGTCTATCTCCATATCCTTCAGGCTCTCTCTATTTTCCATTGATTCATCATCACTAGTTTAATTTTTTTGGTTTAAAGCCTCCTGGCTGGGATTACTTACTGTAATCTTTTCTTCCATTTCTTATGTATATGTTTCAAGCTTCCTTACTTGATTGCTCCATTCTCAGTAGTAGAAAGACTATGCAAGTCTATGCATCTATATGTAAATGAGACAAGACTTATTTTAATATCACTACAAAATGCCTTTACTTTTCTGAGAATGCTCAGAATATGAACAATATCAATCACCAACCTCTAGAAGCTTTTGCTCAGCACTCATAAAATGATAAGCTAGGATAAATTCCTCATCTATCATGTTCATGCTGTAACCCTACTATAAATTAAATTATACACTTCAGGTGGTAATACGAAAATAAATTTAAAAAAAAAAAAAAAAGCAAAAACATTAGAGACTATGTTCAAAATTTTACTATAACACACACACAAACCTATGCTATTTTAAAGAGGAAAGAATAAAATGTATAAAAATATTGTATTAATAATTAATTACAACTAGACTGAACTGCTATTTTGGTTTTAAAACAAAAAAGAAGAAGCATTATTTCAAAACAACAACAAAAAACTATCAAAAATGAAAGTTATTACAAATGAACAAGTATTGGTTGACCAATATTCCTCTTTTTAATTTTAAGATCATTACTAAACAATAAATGTAATGTTTATGGCTATTCACTACAATTTAAATCTCTTTATATTGACAGTAACTGAATGACCTTTTGAATGTTCAAAGCAGTTAGAAATAGCGAACTCTTCCCAGGTATTGTCAACATAATGATTAACTTTTCTGAAATATTCTTAATGATGCATATAAAAGACTGTTTAATGAAAACATAACGATTAAAAAAGAAAACAGATTTTAAAATGTAAAAGAATAAATTAAAAATATGGTTAGTTTCAGTAATTTCTGCATTGTGTCCATTTTCCACATCAGAATTGAATATTTTATTTTAAACATTTATTTAATTTATTAATTTAAAAGCTTTTCATTCATAATGGAAATATGTATGTAGAAAAGCAAATTTATTTTATGAGTAACATACAAAAACGGCTTTAAAATAAGGTAAGAAGTGAAATAATTTTAATTTGAAGTAGGTTATATTTCATTTGTTGCAATATCAGTTTTAAAAAAATAAGATTTTGTAAAGAACTGCTATAAATTAACTGTAAATGTAAACGAAACTACATTGTTATAAATAATAACAGTTTGTTTATTAAGCATATAAATTTTTTTATCTTCTGACACACAATATAATTTCATTGAAAATAGGGATCATTGTTTATTTACAAAAATTAAAATACTACAATGTATTTTGATTTTTGAATACAGGGTCAAATTTATTGAATTAAGTATTTTTCCTCTCCCTTTCTCCAATTTCATATCTATACTTAAAACAGTTTTCTGTTTAGTTTTTACAACACAAAAATTAATAATCCCAGTAAAATATCCATTCTTATGATTATTAAAAAGCATTTCTGTATTTTCTTTTTCTTATCAATTGAATCAACACAAATAAACATGTTGATATTTTCAATATTTTATTTTCAATCAGATTATTTGTAATTCTATGAAGATGCCAAGGGACCAGTCTATTGCTATTTTATTATTATTTAACAGTAACACTAACAGTGACACTACAAATTGACTGCATCTGAAAGACATTAAAATTGGTGAATACAAATCATTGACTATTTATCGATATGTAAAAAAATATATAGTGTTTATTATTGATTTCTCAATATGCACGTTGTTTAAAAAAAGTTAAAGTTTCTTATTGGACAGGAGATTAATTTCTCGCTTATTTTCACATACATAGAAAAAAAAAAAAAAAAAAGAAAGGATAATGAGGGGAGATAAATTAAGAAATAAGTTTCCCAATAAGTGTCAAACTCAAATCCATGCTGGTTCATGTTTTAACATTACGGAACACAACATGGCGGATAAATATATGATTTGAAATATTAGAATATTCAAAACTGAGAGAGAAAAAAAATGAAAATTTGTTTGCAAGCGGTAAAATAAAAAATACCAAGGTAGTAAGATTCAAATCGAAGATTATAGTATATCATTGTTGTAATGTAATGATAATCTAATTAATTTAAATGGGGAGGTTAGGTATAAAGCTGGTTATTGGTGACTACTGGTGTCCAAAGATTATTAGTAGTAACATTTACACAAAGCTTCTCCCGTA